TAACGCAGATTGCAACATTGTACAATAGTTCAAAGTTATCAATATTATTGGCGGATGTGAATATATCTGCACGTGTCAAATGGAAGAAAATGCATCATTTCAATACATGAAAATTTTACTTAAATCGTCACAGATAAAAAACACTCAATATAAATCAATTAATCAATTCTTAAACTTGTTTGGACTATTATATACATTCACAAGGACGAAGATATAGGTAGATCATATGTTCAAAAGATATACTAAAATACAGTTTCAGAACGTCAACTAACAGTAGTGTTTAAAAAAAACAGTAGTGCCTATTAGGACTGGGCCTCAGATTTCTATATCTGTTTCATGATAATTACTTTTTTCTAATAGACAAGTAGGTGATGAGCCTTCTGTTCCTTCTGACACATTCCGACGACTTTTTGGATTTAAGGCATGCCGGTCTCCTCACGATGTTTTCCTGCACCGTACGAGCGAGTTAAATGTGCATACATAAGAAAGTCCATTAGTGCAAAGTCGAGGATGAGAGTTACACTAAAGCCACAAGGCCAACACTGCTCTAACATTTTTCCCAGCAATTCGAGATGCTGAAATGTTGATTAGATTGTGAATGATATATTTTATTGTGCATGAAATTTTTTAAAATGCTAATCAGTATACAAGGCGTTAATAACATAAATTAATATAACAAAAAACAAAAACTCACCTTAAAATTTATTACTAAAAAGAGTCTCTTCAGACAAGGTTCCGAAGATACTGGCAGCATTCCCCCTTTGAATAGCCAGACTAATTCTTTAATAGCTGCCAGCTCTTCGGTCTCCTGTAATGTCGACTAACCTTTTTCCTATTTCCTTAAAAAGCCTTATAGCAAGGATAAATTGTAAACAATTGTTAATTGTAAATGTTTATTTGTATGTTTAATACAAATTTTGGGGCAATTTTAATTAAAGCCTTTTAAAGCGTTCAAACGATCTCAATATTAACAATTTCGTAACGGTAACATTTTCGTTACAGAACAGCTGTAAGCCCCCATGTCATTCTCGACTTATGTTGACTTATAATATATGATGAAGTTGTATGAATAAAAACAAAATTTTCGTTATTAAATGATTTAAAAACAAAGTACTTAGAGTTGTTCCTAATTTAAAACAGGTCGCGTCTATCAGAATTTTGTTGTCGTTCATGAACAAAGACTTCACCACCATAAGAATGTCGATTACCCACTGGACACCGGGTCCAATGAATTGAAATTTGATTTAGTGATAAGATTAAAAGAACACAAATAATCGGACACTTCTTATAATTCATATATTTTCTTAAGCACATTATATATAGATACCTCATAAGACTCACTTTAGTTTATTTTCTTTCTGGATTGTAATTTTTATATTTTGTATTCATGAAATAATCTTATAAAAATAATATAAACCTCATTTGGAAATGCTTTTCTTTCGGCTTCACGCCGGTATTCTTCTTAATATTTATACCGCTATAAATATCTGTGAAACAAAATATTTCCAACAATAAGTTGAGAACCACTAATAAAATATTTATGTATTGCGATAACTATATATTGTTTATGAAACTCGATCATTAACCTACGCACATATCAAATATACCTAATGTTTCAATATGGGCGAAAAAGATAAAAAAGTGGTGCAATATATAACTTACGTTTATGGACTTTTTAAGGCCCACAGACCTCAGAAGAGCCAATAAATTATATATTTATTTCATTATACACATACAGCGAGCTTAAATTATATATAATAAAAACAATTATACCAAAGATGGGATATATAATATATACAAAAAGGTTCAAACGTTTACGCAACTTAGAAAGGAAAAAATCAATAAACATCATGAAAATATTCACTGTTGTCAGTCTTACAAAACCCAGCTTCTATAGGCTTTTCCTTTCAACTATTGTGTCAATATGGTCCTTATGCGTCATTTTATAGTCTAACCTTATACCTAAGAATCTACTTCTTTAACGGATATGTTATTAATATACTAAAGTTAATTTTGTTTGTTTTTCTTCTAGTGAATGTTATTTTGACACATTTTAAAGCATTAACCGATATTATATTTTGTCTACAATAAATACAAGGGTTAACAAGTCAGTTTGAACTTTGTGGCAGTCATCTTCTTTGTTTATTTTTAAATTAATAGTTTTTCTCATCAGCGATAATTTTCTTCATTATTCTTGAAAATTTTTCTTTATAACAGTAGTTATTGTAATTAAGCTGCCATGAAAATATTTACTTAGCTATCATATAACCATTTGTATATGCCGTCTGCTAGCAGATTTTGTATTTATTCAATGGCTTTTACGTTAATTATCTTAATATATATAAATCTCGTGTCACAATATTTGTCCTCAATGGACTCCTAAACTACCGAACCGATATCAATCAAATTTGCACACCATGTGCAGTTCGATCCAACTTGAGAGATAGGATAGTTTAAATCTCAAATTATAGTCGCAATTTTAATTTATTGCAAAATATTTGTTTATTATTTGATACAATTCTAACAGATGGCGCTGTGTTAAAATTATCAACGTTTCATATAAGCTGTCATCTACCTTTCACATAAGTTCTTCTACCGTTTCCCTTGAATAGTTTACTACTATGTAATATAACAAAAATCTTAGCCAGAGCAACGCTTGGCCGAGTCTACTAGTAATATAATAAAGAGGAAAGTTTCGTTGTTTGGATTGAATAGATTCCAAAACTACTGGACCAATTTGAATAACCTTTAGAAACCTACTTATTTATTCCTGATAAACAAAGATTATATAATATTTTCAAAAAAGTTAGGGATCCGTATGTAAACTTCGGTGCTGCGATAATATTTTTACCAATAAAAACCCCTTATGGCGAATTCGCTGCAAAAAGTTATGTACTACAGTTTTATAGAAGACATCAATATGTACAAAAAAAAATAAAGATACCATGTACAAAAGTCCAATTACCGGATAAAGATACCATGTCCCCGGTAGATTCTTTTCAGTAAAGGATTAAAATCTGTCAATAATACTTAACAACATCATTAACGATAAGCTCAATTCTAAAACTTAGTATTGTTTTTAATTATATTGATATTGTGAATCTGTTGTTTATTGACTACTGTACTAATGACACAAAAATATTCTCAGAAATAAATTGTTTATTATTTGTTTGACCGGGATTTGAAATCAAGATCTTCCAGTACATGCAACGGCGGCCGCGTCAAACCATAAATCTATGAGATTAATTAGATCATAATAATATATACAGTATTTATAAAGTTTGGTCCCTGTGGCAGCGTTAAATCTATCATAATAAAATAAATATTAGACGGCTCATTGGTCTAGTGGTTAGTACCCTCGACTGCGAATCCATGGGTCCCGGGTTCGATCCCCGGCTGAGACAAACATCGATGTGATGAGCATTTGGTGTTGTGCTTAGGTCTTGGGTGTTTAAATATGTATTTATATGTGTTAGGTCTATCTATGTATAATATGTATGTATATCCGTTGCCCGTAGTACCCATAACACAAGCTTCACCAGCTTAGCATGGGACTAGGTCAATTGGTGTGAATTGTCCAATCATAAAAATAAAAAAAACTATTATTTTAAAATATCGGTCGATACACTTGTCTTAAACCTTAGGTTTTGATTGAGTGTAATTAGGATAAAGATTTGAAATATATTTATATCATCAGCAATTATATCTTCAATAACTACACATTCCGAATTATTCGCCTTTAGGATAAAACTGCTAAGAAGTCTTAAGATTATAGATACCACACACATCCAACAAAGGTAAACTAAAAAATACTAGAAGTCCAAAGCTGAACCATACCACTGAAAATAAATAAGGATGTAATGTTCTTTTTTCAAAATAATGCTAGTGAACTATGAGTGAACTACACAAATAATATTATGTAACGTAAATAATATTATATGCAATGCGACGGTTAAAAAATACTTCACAGTCACTTCAAAGTAACTTTGAGAGTGTTTACTCTCCTACCAATATGGCATTTATAATTAATTATTAAGTGTAAATGCACAATTGAATTTTTGTAAAGATTTATTTATTTCAAAACTTAACGCCTATTATCTATTTTATATTATTTATGTACTTATTTTCAGAAATAAGAGCTTTAGTTTATTTTTCATAATTTTGCAAAGTGATATTGCAAAGATAACATAAATTACGTTTTCATCGTATAAAAGGGATTTAAATTGTAGAAGTAATTATGCAAATTTAATTCGTTTAACAGTTTTATCTTCTAATAGGTTGTAACCTTACACTTTTTTAAGTTGATAACCCAGGTGATAACGATTTTAAAAACTAAATGCCTACGCTTTTCCCGTTCGTGCATACGTATAGAAAGCGATAAATAATCAGAATAATCAATCAATGGTTAATAGTAACACTATATTTATTTATATAGTAAAGTAAAATAAAATATCTACTTGAATAAATATAGGCTTAATTTACTATTTAGTTGTTACATAAATTTTCCGTTAAATTACGCAATACGCAGCCTCAATTCAAGTATCTTCTTTCTGTAGTAATCTTCGTGCTACATAGGAAATATCCCTGAAGAAAATGTACAGTCTCCCGTCAGAAACTATGAAAATATCTTTAGTATTTAAATATATTTCTACATTAATATAAAATAGTATCTTGTTTCTCACAAGATCTTTTGAAGACTAATAGTAGACCGATCATGTACGAGATTAGTTAACTGTTAGCTATTTGCGCATAGAGAGGAAATTTGCTGGAGCCTTCGCTTAGGGTACAGATAATTCTATAGTGCTTTAGTTACTGTGTTTCTAATCAGTGACCTTTGTCACCGCCTAAATAAACAATTAATCTTAGTACAGTGTATTCTTAATTTGAATTAGTCCTGCGTCTATATAAGGAGTGGAGGGGGAGCTTTTTCTGCATTTGCCGTTGCGTCGTGTTCGCAGACGCACGTTTGTAGAGACTGATAATAGTGATACCGTCCCACAATGGGGACTCATAGTTTAAGCATTTTTAGTGTTGTATTATTGCTATCGATTTTATGGAGTCCGGCGCTTAGTGGTATGTATTTTTTTTTATTTTATTTACAAAGCCTAAAATAGCAGTGTTAATATTAATTACTTGCGATTTATTAAATTTGCAATAATTAATATCCTAATATTATTTGTTAAGATCGTAAAAATTTATTAAAAATAAAATTCATAAGAATAGTTGTCACAAGATATGCAATCCGAACACCATAATATCACAGCCGGTGTCACATTATCCAAGATAAAATTTTATTAATGTGTCGTATGCAATGGAATTAAATTGTTTTTATCTGTTTAGTACTTAACTAAGTACTACTAATAAAATAAAAAACTTTCATTTAAATAACAAATAGTTTATAATTAGATCAAAATTTACAATTTTTAATTAAATTATTAGAGAAAAATAACAACTCAGAGTCAAGTTTTTTTGACATCAATATTAATACAACAAAAATAATCGAATTATTTTTTGTTTATTTTTGTAGAAAATTTATTTCATTATACTTACAGATATAGAGGCTATTTGTCAAATTTTGATAACGAACCCACCTATCTTGTCACCTCCATCTTGAATTAGGCAGTCGTGTGTCATAAGCAATATATCTATAAAGTATCGCAAATCGCAACCAATATGCTAAATACTTGCAGCACGTTTGCGGTGCCTACATTACCCTTGCATCTTTGTTTATCTATCTGTGGTATATCCCGCTGAGAAACACTGTTGCTAACTCCGATAATAATTCGCAGTTTGCAGATAAATGAAACTTTAACCTTTGATTGTATTATCAATGTCATGTCCAAGAAAAAGCAATTTTCAACTGTCTTACAATTAATGAAGAGTTATAATAAAATAAAAAGCCGAAGCAGTCATAGGTCATCTTCGCTGATTATAATAATTAGTTGTTTGTGAAGTTAATGAAAGACTTTGTTTATTTAAAAGTAACTCTTCTGTAATGAGGAATGTTTATATATGATAAAATAAGTTGTTGACAAAATTGCAAGAATTTTAAAACATGTTTTTATCTAACAGGAAAACGTCCTTTGAGGATAACAGATTAATTTAAAAGGCTGCAGCTTAATATACCTATATTAATGTAAAAAAAACTACTTTAAGGGTTTTCTGTAAGCCTTATTAGTTACTATATTAACTATTCTAATGATAATGCGCGGATATTCTATGTTCTTCTATCATGTATTATGATTTTTAAATTGAATCTTAGAGGAAAGGTGGCGCAAAGTACGAACAATTAAATCTGCAACTTAGTAACTAACAAAATATGAAATGAGAAATTTAATGACATAATTATTATAAGTTTTGAGTTAGATAACCAAACAAAAGGTAATATTATTTTAACGTAATTAACGATAAGTAAGGTCAATTGATAGCCGGAGTCATCTTTGAATGGTCATTGTCAAGTATTATTTTTCTTATCAAAGAAAATGACAGTAAATCATTTGGTAGAAGTTTTAAGACTAAATTGCATCTAAAGAGAAACTTCAGCTTTCGGTCACAGTTTTCTCTTTTTTTGTTTGTAATAAACGAAGCCTTATGACGGACCGAGTAAGGAGTGGCGGTCTATTTTTACTGATATTGATAGTTTTCTGACGGGTCGCATAAAAACTTTATCTATACACATTTGGGTTTTTTGGATTCGGTAAACAATATAGGTTTCCTGTTATTTTTATAAATATTAGTACCTCACAGTAAATTAACTTTGTTATAGATTTTACATTTGCCTATTTCTCTCTGCTTACAATGTTGGGCAAAGGTGCCGCTTCCACGACTCACTTTCTATTTTATATAGAATTGAAAGCATTATATTATGTGTTTTTCTTATGTTATTTTGTATTGAATTATAAATGCATTCCCACGTTGTTTTACGATGTCGACAATCAGCTAATTTCAATCAATAACCTAAACTGGCACATCCGTGCGGGGCATCTAAGTACATGTATACACACAATAAATATTATTCTTGTATACAATATATTATATAGGTATATGTAAAATAATTTTTCTGCTCATAGGCCTTCGCTTAGTTATTACACAAAAAGCTGTTATGCATTAGAAACTACATAATAATTGTTAAAATCTTCTAAAGCTTCTATTGATATTATTAGCTTTGATTACTTATAATTGTTACTAAGAGTTGATCTTGAATATGTAGGTAGGTACTGAATGTTCACCATTTTAATTACCAGTTAAGGCGATCATTTAAATCGGTGCCGTAAAGCATTAAAAGCTCGTCGTATAATAAAACGTGCATCATATGTTTTATCCTTATCGTTTATAGTCTCTTTCTATGGTTTGTCATATATCCGTAAAAGTTTGCCAAAATTCAAAATAATAAATAAGTTAAGTACTAAAATATTCCTCAAAAATGTATAGCGTCCAGATATTTATGTTTACTATAAAGAAATCTGAAGTCGCCCAGGCTAACACAAGTAGAAATAATGTCATTTGATGTATTGAGTAGTTGTGCGATATATGGCGCAGTTTGGTTCAATTACCCAATTTGTCGTCCAGACGAGATTGGATCCCATTCGGGCTTCGCTGACCCCAGCTTCTCGACTTTAATGTAGCCTGATTACTTACCCATTAACGTTGTTATGATTTTAAATTTTAAAAAATCAACCCATCGTATTTTTTGGTATGTTAAAAGCAAAAAATGTAAGGAAACTTAGAGAAAGCTATCGATCATAAATCACGTAAATAGTTAATGTTATGTTGTAATTAGTTTATTACGTAGCTTACAATGCATAATATCTAAAGGCGGCATACATCTCTAAGCATATAAACAAACACCACATTTGCATCATATTAGGATTAGGAAATATCGAAGAGATATTTTTTTACTTAACAGGAAATTTATTAATACAAGTTCTATACAATTGACGGGTTTCGAAAACCAGTATCGCCAATTCGCATCACCAGCATCTGATATCTTTACAGACATATTAATATTAATTTTACGGCTATCGTTGGGTCGAGGAAAGCCTTAGGAAAATTTGTTACCTAATCTATTAAGTTCACATTTGACAAGGGCATGAGTCACTTATTTATATCCTGACCCCAAAGGACCTTTAACGGAACTAACATTGTTATTTGTTGTTTAACTTATCAGCGCTGACCTGCGATAAACCTAGCAAACTTGGAAAATCGGACCTTCCAGTTTACCGATTGATAATATTGTGGAAAATTATTAATTTAAACTAAAAGTCAGCTCTAACGAACTAAACATGCGTGTTTTATAAATGTATTTTTTCATAACTGCTTTCATGCTTAAAATATAATAATATAGTTAATTGAGGTATGAACAAAATAATTGACAAGCTAATAATATTATGATATTAGTTACACATGCAAAAATTGTTGGTTGAAATTTGAAAAATATAATTAAATCAACTACTTCCCTGTGTCTTATTCTTACTCTCTCTCGATACTTTACTATACAAATACAATTTCTGTTTCAGATAAATGTTCTATAGCCTGCAAAGGACGTAAGTATCTACATAATTCATTATTATATCATAGAGTCTAATATATTTTTATTGAATTCAAGCTGTCCGCGCGAACTTAGTTTTGGCCTAATATGTTTTTTTACTTAGCCTACCTTTTACACATTAGGATATCAATGGGATGAAAGTGTCTACCGACTATGACTTTGGCTTAGGCTTAGATTTCTTATTAGTTTTATTACTTTATATTACTTATTGTTATTATTAATAGACAGTCGTCTCACCACTGGGTAATAAAATTTTAAATAATGGCGCTATTGACAATAGACTGATAGTTGTCAATGTCATACAAAAAAGATTAATGCTATCTTCAAATCTTCTTGTCCAATCAGACTGGAGGATTATTAAATTTCACATATTATAACAATAATTTATTTGGTATCATAAATATCATTCAACAATAATATGACTTGCTTTAGTTTTAAAACTTATATTATTTTCATCTTCACAAATTACTATAATTATTTATATTACAACTGTTCATTAGTAAATGTTAGTAAGCTAAGCTTAACTTGCTTATCAGTTATTATTTTTATTTTGAAAATGTGATCACAATTTTTCAAATATTATTCAAAAACTTTCTAGCTGCATCATCAGAAACCTTCTTAAATGGACATACATACACCTACGGAGTCGAAGGCACCGTATCGGTTTATCTGACTGGTGCTGAGAAGCAAGAGACTAATGTCAAAATATTTGGGCAAGTTTCTGTAACTGCTTTGGGCAACTGCGCTCTTTCGCTGAAGGTCAACTCTTTGGCTATTTCTGGACCTAATGGCAAGGTAAGATGATATAAAAGCGAATTTATTATATAATTTACATACCCCAATATTTCTAGGGCTTTAAAGCAATCATAGGCACATAGTGTTTATTTAATGTTTTCAGAGAAACTAAAAACATTATATATTATTTAAAATAACAAAAAAATATACAATATCTGTATTTTTAATTCCATTTCAGAAATACCAGGCACCATCAGGTATAGATAAGGCTGTTCGCTTTAACCTCCAAGATGGAAAATTGGGAGCTGAAATCTGTGCAGAGGATGGTGACACCCGGGCCTCACTTAACATCAAGAGGGCTATCATCTCATTGCTGCAGACTGAACAGAAGCCTTCCACACAGGTAATACAAGCTTCACTGTATTATGCATCTTAGTTCAATTTTATCGTAACTGTTCTATGGTTTTTAAAATAATATTTAACATGTTTTAGGTTGATGTATTTGGTGTTTGCCCAACGGATGTGTCTTCATCAGAGGAAGGCAACTCAGTATTGCTCCACCGTAGAAGAGACCTCTCAAGGTGTGCTCTCCGAGAGCAAGGCAAGAATGATCTGATCACAGCCATCTACAACCCAACTGCTGTAAGAATTATTTTGAAATAAAATAATTATTATTATACTAATAATGTTGAGATACATAAAAATGCTAGGCTTCGAATTGCCAATTCCTTATTAAGAACACATTTTTTATTAAAGATACTTAAAAAATAACAAAGACAATGGAAAAGTTGGAAAATTTAACTAAATATTTTACTTTACTCATAATATAAGAACATTGTAATTCTATAAATTTTTTACAGTTTTTAAAGTTATATGATTTTGAAGATTGCTGAAATTATTTTCATTTCTAACAGCAAATCAAGAACACTCAAATCCTACAATCCACTTTAAGTGTGGAGACCAAAGTGAACAAGGGTGTGCCTGAGAAAGTTGCTGCTACTGAGGAGTATGTATACAGGCCATTCTCTGCTGGAGAGAATGGAGCTAGGGCAGCTGTTCATACCAAGCTGACCCTCTCTGGAACCAAGGGTGGTGGTGGCAATGGAGGTTATTATCTTTATAATTCTTAGTGTGTTTTCTATTGTTAAAACCCTTATTTTATAAATCCATAATATATAAGGATATATTTTACAAACATATTTTGATATTAAATTGAGTTATTTTTTCTTATTCTTACAGCCAACTGCCCTGTTACCCGAACAATCATTTTTGAGAACCCTCACCAAGGTCATGGAGACCACAGCAGCCCACAAAATGTACTGGCGGCCATCAAAGAGGCCTGTAAACACCTTGGTACCGAAGCTGGATCTAAATCTGCCGGAATTTTTGCCCAGCTCGTCAGGGTAATGTGTGACTTAAATGCTTTATAAATTAAATGTTTTTATATAACAAGTTAAAAAGCGGTATTATGCTTTAAGGTAGATTCTATATTATACTTGCATTTGTAGTTTTTATGATATAAAATTTATTTTTTTCATACAAGCAGTTTTTTTACTAATCTGATACGGAAAGTTATTTATTTAATTTTTTTTATTAACATATAATTACTTACAGATTATAAGAGTAACAAGCAAAGATGATCTCATGAAGGTTTATGGACAAGTAAAAGGCAACAATTTGGAGAAGTAAGTTGATTTTTTATTTCTTACGTGTATAAAATTTCAATTATAGATGGCATTACTAAGCCTCGAGAGAGCCTCTAGAGAATCATGAAGTGTTTTCATATTTGCAATTAAAATAAGATGAATTAAATCTGCCAGCACCGGTACTATGTAACTCCCAATAGCGATTGCGACCCCGACTTCAATTTAGAGTTTTTGGTATCAAGAGTGCGAGATCAAAGCTACGGGTATAACTCATTATTTTATTAATCTTAAATATATAAAATTCTCGTGTCACAGTGTTCGTTCCCATACTCCTCCGAAATGGCTCGACCTATTTTTTATGAAATTTTTTATGCATATTCAATAAGTCTGAGAATCGGCTACTATCTATCTTTCAAATCCCTAAGTGATAAAAAAATATTTTATGTTTTAGATAAATTTTTTTTGACATACAACAATACATACAACCCCTAATTTTCACCCCTCTACGATCAACCACTATTTTTATTATTGTAGATAGTTATTTTTATTGAACTAAATAAAATGTTTCCTAGAAATAATATACATCAACGTTTGCCGGATCAGCTAGTTTGATATAAAAGTGTTGGAAGAATTGCTACCAATATTGCAAGTTACCACGCAATATTGGCTTTTAGCTTATAAAGGTTTCTAAATAATATTTTATAACATAGGCGCGTATTCCTGGACGGTCTGCTACGCGCCGGTACTGGTCCCAGCATCGAAGCTTCAGTACAAGTCCTAAAGAACAAACAGCTGTCCAAACTTGAAGAGAAATTGGTGTTCCTGTCACTCGCGAATGCCAGACACGTTGACAGCGATACCGTAAAAGCCGCTACTGTAAGTAAATCTTCGAACTTTTGACGATCGTAGAATAGACAAAATCATGAACGATTTTTTTTTTAAATCGTATATTGGCTTTACGAGAGTGACCTTGTCTTTTAATTCATTATAGGATGAAGGTAGATTTAATAATCATTGAAAATTTGAAATCTATATACGTATAGGTAACACAATGTACACTTATGAACGTCAAAAAAGAAATATAGTATATGAATTGCTTCTAATTTTTCATTTACTGCCAGTTCTCAAATCAAGGGCGTAGACAGGAAGAGAAGAACTGGCAATAAACTCTTCGCCACTCTTTTTTTCATTCAATGCTTTACTGGTTGATTAAAAAAAATAGCCGTAATTTAAGGTGACTTAGAAATTCACTTTAATGACGTTTAATCTTTTTCCAGGGACTTCTCGATCTTCCAGATGTGCCAAAGGAGCTCTATCTCGGTGTAGGAGCCCTAGCTGGTGTTTACTGCCGCTCCCATGACTGCCACAGCTCTAAAGTTGAAGGTATTGCTGCCCTCAGCAAGAAGTTTGCCGCTAAATTGCAGAACTGCAAGCCCAAGACCAAAGTTGATGAAGACAATGTAAGTTTGAAGATTTATTACTCATGTAAAAAAAAAATAATTTTGAAAAAACATAATTTACCTACTCATCAGAAATGTGTTGATATCTTTAAAAATTCTGAACCTATTTTGATGAAACTAGTACTGTCCATTACGTGAATTACTGATTTAAATCAATCTCGAGGATCATCTCGCTATGACTTTTACTTTGGACCAACATATACTTAAGATCATGTTACTCAATTGTTTCTAACCTCAACTATCATAATATAGGTACTGTAAACTCATAACTCCCTTTTCTTCCCTTTGAAGTGGGTTAAATATGACGCAATTCATATCTGACCAGCGTATTAAGCTAACGATCATGACATTCGCAGGTAGTAGCGGTGCTTAAGGGTATCCGTAACATCCGGCATCTTGATGATAGTTTGATCGACAAACTGGTCCATTGCGCCAATGACAATGGCGTGAAGGCCCGCGTTAAGGTCGCTGCCCTTGAAGCCTTCCAGGCTGACCCCTGTGCTGCCAAGGTAGGTCCTAAAATCAGAAAGCCTGTATAAAAAATTAATTTAAATAGCTAGGTTTTATGTTATACTAGCGGACCCGACAGACGTTGTCCTGCATGATATTTGAAGCGATTAGGATATTAAAAAAAGTATAAAAGTACCAACTGCAGCGCCATCTGCCGGGCTGATTTGTGAATCTAAACTATCCAGGGCTCCACCCAAACGCATACAAAAAAAATCATTCAAATCAATCCAGCCGTTTAAAAGGAGTTCAGTGACATACATACGTACTATATATATTTATATATAAGCTATCCTATCTTTTAAGTTAGATTAAACTGCACATGGCGTGCAAATTTGATTGAAATCGGTTGAGTAGTTTAGGAGTCTATAACAGACAAACCACGTGACGCGTTTATATTAAGATTATAAATTAATTTTTTCTTGTAGTATTCTAAAGTTATTATATCTTTAGGTGAAGAAAACTGCACTAGATATTCTGAAGAACAGACAGCTGGACTCAGAAATCCGTATCAAGGCTTACCTTGCGGTAATTTCGTGTCCCTGTGCCAAGTCCGCTAATGAGATCAAGTCTTTGTTGGACTCTGAACCAGTACATCAAGGTAAATAAATGTCGGTTTTACTATAGCTTCTGAAGTCGACATAAGTGATGATAATGAAGCACTTGAAATTGTTTTAGACCGTAATCTTTGTGATTAATATGTTAAATAAAATATGACTTGCAATATTTATAACCACGAAATACAAAGATATTTTATTCAATCTCTTATTTCTGTGTTTAGTGATTTATTTATATTTTAAATGGTACAGGAATTTAAAAAACAGAATAAAACAAAGCAATATAGTTTGGAAGTAAAACAAAAAATATTGACGAAAACAATTGCAATGAAACAAATTTTGTACATTTAATGTAGATATATTAGTTGTCATACTAAAAATTAACGTCTCACGCAGTGGGTCGTTTCATCACAACATCCCTGCGTCACATCCGCTCCTCGGCTAACCCTGACAAACAGCTCGCTAAGCAGCACTATGGACTGATCTCTACCCCTAGCCAATTCAATATCGACGACAGGTATTTATTTTTTATATTTTATATTTAACATTTGTCATATCAAAATATTTTATTTCAAACTTATCGAATGAATATTAGATTCTAAAAAAATTCCTCTGCGTACATTGATTTGTTACGTGTACCTATTTATTTTAAAGTTGATGCTCTTTTGTTTTATATATTATCTATTTTTTGTTACAGAAAATACTCATTCTACCGCGAGTTTTCTTACAACGTGGACGCCCTTGGTGCTGGTGGTAACTTAGAGCAGACCGTGATCTACTCACAGGACTCCTTCCTTCCGAGATCTGCTACTTTCAACCTTACTGCAGAAGTATTCGGACACAATGTCAATGTGTTTGAGGTAAATTAAAGCTATTTTTATAAGATGAAGGTACACAAACATTATTTCTGATCCTGGTTCGAAAGACCGGTTTCTTTAGTTTTAATTAACAATCGTTCGTAATTTAATCACCCATACTTTGATTTATTGTGTCTACATTGACATAAGCCATCTTAAACCGTTTTTTTTTACAGATCGGTGGTCGTCAAGGTAACCTGGATCGTGTGGTGGAACATTTCGTGGGACCTCGTGGTTTCCTTCGAACACAAAAGCCGCAAGAAGTCTATGATAACTTGTACAAACGCGCTGAAGAAGCGTTCAACAAGGTGGACGGCAACATGCGCGGGCGCCGATCAGTCAAGAGTGAAATTGATAACTTCGATAAGAACGTATGTATTATTTAAATTACTTCTCATAATGATTTTGAATATTTTTTAATAATCTCTAATACTTTTTTCAGTTAAAAGCAGAATCTACTTCCTACAACAATGAGTTAGATTTGGACGTGTACCTAAAATTATTCGGAACTGATGCAATTTTCCTGTCACTCGGAGATGATAAAGGCTTCGACTTTAACAAGGGTCTCGATCAGATCCTGAAAATCTTCAATGAAGGAGTTGAAAAAGTCAAGCATTTCCAGGTTACTTTTACTAAAATTTTATTTTACTTCTCGAAATTGGTATTTTTATTTTTAATACAAATCGTTATCGTCTGAAATACCACTTTTACCTTACAGCAAGAAGTCCGCGCTCACATGTTGTTCCTGGACGCCGAACTGGCTTATCCCACCTCAACGGGTCTTCCACTCAAACTGGATGTCATCGGTTCAGCCACTGGACGCGTAGATCTCTCTACCAACATCGATCTTAAGCAAATCCTCCGTTCTCCACAAAATGCCAAAGTGGACATCAAGGTCGTTCCCAGCACTGACATTGAGGTATCCATGGTCATGATGGTCGATGCCAACTTGGTGAATGCCGGTATCAAGGGAATCGTAAACCTGCATTCCTCCACTGGCGGTCACGTGATCGCCAAGGTCATTGAGAACGGCCAAGGATTCGATCTCCAACTTGGTTTGCCAATTGACAAACAAGAAATTCTGACGGCTTCCAATGAGCTCGTTTTCTTCACTGCGGAGAAAGGTCAACTCGAGAAGCGCACAGCCATCAAAGTGGACGCTGACAAAAAGGAATATTCTGGATGTTTCGATCAACTATCTGGAGTTCTTGGTCTTACCCTGTGTGGAGAATTCTCTGTTCCCTTCACCTTCTCTGGTAATTGTGATTTTAAAATATTTATTTCTCTATCAAAGGTAACTACATATTGATAGTATACTGTTTCATTTTCATCGACAGCTATTGCAATACTTTTGAATAATATACATGGCAAACGTTGTTTTGCCATTTTTAGTTCAATAAAAATAATTATCTACTATAATAAAAAATAGGGTTGTATGTATTTTTGTATGCTGTATCATAAAAAAATAAAAATCTTTATCTAAAAAATAAAATTTAAGGGGTAAAAATAAACATTTAACTTAAATTCCAAAAAAATATTAAATTTATTCTAATAATGATAAATAGAAATATAAAAAAAAAACATTATCTGAACCAATCAAAATATATTTTTAAAAAACATAAAGGTGTTAAACAAATATATATTAAAAATTTTAAGGTTTGAAAGATAGATAGATAGTAGCCGATTCTCAGACTTACTGAATATGCACAAAAAATGGTCGAAAATGGAATTGGTCGAGCTGTTTCGGAGGGTACGAACATTGTGACACGAGAATTTTATATATTAGATATTAAATTTAATTGATTTGCAGGTACTGAAGCTCAACAATCCATCTCAAAATTCCTAGCGAAGTACCCAGTAGTTGGTCCATCGAAAATCCGTGTTGCGTTAGAGAAGAACGACCTTCGAGGATACCACATCAAGGGCGCCATCAGAAACGACATGCAGAACGGCAAATACGGTGTCGAACTTTTGTTTGACGCTGAAGGTATTAAAACACTTTCTCTTTTCATATTATTTCCTTCTACTGGAATATCTATTAATCAATCTATTTTAGGTTCACAAAATCGTCGCACACAAATCAACGGTGACCTAATTAGTAACCCCGAAGAGAAGAGCATAAAGCTAAGCCTGGAATCTCCAATCAAAAACCTTTACGGCGAAATCTCTCTATTAACAAAATCGAACGAACAGGCCCTTTTGGTGCAAGCCAAGATGGATGACATGCAATACTACGCGAGAGCTGGTTTCACCGCTGCTGGCAATGACAGGAGGAAGATCTGGAAGCCAATTTTGGAATATGAATTGCCAGACAAGAATGGAAAGCAAAACTTGAAGGTTGACGGACAGTTGATCCAGGAAACCAATGGTCCAGCTGTCAGATACACTCTGGAAGGCATAAAGGTATTCTTGTCTTCTGAAGAATCTAATAATAATCAAATATTTTGACGATTCATACTTTAAAATTATTTATATTCTACTTTAATAATAATTACCTCTGTTACCAGGTCATTATTCCTAACTCCAACGAGCCAGTGAGCATGGAAGGACACTTCAGCCAAGAGCCCAAGTTGTTGGAGATGGACCTGAAGGCCAAGAAAGGCCAACACAATCTGTTACTAAGTGGTTCTCTCAAAGGCAGCGACGCAAAGATCGAGTTCCAGAACACCCTTAACCCCTTCGTTAACTTCAAGATTCTCGGACATTTTGAGAACACCAAATCTGTGAGTTAACTATGAACAATTATTATTTACTTTTAAGATAACGTTTTTTTATCTAGTTACTGCCCCTGCCGTCTAGGAGCTTTTTTCATCTCTATTTTATCTTAACAGTTACTACTAACGCAATATATATAATAATATAATGAAATATATTTTATATATATATATACATACCTAGATCTTATAACTAATCATAGCAAGCAACTCTAGTGATCTCAGCCAGTGTACAAACAAATAGGTCTACCTCGATAGAAATTCTGTTTATTATATGTATTGCTCGCGTGAGTGGGGCTTCGCTAACCAAGTTGGAATGTGCGCGCGGTACATTCAAAAGTTGAGACTTCCGCCTCAGCTTTTTACTTGGTATCCGCAGACCCAGTCTCTCCATTATATCTTCTTACTAAAAAGATACATAAAACAAAATGATACTCAATCGTGTTGCGCGTCTTGCGAGATACGCCCCGGCTACATCGATAATATTATTATCAATATTCATGGGCGAGCCGGGGCAGAATTGCTTGCGAGACATTTTCATTTTTGGATGCCTACATATTTAAAAATGTCGCAGAACCGTTCCAGACACGGTTTGTGCTTAGATTACGTATTTACTTGCACAAACATTATTTTAGTGGTTTTTGACATCCGCAAGCATGTTTAGACTTAATACTTGTATAAATTCATAAAATTGCTAAAATATTTTTTATATATTTCAGCTTATTCACAATGACATAGACCTATACTACGGTGGGGACCTCCGTAACCAACAGAACAGGGTCACTTTCAACCAACTTCTCAAATGGGCTGATGCTACAAACGTTATTACGAAGAACAAATGTAAATATTGATTGTTTAAGTCTTTATTAATTTGTTGCCATTTTTTTCAGAATTTAATAGTAATTTTTTTTTTTTCAGTTGAAATCCATGCGCTACCAGCTAAAGCTCAATTTGACCTCGAATACGATCCTAAAAAATTCAATTTGGATGTTGAGGGAAATTACGTCGACCGCAAATTTGATTTCGAAGTTGATGCCCGCACTGAGATCAAGAAAGTTGGTGATTACAAAGTGAAATCGAGCCTCACTATTGACAAACAATCCATAGAACTGTTTGTCAAACGCGACATAGTCTCTGCCGACAAATCTAATTTGGAAAATTACGTTGAAATCAAAAACTTGGGCAAATATGAATTGTCTGGAGTTGTTACACACAAGAACAAGCCTAACGATTTGAACCTTGGCGCAATTGGACATTTCAAAATGTCTGGTGGCAACTTAAGGGAGGAAGTTAAGTAAGTATATAAACATTCTGTAATTATGAAAATTGGGTTGGTTTTGGAACAAAATAAAAATAATAACATTAAATTACCGTTTTCTAGAAAAATCACATGCTTCTATGAGCGTCTATCAAATCCCATCACTTTACCGACTGATTAATTTAAAATTTAAAACATATGTTTTTTTTTAGTGTAGCCGTAATATTTAGTCAATGTAGTATCGAAATATGTTAAAAAGTGGATTTTGTTTTTTTTTCAAATCCGACATTGTTCTACGATCATGACGAAATTTTAGTCAAGATATCGTAATTTTTTCTCAGAAATTGTGTAATAGTGATTCATTCTATTTTTCGAATGCCATCTTATAAATAACTCTTTCTCGCAGCTTCGACGTAGGTATCATTGAGAACGACAGTTTGTACTCCGGACACGCTAAGCTATCACGCGCTAAGGACGGCACTATTGTGGACTTCTTGGCTAAGGTCAACCGCGGAGACAATGTTAACGGTCAACTCAAATTTCTGCTCAAGGACACTATCAACGCTAATGGACAATTCAAAGTAACTGACAGCTCGGGCAAAGGAAATGGAGTACTTATTATTGAATTCAAACAGGTAAGTAACACTGGCTGTTAGTGTTTTATTATCATTTAATACTTTTGTGTCTGTTTAAAAGAATTTAACCAATATTTTTTTAATTACTTGTTTGATATATTCAGATTACAGCTCTTTCATAAATGTGTATTATTTAACTTCAGAAGGCTAAATTCTATTTGATTATTTTTGAAGTGAAACTTCTTTAGGCGCATGATGGTAAATTTTTACGAATACGTCACGAAGATGTGCAGGGTTTTTGTTGAAGAAAAGGGAGAGAGCGATTGAGACGGCTTGAGAGAGGAGAAGGGCGAATTAACCTTATAGAAATTATATTTTAAAATTTAAATTTCTTAAAGAGAATTTATGAAATATTAGTATTTTATATTTTATGCAAAATAATTTATTGAAATCTCAAATAACGAATTGTAAATTAAGAAGAAATAAATAAAAAAATATTTATTTTTTATTTTTATTAATTTTTTTATTTATTTATTTTATTTTATTTATTTAGTTTTAGATTTGTATAAATATGAACAAGACTTAAAATTAGTTAGCCAAAGAAGTTTCACTTCTGACATGTGTACTTTGTACGCACACACTTTTTTTACTAAACAAGCCTTCAAATTTCTATAGAATAATTTCGTTTGATTAGAAAGTACATTATTGTGAAATGTTATTTTAATATTTGCTATTTGTAGGCGCAGCGTAAAATTAAAGCAGACGTTAAGTTCGTGTCAAAGGCACCGGAATACAGCGCAAATGTAGAGTTGTTCCTCAACTTTGACAAGGACAACAAAGACAAAATACATTTCGCCACCAACAACAAAGTCTCAGAAAAATCTGTGGAATCCAAGTAAGATCAATGATATATTTAAAGTAATTATTGTTAATTACGAAAGACAAAACTAACTTCGGTTGTGCGCGGCGACGGGAGAGTGACGTGTCGATCGCGTGATTGGTAAATCACTTGACGTTTGTGTCCAAACTTTCCCCCACTCCCTCGTTTAATGCTTAAGAAGTTTGCCGGTATCTGTACGCCTCACAGACATTAATGCAACTTTTCCTTTTTAAAATCATTTAATTTACTTTAAGGAACCAACTGGAGTACAACGGTAAGAAGGGAGAGCTGAATGTTCATCAAAATGGTGATTTGTTTGGCGTGGCGAAGGGAACTGCAGAAGTAGAGTTGGTGCTGCCCACGGAACGCTGCCTCACTCTTAAGATAAACCGGGACATTAGCTCCAAGGACAATGTAAGGCTTAATTGTACATAAATCTTATACGTGTTATTTATTGATAGCTTACGAACTAAACTTAAAAAAAAGAGTGTGTGTACTTATGTACACGCGTTAGAAGTTATACTCTATAAATGCACTCAAAACAGTTTATTCAAATCAGTTTTATCACTAATATTCAATATATATAGATATACTAATAAATAATAAATTATTATTAGTAAATACTATCACCGTCGTATATGTAATTGATTTAATAAAAACACCAAAATAATACTTATTTATTCACACAGTTTAATTGTACTGTTACGAAACACGTGTTCTAAATATAAAAATACTAGAATATACAACTTGAACATAGTAATTATCGATTTTCATGCCACCTGGAACTAACTTAACGATGTAGAATTTGGGTGTCGGTAAAAATTCACTCACATCATTTTTCTTCATCGCGCCAAAAGAAGTATAACTTCAAAAAATATGCAATAGGCCTATATGGACTCTTTAATAAACAAACTCTGCGACCCAAAAAGTGAGCCTCCTAAACGAAAAACTTCCAGTGCCACCACTCCCGAATTTCTGTCTTTCACCAATTGCTCCTTCACTCTTTACCTAGACCGATCATAAGGCCGTCTATAAACGAACTGCAAACCTTAAAAAATTAACAAATTCTTGTTTATTATTTTTTCAAATAATACGAGAGTGATAAAGACGAAGTATTCTATTGCTATTTAATACTTAAAGCTAAATGCTTAATGAAGATGGAAGTTTATTGTAATACATCTTTAGTAGTGCGTTCTTACATATACTCTTTAGAAGCGGGGAGGTATGGGAAGGTATTTTCATTCCTGCATTCTAGTTAAAGTTCTAGTTATTCTAGTTAAATCGATCGAAATATTTCTTATGCAAACATTTCCTAGGTATACAACGGTAACGCGGAAGGATTCTTCTCTGACGCTGCAAAGAAGGGAGGTGCCGCCTCTACCGTGCAGTACAAAGGCAGGCTCATAAACACTGACTTTGAAAAGACTTTCGACTACGAAGGGTCCGTGGACATTCGCCTATCAGATGGACGCAATATGGTTAACAACTTCTTATACAAAGATGTGCCAAACGGCGACAAAAATGATGTCAAAGTGAAGGTATATATACTTCTGTAGAATTAGGATTTATTTTATTTATGATAATAGCTGTGTGTGATGTTGAGAATGTCATTCAGTAGGGTAATGAGAAACAAAACAAACAATAGATTTCATATTAGTTTTATTTTTCAATACTTGTGAAAAAGAAAAAACAATCCTTGCAATCATGCAAAATTTTAGCTTGATCGGTGCAGAACTTTTTGAGTTTTTGAAGCTTACACAAACCAACATAACATTTATATATATAGATAATGATCGTAATTCAATTTCAAAGTTTTACTATACTTATGTATTCTTTATAAATCTTTCGTAATTTTGTGTAATTACAATCTTATTATTATGCGTATGCGCTGTAAATTAAATGTAATGATATGGATTTATAGACTCAAGAATCTATTTCATTATTATTGTTACGTGATTAAGTAGTAACGGCGTTCAAATCAACTGATATGGCGAATATATTGTGGGAAAATATTTTAAAGCTATTGTTCTTTCGATGTATATATTCTATCTAAGAAGGTAGGATTCGTAGCAAATACACTCAGTATCTTAGAGTTTCTGCGAAAAGAAAACCGGCGTGGCAGTAATGCGAACTAATATCGTTCTAAATCCGCGTACCAGTTAAAAAATCGTATTCATTAAAAAAAAAGAAATAGTACGGGCTCTCAACAAACAAACAACAAACTTCAACCAATAATTCAAGAATATGTGACAGGTAGACCGATAACCTAGCCGCAGACGCACGTCTTAAATAATCTTCGGCAATGGTTTGGTCATAGCACCAAGTCGTTGATCAGAAGCGTGGCATACAAAACTAAAGAAGAGGCCATGATTGCTTTAAGAATATTCATCTTATCACAAAATTGTTTTACTTTTCATAAAAAAGCAGACTCGGCCAAGCGTTGCAGTGGCTAAGTTTTTTGTTATATTACATAGTAGGAAACTATTAAAAGGTAACGGTACGAGAACACCAGTCATGGGGACCACCATGCTTTTTTGGTGGAAATGCCATTAAATTATAGCTTATGTGAAACGTTCCAACATAGCGCCATCTGTTAGAATTGTGTCAAATAATAAACAAATAATTTGCAATAAAATAATATTGCGGCTAAAAATTAAGATGTAAGCTATCCTATCTTTTAGGTTGGAACAAACTGCACACGGTGTGCAAATTTAATTTAAAATCGGTTAAGTAGTTTAGGAGTCCATCGCGGACAAACAACGTGACACGTTATTTATATATATTAACAAATCTCACGACGGTTCCCTTACTGCACAGAGTCTAGATATAAATATTGTGAAATTAGTGTCGGGGTTTTGAAAACTGCACAGAATTCTTAAAAAAACAATTTTTCAGCTCGATGTATCCGGTAGCTTGATTCCGAAGAAGATCTTGATCGACGGAAGTGCGTCATACAAGGACTTAACAGACTTATACGCGTGCCACTTAAAGACCAGTTACGGAGATGACCTCTCGGCGGAAGCTGTTGGAAAATATGCTGCTCACTTCCCCAACCATGGAGAAAAGAAGTGAGTTAATGTTGGCCTAGGCTTCAGCGGGCGACTCTCATACCTGAGGTCGTAGGTTCGATCCCCAGCTGTGCACCAATGGATTTTATTTCTATGTGCGCATTTAAAATTTGCTCGAACGTCTTAGATCCAAAAAGTCGATGGCGTGTGTCAGGCACTGGAGGCTGATCACCTTGCCTATTAAATTTAAAAATGATCATGAAACAGATTCAGAAATCTGAGGCCAAGACCTAAAGAGGTTGTAGCGCCACTGACTTATGAATGTTTACCAAATATACAATATTTGTTTACCAAAACATTCAAGCAGTATAATTCTCGGCACTATCTATCTATATATATCTTCATTTGTTTCATTATTAGACTTGATTACATAGAACTTTATATTTTATTTCAGATTATTGAATGACTTCTCGGTGACCGTAAGACTGCCACTAGAAAAGGCCCACGACGTTAAATGGGTTTCATCTTTCCTCTTCCTTCAACCTGAGGGCAAGGACAGCGAAGTAAGTCAAACTTTTAGAACCAAGTTTTCTTCCGATTTGTATAAAGAAAACAAGAAAAAATTGTTATCTCGCAGCGGCTATTCAAAAAGTATTAAATAAAATTAAACATATTCCTATATGGTTTATTATATTATATACTGTTAAAAATAGTTTTGTTGTTCTAATAAAAATTACTTGTCTAGGTAACTATTATCGAGTCTATCCAAGTCAACGGAGACTTATACAAGATTGACGGCAGCGGCAAGTTCAACGAGAAAACCGGTAACAACAAACTGAAAATCATTGTACCTCACAACGACCCCGTTACCTTGGACTTTGGGTACAAGGCTGTAATTCAAGGTAACCTTTATTCAATTTTTAATAATTAACTAGTTGTTACCCATTTAGGGGGATGAAAAATAGATGTTGTCCGATTCTCAGACATACCCAATATGCACACAAAATTTGATAAAAATCGGTCAAGCCGTTTCGGAGGACTATGATAACTAACATTATGCCACGAGAATTTTATATATAAGATAATAAAAAGTCTTATAAAACAAAACTTGATGTCTTCAACTATTAAGATTTTTTTTTAAATTTGATTCAAACTTGTTTTGGATTTTGATAAAATACTTATATTATTCTTAAATTTTAAAATTAAACTTGAGGGAACAAAACATGTTACTTCTTAAATATCCATAAAATCCTTTTTTTTCAGGCGATGAAAAGGGTGGTGATGTTAACTTCAAGGCTCAGTATGGCAAAGGCAAGACGATGGCTTTGGCTATCCAAGGAGCTGCCGCACCAAGGGATTACAAACTAGCGATTGACGCGGCCGCACCTGACAATACCCAGGCCAAGAGGCTCTCAATCAATTTGCACAACAAGGTAATATATAACACTAATTATATATCAGAGCATCATGGTTAATGATCATTATGTATCAATAAATAAAATCACTTCAAAACTGTTAATACTAGTGATAATAGTAATACTGATTTCATAGTCATTATTGTTACTAAAATAATTTGAAAGCTCTATGACACATGGCATAGAGCTTTCAAATGACAATGACAGTGACAGATGTCAGTAATACCAATTCTCCGACATAGATAATGAATAAGTGTAAATATATACTAGCTGACCCGGCAAACGTTGTTTTGCCATGTACCTATATTATTTCTAGGAAACATCTTTAGTTAAATAAAAATAACTATTTACCTACTGAATATGCATATAAAATTTGATAAAAATCGGTTGAGCCGTTTCGGAGGAGTATGGTAACTAACATTGTGACACGAGGATTTTATATATAAGATAATAACACAGTGAGGTAGTTTAATAAATGAACTAATAAATATGAAATTAATCATGTTGAGGTTGAATTCCGAAGAGATACAAAATACATTACAATATATATTTTTCTTTAGATAAAAGCATTAGGGTTCCACGTTTCTCTAATATTTTTGTGCTTATAAGAAATAGATAAGTTCATGATCGATTTTATAATTTACAGAACCCAACCCCTGACACCTACAACTCACTACTTTTGGTGTCCGTAGACGACCGCGTATACAAATCAGAGTCCGTTGTTGTTCTTTCCAACAACCACCCCTCGATCGACTTCAAGTACATCAGCCCAACCTCGCAGAAGATTACCAGGTAACAACTGCTTTTAACATGTTGGCTTTAAAGACACCTGTACAAAAATATTCTGTATGATATTTTCAACAAGACTATGGCTTCATTTACTATTTGTATCCGACTTAAAAAACAGGGAGTTTATTAGTTGACCTGTAAATATTGGTATATAATGATAATGAATTTACGCTACTACTATATAAATAAAGCCAAGTTTGGCTCTGTACATCGTGAGCAAACAACGTTTACGGGGCGAGAGTACGTTGAGTATTTACCGCGGCTATAAATAGTTACCTGCAGATAGTTTGCCCTAACGCCAACTATCAAAACAGTAAATTAAACCCCCTTTTTTTTCCGCCATCTGTACATAACGTGACCCGTTATCAATATAAACAACCTAATTCTTATTATGATTGTATTATATTATTTTGTAAAATAATGAAATTAAAAAAAAATACGTGTGGCACTCACTGCCGCGGTAAAGCCATTGCATAGCATTTTTTATAAACTTATGCAATATAATTATCTATTTATTTTTTGCAGTATTTTTTTCCTTTGATATTAATCCAATCTACCACACTTCCAGACTCGATGTGAGACGCAGTATGCGTTCTGTCCCGCTCTAACGCGTATTGGCCGCACCTATATTACGTCATCGTGTGTTAGGTTTATTTCGTTACGAAATTTCTTGATTCGGTCGCCGCGCTCAAAGCCGATAAAATCTATGCAATAGCTTAATACATCAATTTTTTTTTTTTTTTTTCCCTTTACTGGCATTTGAATTTGGTTTAAATTTTCTAAATTTTATTTTATTTTTTTATAGAATGTACATGGACGGTAAAATGGAAATTAACCGCGGTCAAGTGGACCTCAAATTAGAGAACTTCCGTGATTTCGACTTAGACGCCTCATTCACGGCTGGCTTTGACAAAGATATCCTTGTCAAATTCTACGGAAACTCGGCGAAATTGGACCTGAAGGACTACCGTCTGGACATTACCACCAAGGATGCTGGAAATGGCAAGAGGCTGGAATTCAGCGCTGTGAATGATAACAAGAATATATTGAGTGGAAGGTGAGTTTTGACTATATTTTTTATTATCTTTAATTCTGCATTGTAAATTAGACCTTCAGGTAATGCGGTAAAGAAGTAATTTCAATGCATGTATAGAAAGCAAATATGAACTTGCATTATTTGAATATTCAATATTCCTGTAGTAGATTATATCGATTTTTTTAATGAATTTCTCTCGTTTTTATGTCTAATGTCTAACCTAATTTACTTAAAAGAATATTTAATATCAGTAGTGTTATAGGACTACTTACAGTCAATTCTTATTTACTATTTTTTATTTTCACTTTCCACTGTTTAGCACTTAAGACTAATGTGCACTAACACTACTTAACTATATCGAATCGAATATATTAAAATATAATCTGTATTAATACTTTTAGGAACTTCTTGTGTTTAGGGAAAAATTCATTGTTAATTTTAGTAGAATCCATTTTTAATACTAATAAAACACTAGTATAGTAGTTACTAAATAATAAATGAAAATTAAATAACTCCTGCATACAATGCAAATCTCAACAGATAACCCTTCGTGACCGAGTCGACATAAAAAACATTGGTTTAATACCTTTATTATTGTTTTCACAGTACATCATTCATCAAGAAAGAGGAAGGGCCCAAGACAATCATCGAAGGTTCTGGAACATTAAAGGTCAAGGACACACAGAAACCAGCTAACTTCAAGTTCATCCGCACAATGCTTACAGAGGGCTCTGAACAAGGAGTTGAGGTAAAATTCCTTTGATACCAACGTGTTTTGTTTTAGATTCCCCTTTTATCTGATTGTATTGTCTAAATTAATGTGTTAAAATAGGCTCGTGAAGGAAGACATTGAATCTTTATCCTTTTTAATATATCCTTTTGAGCTAGAAATGTTAGAAATTAAATAAAAATAACAAATTTTGTTCAGACATTCATCAACGTAGCGGTCGGCGAACGCAACCACGTGGTAGAATCCCGCATTACTAATTTGGAGTACAAGAGCTCGTATGTTTACTGCGAAGAGACCAAACAATGCGCACACGCAGAACTAAACTCCAAGATCAACGTTAATCGTGAGTAGACGATATTAAATTTTTTATTAAATTAATAGAATTGATTTAATACAGAAAGCAATACCAACTTGATGTTTCTAAAAGAGAATTCAAATTTTTAAAGGCGTAACGAATGATTGGTTATAATAATAATACTAACTAACATTGGATTAACCTTTTAGAGCCCGGAGTAGTCCAACACCTCTTCAACGTTGGCTTTGACTTACGCAAACTCGGATTTGCCACTGAGTTCGGTCTGGAAGCTGTAAACGAGTTCTCCGACAAGATGTTCCCGCAATACCAACTTAATTTGCACGTAAACCGACAAACGGAGAAGATTCATCTCAACGCATACAGCAAACCTGAATTTGGCAGTAAGTATTTATATACTTTAGTAACCTTTAAAGTTTATAAATATCAGTTTTTCAGACAAACACTTATTCTTGAATCTTAAAAAAACTTGTTAAAAAATCATTTATTCATACGAATTATAATCTTACGATATTATTTTACCTTATTAATAATATAACCACTTAAAACATGGCCAGTAAAAATAAAGACTTCCCAAATAATCATATTAATATTATTTTTCAGAATTCCCAGCTGGTATCACCATCGAACTCCCCAAACGCGTATTCGCAGTGGAATCCCTCGTCCAATACCCCACAGACAAGTCCCTACCGTTCCCGGTCCGTGCAGAAATCAGCCTGTTCCCGGACAAGAAGAGGCCAGAAACAAAGACTGGAGCTCGATTCCTGGTGGACCTCAACGTTAACAACAAGGGCGGAGACGGTGTTGCTGAACTTGGATTCGTTCACCCGAAGATACGCAAGGTACTTTATTTTACTCGACTAAAATGTTATGATTGTTTTGACTAATCATTCTCTCTTGTTATTTAAATATCAGAATAAATTAAAAGCTTTGCTTATATTACACTAGCTGACCCGGCAAACGTTGTTTTGCCATATATATTATTTCTAGGAAACAGTTATAATATCTACTATAATAAAAAATAGGAGTTGATCGTAGAGAGGTGAAAATTGAGGGTTGTATGTATTTTTGTATGCTGTATCATAAAAAAATACTAAACCAAAAATGTTTATCTTAAAAATAAAAAAATTGGGGTGGACCACTCTTAACATTTTGGGGTTTGGAAGATAGATACTACTGAATATGAATAAAAAATTTAATAAGAATCGGTCGAGCCGTTACGGAGGAGTATGGGAACGAAAATTGTGACAAGATAATTTTATACATTAGATATAAAATTCTCGGGTATAGAAACGCGTTATAAGTGGTAAAACTTCTTGATGTTTCTGAAATTGTTGATACTGGCATATATAACAGCTACCGTATATATGGTTGGTGGATTCAGTTTCCGCACTTAAACTCATAATCGGTCCGTTGTGCGTAGATCTGATACCGTATATAATACTGGTAACTACTATCAATTGGTATGCGGTTATTAAGTTTAAATATATTTATTTATATGTTCCAAAACAATGTGTATCCTTATAAAATTCAAGAAAATATGACACCACAAATTTAACACACATTAATTATATTAGAACATAAGACGTAATCTATAAAACGAGAAAATTAAAACAAACACAAAATAAAAACTAAAAATTAATAACTAAAACTAAAAAGATAAAAAATAAAATTAAAATAACAATAACAACCCAAACGAAATGAAAACTTAAAACTCGTTATTAACTTTGTTTATCGTGCTCTTAATGAGGTTAATGAATAAGTGAATAATATTTGTTAGCACTACTTATTAAGTACGATTTAAAGAAAAAATATACCGTAGTGGCCTTATGGTAATTAAATGTTTTCTTTTAGGTGATCATGGTATAACCAGATATAATTAAACTTACACGACTATTACTCACTTTAAACTCTAGCTCCTGAGTGACATTTTGTTAAAATTTTTACGTAATAGATGACGTTAAGGCAACATTTCCCTTCAGACTGTAATTTTTATATGTACGTCGATTGTAAAGAAACTCGAAAAAATGTGAATTATTTAATAGATTTGCTTTTATAGATACTTTTTACGATTGTTATAAAGGTTTATTATAACTATTAGGAGGCCCTGATCCGTCTGAGTGGTGGAATACAACGTCCCGATGAGAGCTCCATCAAGATCTCTAGTTCCGGTCTCGTCTCTCACCCGCTACTTGGAAACGTAAGCATTAATTATTATATGAGGTTTACAATATTTTCACGAATGATTAACAAGTAATTTATAACTAGCAGACCGGCCAAGCGTTGCTATGGCTAAGGTTTTTGTTATATTACATAGTAGTAAACTATTCAAGGGAAACGGTAGGAGAACACCAGTCATGGGGACCACCATGCTTTTTTGGTGGTTATGCCAATAAATTGTAGATTATGTGAAACGTTGGTACTTTCAGCACAGCGCCATCTGTCAGAATTGTAACTATCAAATAATAAACAAATATTTTGCAATAAAATAATATTGCGAGTATAAATTGAGATGTAAGCTATCCTTTCTTTTAAGTTAGATCAAACCGCACACGGTGTGCAAATTTGATTGAAATCGGTTCAGTAGTTTAGGAGTCTATAGCGGACCAACAACGTGACTTGTAATTTATATATATTAAGATAAATAAACATTTACCTAAATAAACAAATCTGTTATTTTTATTAAATTGCTTACATTTTGTAGGACCGCAAAGCCGAATTCAACCTGGAAGCTAATCCCACTCACGTCAAACTTTTGGTATGTATTATAACATCGTTATAAATTTTCAAATACACTTCTCTTATATTCTATTAATTTATACTCTTTGGTTTTAGTGGAACACCCCAATCGTGAAGGTCATTGACCTGGAAGGATCAGCCGTGTTCAAGGACAATCTTCAACAGGCGGATGTCCGTTTCAGCATCTTACAGCTTAAACCTGTACAAATCTACGGCGTGGTAAAGGACTTCCAGTACTACGAGTTCACAACTGGATACAGTGGTAAATTTACATATGATATAAAAAGTTTTTATATTGTGTAATCCTTCTTACGATTCAGGGTGAGATCCAGAAACTAAACCACATTTTTCGAGATTAGATTTTTTATGCGCCGGAGTATACAATATAACGAATATTGCTTGCCGACCTTTTAAATAATAGTTAAGTCGAGTCGAGTTTATGAGTTTGTTAAAAAGAAAAAAGTAAAAGTGTAGTTTTTTTACCCAAATAATAATCTTTTAAAGTGTATGGTAAAATATGAAAAAAATTATAACGGGTTTCAATTTTCGAGGGAAGAACACTTTTGGAAGGGGCATACGATCTGTTCAATATATAATGGCTTTTGTAATCTTGTTCATGATAACAATGATTTTCATATTGATACTAGCCATGTATATAATTTTTTTAGTTCAATAAAAATAACTGTCTTCTATAATAAAAAATAGGGGTTGATCGTAGAGGGGTGACAATTAAGGGTTGCATGTATTTTTGTATTATCATAAAAAAAAAATATCTAAACAATTAAAATTTTGGGGTAGACACCACTTATCACTTAAGGGTTTGAAAGATAGATAGTAGCCGATTCTCAGACTTACTGAATATGCATAACAAATTTCAGAGGAATCAAACGAACATTGTGACACGAGAATTTTATATATGCCATGTTTATCATTTATAATAAAAAATAGGGGTTGATCGTAGAGGGGTGAAAATTATGGGTTGTATGTATTTTTTAATGCTGTATCATAAAAAAATTAAAATTAAAAAAATTATCTAAAAATTAAAAAATTAGGGGTGGACTACCTTTAACATTTAGGGGGATGAAAAATAGATGTTGTCCGATTCTCAGTTATACCCAATATGCACACAAAATTTAATGAGAATCGGTCAAGCCGTTTCGGAGGAGTTTAACCACAAACACCGCGACACGAGAATTTTATATATTAGATTAATTTTTTACACATCCTTATTTTTATAGATGAAAAGGAACGCAAGCTCTCAGTAATCGGTCACATTGAGCCCGAGAAGCGCGTAGACTTCTCCGTTGACATCGTTTTGCCAGGACAAAAGAAGAACATTGTACACGCTGCCCTATTCATGAAGGACAATCTCGTTAAATCAGAATATGGTATCTCGCAGGATAACTACAACCACTTTGTGGTAAGGCTTTTACTAAATTCATAACACTTTTTTCCACAAAGCAAATGCGTATTACATATTGTCCTTGTAGAAGACTACGGAAAATACGAATATGTGTTAAAAGAGTAAATTGTGTGTAGAAAATGCTACTGCTGCTAAATGCTTAACTTTTTTTTTTAAGTGAAACTTCTAATACGACTTCCAACAAGGTTGCTTTAAACGTTTAACGCTCCTGGAGAGGGGAATAGAAAGAGACAGAGCGAGAGTGAATACGTGGCACTCGAGCGCACGCGCGTAGTATACCTTTCAGGCCAGCGTGAGCGTTAGCAACGCGTTAATAAAGTTTGTCTTAAAGAAACAATATGATTTCACTAAAACTCAATTTCTACCCCTTCCTATTTTCATTTCCACATCGCGAAGTTTCACTTCTTCCGCGCGGAGGGACTCCACGTACTATTTTTTTAGTAACAGGAGGCTCACATTGCCAGAAGGCTCGCCAGTGCGTTGCCGGCCTTTAGCTACTTTTTAATTTTTTATTGCCAAAATCTTATGTATAACATATTAACAAGAAAAATAAATCTAAAATTATGTTTACAGACTGCGTTCAGGAGTGATTTAGACACACTCTTAGCTAAGTCCAAGGAGATCAATGAAAAGGCCAGTGGGGACTTCAAGCAAATGCTGAAACGCGTTGAACCCAAAGCCAAGGAGCTTGAACAAATGTACCGCGAAGACTTCCAGAAACTGATGCAAGAGATCACCAACGACAAGACCATCAAGGAGCTCTCAGAGGCTGCGTAAGTTTTCAAATATTAGTACATTAATCCCTGCTATAACACGGATGATTGGTTAAGCGTTACAGGAAGTAGGAAGAGGAGTAGGAGTATTCTCGCATAACGCGCTTGTATGTCCCCATATAACGCGTTATGTACAAATGATTCACGTTTAACTTTTCACGTTAAGGGGGATGAACGAAATATGTACGTACAAATCATTATAAATGTCACGGTACAGAAATGTAACGTGTGAAATCCCCGCGTTATATAGGGGAATACCCGTGTTATACGAGGGACTGAAATCGCGTAATATGAAAATACTGTATATAAAATTTCACGCGTTTTAATGAAAATGCACATAATTTTACTAAATAATTTGATTGTTCTCAAACTTTACTTTTGTGTGTATATAGAAATTATTATTGTATGAAATTATACAATCATCCTAATGTAATAGATTGAACACGCTCAGAAAAATACGTATATCCTTGCTGTACGTGTATGTGCTAAGTGTTAAAAAAAAATCTTTAAATTTCGATGTTTTTGTAGTATACTTTATTTTGTATTTTAGACACGATTTGATCCAAATCATCGCAAAGATGATCGACGAAGTAGTGACTGTGACGAAGCCAATCGTAGACAAGTGTATCGAAGCCGTTACTACAGTATCCAAGAAGATTTGCGAATTATACGAGCAACAGGTAAGATCTCTACGGTAAAGGTACATCTTGTTATATCCTTGAATTTCTCATCGTATTATTAACTATACAGAAGCTTATATAATAATCAAGGTATAATCAAATAAATACATAAGTTATTCAGTATTTTAATTAATTATTTATTCAAAACCACTAAATCAGACTTCACGCTGTTTTCCTTTCATACATCTCGTTCTAAGAGAATTTACGCTGCGATGAAAAACACAGTAAAAATAGTTCGATTGGGTTTATAAAAATTCTAAATTAATAGGGTTACTTGCATATTTCTCTTAAAAGATCTGTATTTATAATGGAATTGTTCGGTTTATATGACTATATTTATGTTGTTCTATTACTATATGTTCCATATAATTAAGACCGTAAAAATCTTTTCCAGGTTGAACCCCAACTGAAGGAACTCTACACGAACATAATGGCAGTTGTCCGTCAGTACTTAGACGGTATTATCGATACGGCCGCACATCTGTCTGCTATCGTCATTGATTTCTTTGAGAAACACAAGGCTGAGGTTGATGAACTCGTCAACACCATTTCTAACATCTTCAAAGGTGAGTAATTCACGTCTAAAATAATCATATTAGTGTTGGAATTTATATAAAGATAATTTAAATAAACGATTGTTTTAGTCCTAACAATAGTATAGATTATCATATTTATTATATTTTTAGATATCGTACGCATTCTCTTCGCGCAAATGAAGGAATGGCGTGTCCGAATCTCTCAGGTATTCTCCGAAGTCACACAACAAATTCAAGAAATTCCGATCTTCGCCATGATCAAGGAAAAGGTAACTGAAAGTGTTTAATAGATTTTTTTTAAATGGTATACTTACTAATTATATATGCATACTTAAATGGCGGGCGTCAATTAATGATGTTTTTAGTTTAAAATCTAAATTTAATTTAATCAAAGTATGTTCGTAATAACATAATTATATCTTAATTGTCATTAAAAACTTACATAATATATTTCTTTAATTTGTTTTTAAACTCCTTTTAATACGATAAGAGATTTTTAATTAGAAGTTCCAAGTTAGCTCCTTCAGAATTTTTCAAAATTAGTTTACACGCCAATTTATACTCGAATCTACACTAATTATTAACAATATATTATAAATCTAATACGTTTAGAAGGTTGACTGACATAAATGTTTCAGTGGAATGAACTGGCAGTCCCAGAACAAGCTTTAGCCATCGTGCAAGAGGCCCATCAAGCAGTCCGCGCTTTCCTTCCTACCGACGAAACCAAGAACTTCTCTGATGCCCTCTTCAACTATGTACAAAAGGTACGGAACTCAAAACAATTGTGTTACATAAAAAAATATGTGTGTGTACTTATGTACACGCGTTAGAAGTTATACTTCTTTGGCGTAACAAGATAAAAATATTTTCAAAAATTTTATCTTTCGCCTTATTCTACGTTTGTAGAAAAAACGACACTAACAATAGAAAAAAGGTATTTAATACATTGAAAGTTTTACTATAACGCATTTTCTACTTAAATAAAGTTTATTTAAATATCACAAATACATATTTCTACTTAATTAAAGCAATTGAAATTTTTTATTTTAAAATGTTGACTATGCTAACTTCAGGGTGTCGGTTTTTTTGTGACGGTGTGCGCGCGCATCGTAAACATTTACTCTCATAATTTTTACCTTACGCGCCAAAAGAAGTATAACTTCAAAAATACACATGTATTCCATACTTAGTAGTGAAGGAAGGCTTTTATCTAAAAACAAAAAGCCATCATCACGTATTTTTTTATTTCAAAATCTCTAACAAAATATAAAAGTGCTATATACTAAATCTTTTTTCTTTTAATTATATTTCTTCTAGAAAATTTTAATGTAAAATTAAATTACTTTTTATATAATAGAAACTTAAGCAAGAGAAGATGGACGAACAGGCAGAACTCAAGATCGTATACGAGAAGTTGGTGGTGGCAGTCACGTCTTTGGTACAGTTCGTCAGAACCAACCTCAGTCATTTGGGTATCTCCACTGCACCTATCCTCGGATTGGTAAGTTATTTATCTAATTCTGAAAATCTTTTTAAAATGTGGCTTCGGCTAAATGAGTGTTTCATTATTACTTACTAGCTGACCCGGCTAACTTCGTTCCGCCTAACAGTCGAATAATATCGTGTTAACTTTAGTTACACTTAATTAAGGATTTCATTAAGGTAATAACATTAATACAACTTTTTTTTTTGCAAATACAGAAATGTTTTATTGCTTGCCATTGCGAAAGAAGAATGGCAGTTTTACACATTAGGCCTCTTCTCTCTAGCGCCAATATTGCGACACTGCATGTTAAAGCACTTTCTGATAATACAACATTTTTTGATGAGGTCTTCCATCAAGACATCTCTTCCATCAAGATCAAAGCCTGGTTATGCATCTCCTCATTCAGTTCAAGATCGGAATTTCTTGAACTAACACGAATTCGATGTAAAATGATGCGTAATTTTGTCAACAGATGGCACCACATGGTGTTTTCATTCGTAAAATTTATCAATTTATTTGTTGTTATTCGATAAATTATCCGTTATTTCATAACTTATTCTGCTATTCGGAGCGGAGAAGAATCCACCAAAAAAGAGATAACTAACATTGGTCCAGCCGATCTTGAGTTATAAGTGGTGTAACTAACACGAATTTGATTTTATATATTTATAGATAGATTATTATTATGTTATCCCGGCAGTTAAGTTCCTTACTGTCACTGCCCGGAAGTTTGAGGTTCTACCTAATCTATACATTACAACTAAAAACAGCTATAGATAATTAAAAACATATGAACTTTTTTTCCAGCCATCGTTCTCTGGCCCCAGCGCCATATCTGCTCCAACCTTCGGTGGATCTGCAGCCTTTAGCTTCATTACTCAGCTGATCAACGGTGACATCCCTGATCCATTCAGACTCTTCTACACTTACCGTCCACGTAGCTTCAACCCACTTGATGAGGTGCCAGCCAAGAGTAAGTTTCGTAATATTCGTTTAAAAAACGTCAAGAGTCATCTTATCAATAATTGTAAAGCTAAATTGTATTTCATAATTCATTATAACAGTAGTAAGTTTTTTATTTTCTTCGTCTGTAAAAGTATTCATTACTAATAAAACAGTGGCGCTACAACCTTTTAATGTCTGGACCTCAGATTTCTGTATCTGTTTCATGATCATTTGTTAATCTGTGCCTTCTGTGCCTGACGCACGCCGTCGAATTTTTGGGTCTAAGGCAAGACGGTTTCCTCACGATGTTTTCCTTCACCGTTCGAGCAAATGTTAAATGTGCACGTAGATGAAATTCTATTGGTGCACAGCCCGGGATCGAACCCACGACCTCAGGGATGAGAGTCGCACGCTGAAGCCATTAGGCCAACTCTGCTTATAATAAAACGATATCGGATGTAATAATAAACAATTTTTAATCCTGAGATTAAGAATATTTAACCCACCAATGGGGCAGGGTAGATATATTTTTACGCCTGTCATCATTTCGATCCCATTTGTTAATCAAGCCTCGATATTTTTCTGTATACAATGATTATTTCTCTAATTTGAATAACGCTGATCACTGCGGTTTGCCACTGAGATAGGAATCATTTCCTGTAATTAATCTTTTGATTTTTAATTCAATTAATTTTAAACATTAACTTGTTAATTTTAACTTAGTGCGCGCTGTGGTCGTGAACGGCCAACACATATTTACATTCGATGGGCGTCACTTGACGTTCCCTGGCAACTGCCGCTACGTACTCGCACACGATCACGTCGACCGGAACTTCACTCTGCTCCTCCAAATGCAGAATGGAAACCCCAAGTCCCTTATTATGGAAGACAAGAACGGCGCAGTTATAGAACTCAAGGAGAACGGACAGGTATTATATTGATACAAAAAAAAAACAATTTTTAACTAATTTTGATTCGTACATGAATTATACTGTTTTCACTTTGTTTAAATTTAAAACTTAATTTTGACATCAATTGAATTTATGTGTGCATGATATTAACTATACAAACATAAGAAGGAATTTTATACATAGAAAAAATTTGCCCCATGCTATGATAATGTGGTATTTTTTTTTTAAATTTCCATAGAACAATTCATAGTTAGTTTGTTCTACAAAATAAAACTAATCGTGTTTTAAATTATATAATTGCGTCATTTTACAGGCAACCATTAACGGTGCTAACCACGGCTACCCGATCATAACAGAAAACTCGTTTGCCTTCAAACAACCCAACGGTCGGATTGGTTTGGGATCGCTGTACGGCATCATGGCTTTCTGTACTAGCAAACTTGAGGTAAGCATATACCCTTAAATAATAATAAACTAACCTATGTATGGGAATGAAAATATATATACATACTAGTGGACCCCACAGACGTTGTCCTGCATGATATTTAAAGCGATTAGGATATTAAGCAAAGTATGAAAGTACCGACTGCAGTGCCATCTGCCGGGCTGATTTGTGAATCTAAACCATTCCCAGATCCCCTTGAACACACACAAAAAATTTCATCAAAATCGGTCCAGTCGTTTGAGAGGAGTTCAGTCACATACACACGCACAGAAGAAATATATATATTAAGATATGAAGAATATTGGAGAAGTAGCGCCAATTCTCTCGCGAATTTTCTTAACAAAATATGTGTATGAAGCAAGGTCCCGCACCACAATCGTCGGGGAGATATGAAATTTATATTATACTAGCTGACCTGACAAACGTCGTTTGGCATGTATATCATTTATAATAAAAAATAGGGGTTGATCGTAGAGGGGTGAAAATTAGGGGTTGTATGTATTTTTTAATGCTGTATCATAAAAAAATAAAAATAAAATTTATCTAAAAATTTAATAAAAATTTAGGGATGGACTACCCTTAACATTTAGGGGGATAAAAAATAGACGTTGTCCGATTCTCATATGCACACAAAATTTCTTGAGAATCGGTCAAGCCGTTTCGGTGGAGTTTAACTACAAACACCGCGACACGAGAATTTTATATATTAGATTTTGTTATAAAATACATAAAAAAGCCCTTATCCGAAATATATATAAAATGTATCTTTTTTATGTGGATATACTTAAAGGTTCGAAAAATGTAGTAAAAAACAGGTAGTAATGAAATCGGGTCTAATCAAAATAATAATCCTCGTTTTAAAATGTGTAATGTGTGAGAGAGTAAATAAAATAAAAGATCATACCTAAAACAAAAAAAAAAAACCTACTTAACGTAACTATATAATCTTAATCCTTCAATTAATCTTATACTTTGTTGACGTTAGTTACAGCTGAAGATTTGCGTTTAAAAGCATTGAGGTTACATTAAAATAGTGTTTATAGTTAACAGGTTTATCTCAATGTATAGAAGAATCTATTTCAAATAATTTCAATAACACTTCAGACTATTTTAACATAGATTTAAAATATTTGTTTTTGCTTTAAATAAAGGTGTGCTACATTGAAGTATCAGGATTCTACCTTGGCAAACTTCGTGGTCTCCTCGGAGACGGAAATAACGAACCCTACGATGACTTCAGGCTTCCCAATGGCAAGGTTTGTTAAATTCATTTATTTTAAATAAACGACTATCAAAGTTCATACAAAACTTTCAATTACATTGTAAAATACACTTTAACAGGTTGTCAATAGAATTTAATTATTTCTAGAAATTTAAATGTGTAGGATTTGAGCAGTGTTGGCCTAGTGGCTTCAGCGTGCGACTCTCATACCTGAGGTCGTAGGTTCAATCCCCGGCTGTGCACCAATAGCGTTTCTTTCTATGTGCGCATTTAACATTTGCTCGAACGGTGAAGGAAAACATCGTGAGGAAACCGACATGTCTTAGACCCAAAAAGTCGAGCGTGTGTCAGGCACTGGAGGCTTATCACCTACTTGCCTATTAGATTTAAAAATGATCATGAAACAGATTCAGAAATCTGAGGCCAAGGCCTTAAGAGGTTGTAGCGCCACTGATTTATTTTATTTTATAGGATTTAAAGTAAATTTTATTTTTAAGATGTCACTGTTTCGTGATTTACTAAACAGTTAACGACCTGCCTTTCTTACGTGTGAGATGTTTTCAGATCACGAATTCTGAAAGCGACTTCGGTAATGCATACCGTATGGCCGGAAGCTGTCCACAAGTGAAGACTCCGGAGCACACCCACCACCAACTTCACTCCACTCTTCCACCTGCTTGTGAAGCTATCTTCGGAGGCACCTCCTCTCTTAGACCCTTGTCCTTGCTGCTTGATATCGCTCCATTCAGGTAATGTAGATTAACTTTCTTCTTTTTTTTTTTTTTTACTTTAACTAAACCAAAGGTGTACCATTACAAGCAATACAAATGTTTCCAAAACATTTAAGTTGCGAACTGTTTAACAACATTTAATTTAATAGACCTTTTATTATTATTATTATTAGGTCTGAGGAATATACATTATACATTAAATGTAGCTACTCCAAAAGATCTCCACCGAAAAAGGGACAAATTTGACTTATTTGAGGGCAATAAAAAAATGCTACGTATTTTATATGTTTTACCTACAAAAAGGTAAATCTAAATATTCACATTAGGGTTGCCTGGAAGAAATTGCTTGTTAGCGATAAGGCCGCCCGTTGCCTTATAATTTGTGTAACCTGATTTTTTACTTTTGTTATGTGTATGTTTTTGAATAAGGTTATAAAGTATAAATAAATAAATAAGATGTATATTACAGACAAGCCTGCATTCACGCGGCTTCCGGCGAAGGCGAACAAGCATTACACCAGGCCTGTGACCTCGCCCGAGGTTACACAGCATTAGCCCTCACTGGCATGTTACCAGCCATCCTTCCAGAGAAATGTGTGCAATGCACGGATGGAGACCAGCCAAGGAAAGTCGGAGACATGTACGAGTTCAAATTACCCGCCAAACAGGCTGATATTGTCGTCGCTGTTGAAGTTACCAAGGTAAATATTCTTGTTACAGTGTCAAGCCAATTTTATTTTATGTAAATTCGTATTTTTTATTATTGGTCTTGTGGTTTAATCGTTATCATGAGGTTGAAGTGCGCATAAATCACGGCCGTTACTAAGGAATTCTGTCTTTGTCTCAAAAATGTCTCATTTAATGTTCTATAAAACAGGATTATCAAAGAAAAAAATCAATCTAAGCCCAAGATTACTTGAATAGTGTTTTCAATAACGAGATTTAAAACTTACGTTGATAGATATCATGCAACTACTTACACACAGTTACTGTCTCTCTCAAACTTTTTGAAACATTACTCGACTCTTTCTAACGCCAGAAAATGTGCCCGCGCCGATAGTTCTTCTTAACTTGGCAAGATACCAATAAATACTAATTTCTCTTTAATGAACAGGCAAATGAACAAAACTACAAGGACTTGGTCGTCCCTCTGGTGTCACAAGTGATCGACGGACTGAAGAGCAAGCGCATCTCTGACATTAAGGTCTACCTCGTTGGACTTACTTCTAAGTACCCATACCCCATCATGTACGACACTGACTGTGAGTATATATTTTAAGATATTAGCTATGGCCTGCAGTGTCATATGCATTAATATGATTCTCAGAATGTTTATTTTCATCTACTTCCAGTTGTCAAACCTATCTAGACTATTCGAAACAAAAAACGGTGTTTTAAACTCGAATCGGGAAGGCAAAACGATGTTTAATATTAACATAGATTAATAATTTTAAAGATATGTCAGTAAGGAACATGTGCAAAATATTATAGATTTTTGTAGTAGTGTTAGTAAAACTTTGACAGTAATATGGTTGTGACAAAATCGATCTAACGCCAAGGAGCCCCTGTGTTGTAGATTACAATTAATCCGAGGTATATTGTGCATGTTCCAAACGATTGTTTAAGAAAAAGTAGTCTTACTGTTACATCTTATCAAACAGAATTCGTATATGTATTTCTAAAATAACCCTTAGAATGTTTAATGCCGAGATTCTATAATAAATACAAATAAACAGCCATAAATCCTACGTTACTGACAAAATCAGGGTTCGGAAAATCAACAGACCTTGTCGAGGCCGTTGCAAGTTTTAACTATAAATAATTTTATTCACAGTGAAACTCAAGACCGCGAAGGTGGTGTTCGATGATGAAAGCAGGTACGAAAGCTATGAGGGCGTCGTCACCGGAAACAAATACATCGACACTGCAGAAAAAATGGTACTTGACCTCATCGAAACACTGCACACGAGACTTGGTAAGATTTCCTTAAATTCACATTATTTTTAATACTGAAACCAATTTTTTTAACATAACCTTCACAGATTATATATAAAAACTTATTTTTGAAGTGAAACTTCTTTTGGCGCATGAGGGTAATTCTTTTACGGATGAAACGCAATAATAATAATATTAGCATCACGAAGATGAGCAGCGTTTTTGTCGAAGAAAAGGGAAAGAGCTATTTAGACCGATTAAGAGAGAGTGAGAAAGGGCGAAATACACGCTATTGGTTGATGTATTCGTTTAGTAGTTTTATTCTAATATCTAATCTATCATCCTACCACCTAAAGATAGATTCTTTAGATGGCAATTCTGTCGCATAACGTCTTGTGCAGTAAACGCAGATTTTTTATTTATTTATATTATCATTAGCACGTATACAGTGTGTAAACAGTGTGAATATAGATATACAAATACATGGAGTGATCATATACTGGTATATGATCATTTATTGAGGCTTTTACCTTAGTAATAATTAATTTACAAAGAAGTTTAACTTCTGACATGTGTACTTTGTACGCACGCACTTTTTTTTAAATCTGGTAGATCCAATATTTTGCTTACCTCCGAAATTGGAATTAGATTTAAACCCAATTTTTCCCTTAGGATTGACCAACATTATGGCCTCGTACAATTCCATTCTGGAGTTGCCGCTCAGACCCGGTGCTGTCAAACATCTGATCAGCTCCATCGGAGGACGATGCGTACCACAACTGTTCTTGGTACGTCCTTATTATTGTTTCTATTATTTATTTTATTTCAACATCAATTTTTTTAACATCAGGAGAATATATCTCGACCATGTTAAATACAAAAGGTGGATTTAAGCAAATAATTTAAAACTTCGCGTTTCTATTCTCTAAAATAGTTTTACTTCGATGTATAGTACTCGCGCAAAAAATATGTTTTTTTTATTCTACTCTATAAATTATAATTTCATGAATCTATTTTCGCTCACAAATTTAAGCAACCTTGTACGAAGTGTCCCAAATTTCAGTTAGCTATATTCATGATCAGGTGTTTAAGCTAGGACAATTTATTTTTACAGGTGGAAACACTCCGTACAGCGGTACAAAATATATGGATGGAAAATAACGCGTACAGTGTGTCCATTATCACTGATACCAAGGAATTCCCGCCTGTTGGAGGAAAACCAGTTGTTGGTGAGTATTATACACAGCGCTATTATAAATAACAAATAAATTTCAACTGTAAAATGTTGTAGGACTGATAGCACTCTAATATTTTTGTCGAAACGAGAGGGCAGACGCTCTCGCGGGGGAGGCGGTTGGGGAAGCGGGGACGCGAATAGGGTACGATGCGTATCCGCTTTCCTATTTGCGACGACTGACAAGACTCAAGACTTTAGACACCTGGAACGAGCGCTATGTGGGGGGCGAAACAGCCTCAGTCACAAAAATGTTTTTTAAAGATGCAAATGCGGCATACAAACAAATCAAGACAAGGTGTTTCGCACCTCACATGGCGCAGATCCTGACTGGCCACGGGGCTTTTGGACACTATTTACACAGACTCAAACTGAAGACAAGCCCCGCGTGTGACTGTGACGACAGAACAGACCAAACGGTGGTTCATTTACTTGTCGACTGTGCGAATTTTGGAAGGGCCAGGTGCGATCTGGAACTCGAGACTGGCATGAGGGTATCCCGGGATGGGCTATCCGACATGTTGCTTGAGCACAGATCGCAGCTGGAAAAATTCTGCGACAAGATTGTCAGATATGTCACTCACAAAAATAGCACGAGAGGTAACGCGGGTGTCGCCGGGCAGCGGACCCCGACTCACCTATAAATATTATGACGATATTTTCGGAGTAGTTGTCGCCCGGGCCCGGCGGGAGACGCCAACCCTTTAAGACAATAATGTCCCTTTTTAAGAAAGGGGAGATTCTGACACTCCCCTGCTGCTTGGCCACTCGGTCACAAATCTGCCTGATTGCGTGGCTGATAGGCTAGGATGTAGGGGTCCCTGTATTAAAAAAAAAAAAAATTTTTGTCACCACTGTCATTGTTATAGTGAGAAAATATAATATATATAAAAATATACAATCCAATACAGCGTGGAAATGCAGTCAGCGTTAAAGGTACACTGCCACAGGGATCAAACTTTTTAAATTTGTTTTAATTTTCTTTTTTATTTTGTTAAGAAAATTGTAAATACAAATTATACGTATATAGTATGATTATACTATTGCATATATATGAAACATAAAAATCAATATTAATATTATAAATGTGAAAATCTTTTAATATGTGTGTGGCAAGTTGTTGATGGTGCAGGCCTACCCCGTGAGTGCAATAAATTGCATGCCGATTCCAATGTTGTTTACATTAATTAAATTGCAGCAACTAAATTTAGTCGTGTAGTGGTAATATAATTGTTATTGTTAATTATTTAGATACGCTGACGATTGCGTATAATATTTGTACGAATAATTTTATGCAAATGCTAGCATTTGATATTTTTTTTTACTTAAAGTGATAGAGACTTTTCATAAACTGCTAAGTTATTTAAACCTTTTTAGTAAATTTTCTTATAATTTGCAGGATTCTCCAGGGACTCTGTCCTAGTGTTGGGTGACAAGAAGCAACGGGACACGACAGAACAAAGAGCCAACCTTGATATTGGAGAGAGGGACGGATGTGTTGAGTTCGCACAAGACGTAAGTATTTTTTTAAACTAAGCAAAGAAAGCTTCTAGTTGATTTTAGAATATATTCTAAAAATCTGAGTGTTTTTCGAACAAGAATCATGTGGTGTACAGAAATTAAATTTAAAAAACTTTTAATGAGTTAAGTTGTTAGTTTAAGCTTGTAACATATCATTGTATTTTTAGGAATCGAAGCCAGGCACATTGTGTACCACATATTTTAACAAACATGTGTACATGTTACAACAAATTTATAAATAACCATTATGTATTTCAATTTAATATGAAATTACTCGTTCTCCAAATACTTTTTAAATAAATTCTATAGATCGTCCATATTCGCTTTGAACGTACACGAGAAAATTTCTATGAAAACACCTAAGAAGTATGATTTACGCGGCGTATAATCATTCTATATCCATCATTAAATGCTTGCCATTCGAGATCCAGCTTTTCCTTAACCATAATATTATTTATTAGATTTGTATGCGTGTGTGCGTGCACGTAATCACTAATCTACCACAAAAGCGGTAGAAATCTTACATGTTTTTCTATTTTTTTCTAGACTGACGGCTTCGTATTCTCCGCATCGACATACAGAGGCTTTAACCCCGCTCAACGTAAGCAGTTCCTTCAAACGGCTGCGGCGTCTGTCACCAACCGTCTACTGCAGTACTCGTCCGTGCAGTCCTGCACTTGCACTTACGTCGACCCCTTCAGAGTGCGTTCCCTCTGTGTCACTGAGGACAAGAAGGAGGCTGTAAGTCGTCATTTTAATATATCTCATTCGAACATTAGGGAGCGTTCAAGTATAACTAACAAATTTGGAGGGTAAAACGTTACGATGCGGGGCGGAGATTGAATTACGCCTAATTGTTTATATTATTTCCAGTACTTTACACCACATAATGGTAACTTTTAGGTATAAAGAGTCACTAGGTGGTCACGAAATTTTTTATTATACTTGGGTACAGAAAAACGTTACATGGGGGGGTGCGTGACCTAATACTAAGCAAGTAAGCACTATAAAGGGAGGGGTGGTGTTTGATTTTCTTATTCGGTGATTACGTCAATAGTAATTATTTATTTTTTTACACAAATTACCCTCACATTGTCTATGCTTGAAAACGAAATGCATTTTCGAGGATTCCTACAAAAAATGAATACTGCTTTGAATGAATGCTTACTTTTGCTGACGAGGAAGGGGGCGGGGGATAAATTGCAGTAAATCTGCTTACGTAATACTTGAACGACACCTAAGTCTGAATATTAATTGGTTCAAACGAACGATCTACTGGAAAAAAAATTCCGATCCAAAAACAAGCGGTATTCCGTTTGTCTTTCTTTGAATATTCCACTCTATTCGCCTCTATATTTATCTAATAATTACTACCATTTAAATCCCAATTGCACAACTGTTGAGTAATTAATAGATAATGAAAATAACATGAAATTTCTTTGTTACAGTCTCGCAAAAGAAAGTAGAGAAAAACTGTGATCGCTACGTTAGTTCCACAAGGGCCTTGAAATAATGGATTGGAATAAAAAGAAAAGTCAGCTTCTTCGAATCTAAACCTATTGTTAAATAAAAAGAATTGGTATTATTAAATTATTTATTTGTTTCGTTTCTCGCAACAACAGATGACAGATTTTTAAATTGGTTTAGATTAAAGCATAATAAATAAAATGTGTTCAAGGCCATTATTTTTATAACTATTTATACCAACGCGCAGTTTTCGTAAGTGTTAACCATTAATTTGTATTAAAATAAAAAATTATGTAAAACTTTTGTTTTTCTTTACTTGCCTTACTACATCTATTAAACATACCACCTCTAAATATATATATAACAAAAAAATTGTCTAATAAATAAAAATATTTTTTTTGGGGTGAACACCCCACAACTTAGAGCTTTGAAAGATAGATAGTAGCCGATTCTCAGACACAGACTGGATATGAATAACAAATTTCATAAGAAGCGGTCAAGCCCTTTCGGAGAAGTATGGGAACGAACATTGTGCCACGAGAATTTTGAGATTTACATATATACTTCGATCTTAACTCATCTCTCCATACGGACTCCCGATTGCCTTTTCCATATGCCAACAACGTATCATCTCACGATCGGCGATGAGAGCTTGGAGAAACTGATCGTGGTACCACAGAAGGAAAAAGATCACGTGGCTGTTCACCAACCAGATGGACCGATGTAAAAGACTCATCGTCCTCAAAACTGTACAATGTAAGAAGAGAAACTGATCAGAAAACGGTGAAAACAGATAGTCTGCTCCTGATGTTTCCTTGCCGACCACGAAGCTCAGACATGAGCTACCGAGTGAAGAGAGACTTCCCCATTTTGTTTCTCTCCTTGGAGTTCTGCAGAGGAATGTGATAGTGTATATATGTTGTACACAGTTCATAAATTAAAAGAATTCTCTGATTTTTCATATTGCATATAAAATAATTCCGGATATTCTTTGACAATAAAGAAACACCACTGAACCTGTAAATATCTTATACAAGATAAATGGCACGTAAAATATATAAGATACATCAAAAAAGGTTATTTTTAATTCCTATCACAAAATAAATATCATTTTAAGCTATTGCATAGCTTTCATCGCGGGCATTGAGCGTGGAGACCGAATCCAGAAATTCCGTAACGAAAATAACCTAACACACGATGACGTAATGTGACGTCTCACATCGGGTGCAGCCGGTACGCGATAGAGTGAGACAGACTATATAGGCGTGTTAGTTTGAATCTGGTAAAGTGGTAGATTATGGAATTAATATCAAAGAATAAAAATACTGCATAAATAAAAAATAATTATAAGTGCATAAGTTGATAAAAAATGCTATGCAATAGCTTTACCGCGGCAGTCCCCGAATGCCACACATTTTTTTTTGTTATATCTGTATTAGAATGAATTGCTTGAATAAATTAAATTAAGTAATTTTTTTTATAATTACCATAATCGGCCCAATACACTTAACATCTACTTGAACCCAACTACTACTACTACTATTTAAAATGTTTAAAAATAAACCTAAAAAAAGATGCTTGAAGACATAATCCACGCAAAATTAAATACAATAACCACCTATATAATTAATCATTTAACTATAAGAAGTGCTACTAAACTAAACAAAAGATAATTAGCATATCTATTCCATACTAATAACGTGTGGTTTCCATAATATTTGCGCGTGAGGTCATAATGCGTCACACACGGTCCGTGTTTGTACGACTGACCGATACATACCTACACAACCATAAATAGGTCACTGCACTTGAGACGAACCGGTAAGAAACATTTTTATTTTGACGCTTAGTATTATTTGGCCCTCCTCGGTGAGGCTCGTGATTTCGGAATACAAACGAATTTTATGCTAATAATACGTTTGTACTTCACTTATCGATTTATAAATATATAAATAAAATACCGGTTTAGTAACGAAAAAATGTAGACAGAATTAAGTGTGTGTTTTGATAGTATTTTTTACGTGACCAGTTATTTCTATGAACACAAAACAATTATTGTTTCGCTAGCAATATAACTTATGACGTCGTGGTTATACGATACGCGTTTACCACTAATTATTATTATGTAGGTAAACACACTAGCCGCTTAATAAGCTGATGCGTCCGTGTCTGCGGATTTGGTGAAATTATCCAGTCTGTTTTTAAAGGAGTTTAAAGAGGATGCACTAATTACTCTTTTTGGAAGCCTATTCCAGTAAGCCACTACTCGGTTTGGAAGAAAATTCTTTTGAGAATTTGTATTATATTAAGTAAAAAAGTAGGTCACTCAACTGTCAACATATACATAGTATTCATGTTACTAATCGAGCCCGTACCATCACCCTAGAAGGCATGAACAAACTACAAAGTAAGTAAGCAATTCAATCAAGTATACCTAACCTTGATTTGACTAGCTCCTTGAGACAACTTTCAACAAATTCAATACGAAAGAAACAAAAATAGTGTTTTTAATGCGTAGACATTAGTTACTACGCGCGTTATCAATCTATCCTGACAATAAATCCGAACTAAAATAGCAGAAGCCATTCAAAGTACGAGAAGGAAAACATTACGATAATATAATATCGCTGACTCACAGGACAGGACAATGTTAACTAATTAGTGCTACAGAGAGGACGTGTTCAGGTCAGTCACAGTTTATTTATTATTATTTAATTAGATTTAACTTTTAGTAATAATATTTTAAATTATTTTTATCTCTTTTGTGTAAAACCTGTATTGGGCTCGACTACATCTCTGACAATAATTTTTAACAACGAATTTTTGTTCTAAAATTAGCGATTACTATCTATTATAGTATATTGTAAACGTTATAAAAATACAGTCTTAAGCTCAGATATTGTAAAATGCTGTTATGAAATTTCATAGAAATCGGTTAAGCAGTACCGTGTTAAATGAACTTGGAAAACTACGGAAATAATGGGACGTCTTAACTCTTAGGGTGAGATCTATAGTCCACTTATTGCTAACTTACCTTACGAAAAACTTTGCTTAGTGTACACTAAGGTTAAACTATGATTTCGTATTTATAGACATTTTAACGGTGAGATTAACTAAGCCCAACTAAACAGAAAATGTCAAAATACAAATTGTTTCATTTCATGCAATACTTTGTTTATTATCCTTTAAAAAAAGTTAACAATAACAAATATTTAAAAATCTAACGGTACACATTTCTTCAATTTTTGTTATTTATGTATTCATTTTATTTTATTATTGCAATAACTAGAAATTCACGAGTAACCTTTAGAAAATGTATTAATTATTTAAAGATGACAATAATTTTATTACGTAGAACGGATCGCAATGTTTTGGTTAGGTTATAGTTTGAATTTCGTTGTCACTATAATATGCCAATTCCAGGGCTGCCAGGTGACATACAAAATCACACCAGTTATTTTTAAATTTCTCAAAAATGGGGTTGAACATTACATAATAATATAAATAAACAACAATAATACCATAATAATGTGTAATTATTTTATTTCATGCATTTCATAGGTATTTATCAAGATCATTTATAATTTCTTTGAATTCAAATTCTATTTTTCCCAAAGTCTATGGAACTCCATACAAATGGCAACCCGTTCATTAAAAACCGACAAAAATAAAAAGTCCAGTAAAAGATATGATGGTAAAGCAAATTTTGGGCCATTATTTTTGTTAGGCTTATAGTCAAAGTTTTTGGTAAGTCGTCGATTTCGTGGACTTGAGATTAAGCTAAGCCAACACTAGGGAGAGATTCGTAGTTTGCTCTATAAATACCGACTGTGTCTTAGCTCGATAGTTAAGTCAGAGCAAAGTCTAAGTGCGCACTATAGATCTCACCCTTAGTATAGAGATGAACACATAAGTTGTGGCTAGAAATGTAATTTGAGCTCGTAGTAATATCCGTAACATTTAAATCGGCTTCCTATTTGTTTTTAATTACTTCAATAGATCAATATTAATTAAAATAAATGTAGTGTTTAAGGAGCTATTTTTTTTCCTACAATAAAGAGTTCGGCTTTACATGAACTACAATCTATACAATAATAATGACTAATAGATAATATTATCTTGACTTAATTTTCTACAATACTAGTGAATAACTAATAGCTAATAGCAAAAACTAAGGTAATGTTCATAAAAACACTAATGTTTTGATACTATGTTCGTGTGTCCGAGATACCGAACTTGCATTTACTACACTAGGTTTATTAACTCAACAGGTTTAGTAGCTTATAAGTTTCACACTTTTACTCCTCAATTTTTGTATTATTGTTGTTCTTCATTCGGCGTTTCTGGAAGATAAGGCCCGTTGGAAAACATAATAAATAATTCTTATTTAAATTTAATATACATCATGTTTTCTTGTTATTGTATGTTTGAAAAAATACCAACGGTTTGGTATTTAATTATAGTTTATGGTTATAGTTACCAATAACGTCACTCCTATAGTAAAGTACATAAGGATATAAATACCTATGTCTATGTTTGAATATGTGTTTTTTAATGTAAGCGTTACTGGAAATTTCGTCACTGACGATGACCGTTTTTCATCGAAATCTTGCTATGATTCATTAATCTCCTATCAGCTGGAAGGAATAGTCACCTGCGTAGGTGATGAAATCATACAGTGACGAATTTAATACAACGTAAACATTGAGTGCTAAACCGGTTTAATAGCGTATTCTCTGTAAACGTTTTTTTTTTGACATTCAAAAACCATTCATCAGATTGTAATAAGATTCGGTGAGTTGTGTACGCTGTTAAAAGTTCAAACTCGTCGAAAACGCGGGCTCTAGTGTTTCTTAAATAATAATACGATAATTCCGTTTCTAGATTAATGTTATGTTTGTGGTTTCCCGACTGATAGTTATTTCGGTTTTCCCGCTTTAGTAATAATTTGTTATTTAATTTTTACCTTTATAACTGTGTATGAATTCATTTTAGTAAATATTATAATCACTTTAATTTACCAATACGGTTGGTATTGACTGTAAACCGAATTTTGTAGCAATAAAGTGTTGGAGGTAGTTTAAGATCTATATGTCATGATTGTATAAGGTCTGAGTGTAACAAATATAAACAAACAAAATGAACAATTAATGTTATAACAAACAAAATATATTTTTCCAGCCATGGCGCCTCTTTCTTTGAAAATAATCCTAGATGAAGCCTCGGTTACGAAGACCCTACTATTCGACACAAGAACCACAGTTTCACATGTCCACGACATCGTTAAAGACAAGATTGTCTCGTTAAATCCTGATAAAGGTACACTTCATACATATATTTTCTTATAACCGACGAATGACCCGCAAGTCAATGCTCTCGAAGTTCGAACGTTGCAAATGACAAAACTGCAAGGGTTTTTGAACTCGGTGCAGTCTTGACACATCAGACAAAATGCTATATATAAAATGGCGAAGTAAAAATGCGTGAGCAATACAATGCGCGTTTTATAATTAATTGTCTAAATTTTATTAGAATCTGTTATCTGAGCTTGTACAATATATTGGGAAGATTGATTTTTGACTTGAATTCTCGTAAATTTTTACGGTCTTAATTTCTTTCGCATTAAGGTGTATTTTGCTATGCACAAATATTTTAAATCATGCTTTATCTTGTTTTGTCTTACCCTGGACCAAGTACTTACTGATACGCTGTATATAAAATGTTTTCCTTATTATAGAATATGGATTCTTTTTAACCTCTGCTGATGACGAGTGCTCAGGAGTATGGCTCGAGAATCACAGGACCTTAGAGTACTACATGCTGCGTGATGGTGATTCTCTCTACTACCTTGAGAGGATGAGGAACCTACGACTTCGAATGTTAGATGGTATGGTCCTGTTTACTAACGTGTAGTAAAATCACACTTTTTTTTTGTTTTTTTTTTTACAATTCACACTCAATTGGTGTGAATCGTCCAATCATAAAAATAAAAAATCTATTATTATAAAATATCGGTCGATATACTTGTCTTAAACCTTAGGTTTTGATTGAGTGTAATTAGGATAAAGATGTGAAATATGATAAATTTAAAGTAGTTTCAGAAAACGCATTTTCATTTCTGCTAATTAATAAATTCTAAAACATGTATTTTTCGGATGAAAAGGTTCAGTAAAGACTCTGCAAGTGGATGAATCGAAGGCAATAGGAGACCTGATGTTGTATATATGCGACAAGATAGGAACTACTAATTACGAAGAATACGGTCTGGTATGTTCAATTTAATTATAATTAGTTATATGAAAATATAGTGTATAGCTTACCCAAAAAGCAAAAAGGTAAAGTTTATGGCACTGCAATTTTATTATTTAATCGTGTCTATTAATTCGGTCGTCTTTGCATGTATATAAGTGCATTGCGAGGATACTATGTAATGTACATATGAATCATTAATCGAGAATATAAGAATTTTTTATTTGTGTAACGTCACTTTGAAAAAAAATTTTGCTATAACATATTTGGCTCATTCTAAATACAAAAAATACATTTGCAGTGCCGTGAGCATATGGAAATAGAAGAAGAAATTAAGCCAATGACCGGAACACTTACACTGAAAAGGAAAGCCCAAGCACGTGAAAAAGACGCGAAACTAGAACAGCTCAGCAAGAAACTAAAAACTGATGACAATGGTAAGATTCTTAATTCATATTTTTAATGTCACTATCGGAGCCTTCTGTCTATCCACGCCAAGATACCGCGTTTGGTTTCCATGGAAACAATAATACTCCATTCTTACTTACGAATAATAATTCATAATCTACTAGCACAATCGTCTTGTCTTCAGATTTCTTCTATTTCTTTCACCGTAAACCAAGTATTGAATGCTCACGCAGAACCACAAATCAAATGGTGCACAGTGGGGATTCGAACACTAGCACTGTTCGTCATATTAATTACGAATACTGAGAAAAAACATAAGTGGACAACGGAAGTGCCTGTCTGCCCGATGACACTAAGGGCACTATGTATTTCACTTTTTGTTCAAGTGTTTTTGCTCTGCAATGCAACCATGAAATCCGATATGCTTTAATTTAAAAACCGCTACCGTTTAGAATATTATATATCCTTAGACTGAGTATTAATGGTGTATTACCTTCTTCTTATCCGGTATAGTCTTCACAGTGCGGTCGTGTTCGCTATGTAATAATGGTAATAGAAGGGGCAGATGGGATACGCTTCACGACGTTTCGCCATCGTTGCCTATCAGAGGTGTATAATACATGTTTATTATTAAGTATTATAATTGCTTCTCTAATTCTTTCAGTGGAATGGTTAGACCAACACAAAACATTGCGTGAGCTTCATGTAGATCCAAAGGAGACTCTCCTATTCAAGCGAAGGCTCTTCTACTCTGACCGCAAGGTGGATGCACGGGACCCGGTTCAATTAAACTTGCTTTATGTCCAAACGAGGGATGCTATCTTGGACGGACGGCAGATAGTTACGGAAGTGAAAGGTATTTATTTATTAGTTACGTAATCCTACAGGTAACATAAGTTATATAAAACAAAAAAAATTACTAAAGATATAGTTAAAGATGGAATACATAATATATATGTTCAAATATTTATGAAAGAAATAATCAATAAAAATCATTAAATAAGTACATTTAAATAATACCTATTTCGGCAGTGATGTGTGATGGTATGAACGTGAGGGTATAAATGAGAGTATGTGGGGTGTGCTCATGATGCATTAAGCAAAGTTAACTTTATTTTAAATGTTATAAAAATTTAGTGTTCTGATTAAAGTTTTATATTACCTTGTTTATTAAAGACAGACTATAGTTTTCTGTATCGGTACAATATCTGTTAATTTTTTTAAATCCAGCGATATAGATTTTAAAACCTTTTTATTTTCAGCTACTGAGTTTGCGGGACTGCAGTGTCAAGTACATTTCGAAGACTTTAATGAGGAGAAACACAAGCCTGGTTTTATAGAAAAGTAAGTTAGCAGTGTAGGTTATATGAAATTATTTAAATGCGTTAAGATAAAACCTTTGCTATCTTAAATCAATCGTTAACTAATCGGGTAATAATTAAGGTACATAAGTTGCACCTTTTTTAGTATTTGTTATCGTAATTATTAACGAACGATAATATTTACGGGTCTCAGTGCGGCGGCTATATTTGGTTGGTCAAATTATCTGTGATGAAATTTATTTATATTTTAGCTTAAGAGAATTCCTTCCGGCACAATATGCAACATCATGGGGTATTGAAAAGAAAATATTCAAAGAGCACAGAAAACACCAAGGTTTGAGTCCGTTGGAGGCAAAAAATTTGTATACAAAAACTGCGCGGGAGCTGCCTACTTACGGAGTCACGTTCTTCCTTGTTAAGGTAAATGTGTGTGTTTTTTATGTCATAGCTAGATCATTGAAATGACCCTTAATGTCCTAGAGTAGTCAACGTTTATGTAAACAGTTAAATGCCCACTTCATATATCATTAGTGACCAAAGGTAAACTTTTGCATTAATCTCATTACAGGAGAAGCATAAGGGCAAAAAGAAACTAATTCCCCGTCTGCTGGGAATAAACGCATCCTCTATACTACGCCTGGACGAGGACACCAAAGAGATTTTGCAAGTATGGCCACTCACGCAGGTGAAAAGCTACCGTGCCGCTAGTGAATCGTTTACCCTGGATTTTGGAGATTATAGGTAAATTTAATTTTACAAGCTTTCTCCTTATTTATAATAATTATTATTTATTTATTAGACAACTTAATGTAATATCATATAGTGTTAAAAAAAGTTCAAGATATGATAATGTAATAGTGCAATGGTCAAAACGCGTAAAAATCGGAAATTACAGAGCTTTTTAAAAATTTGGGGCCACCTAAAAGAACCCAACCCTTGGGTTTTGATTCCCCCCATTCAAAACATTTTTTGACACACTTCTTGTGTAAAAAAAGGGGGGGGGGGTCCCTGCCCCTCCTCCCCCCCCCCCCCCCCCCCCCCCTTTCTTTTTGGTTGTTTGTTTATGTTTATTTTTAATTTATCTTGGCGGGCGACCAAATGTCACTCGATTACCTACATGCAAAGATTTTGAGTTTGGGTTTGGGTTTTTTGAAATGGGTGCAAATGACGATAATATGTGAAAAGTAATAAAATGGGTAGTCTGGAAGAGATAGCGTATTTGGGTATAGGTACGATATGACTGCCCGTTTATCTGTTATTTTTATTTCGTATTTACATTGAATCATGTGCTATAAATAAATTACATGTTCATAACCTCAGTTAATAACCTCTATAATGTTACACAATGCCATTTTTCGAGAACTATAATTCCACCAGCAAAAGGATATGTATTAGTAGTAGTAGTTGTAGAACAGATTTTTGTTCTTATACTTTAAAAGTTGTATTCTTAATTATTATCTTAAATTTATTTTATTATTAAAATTTTAGTGAAAAGGAGTATGCAGTAAAAACAAATGAGGCTTTCCGTATCAAAGATATCCTCCAAGGCTACATCGACATAATTCGCAAGAAGCTGGCCGCGCCTTACAACGTCGTGCATACCGAGGGAGACGTCATTTGCGAGGAAAATGTTGAGATATCGAGGTAAAATTTTATTACAGTGTGTGAATTATTTTAAAATTTAAAAAAATGTAAGGAAACCAAACCAACCAAAAAAGGTTATAAATAATATATCGGCCATTTGATTATATCTCAATTATCAATATCTCTATGTAAATACTGACGAACAATGAGAACAAATAAGTTTTTGATTTATTTAATAACGCCAAGGAATATACTATATATGTATGAACTATGTAACATTCATGTCGTAGTAACTATTAAATTAATATGTCTTCCTCTACATAAAAAAAATATAATTGTTTTATTTTTGTCAGCTTTATTATTGTTTCAGAGGCACCATAATCCAAAATATAGTACCGTCAAAAATTGTCGAACAATCATTCGTCGGGCCTAGCAGTATTATTTCTGTGCAGCAAGGTATATTCAATTTATTTATATAAAATGGTTATTGAAAAGTATTACCATAAGTAAAAAAGAAAGTATAGGCCAGAGTAAACCCTTTTTTAGCTTGATATAATCTATGGCGTCTTTGTTGGGAAATCTACAATCGCTAACAAGCGATTTCTTCCTGGCAACCTTAATATGGAAAAATAAACGCTGACTGAAGGTAAAGTACAACTTTGTCACTAACTCAGAATTATATCTTCAGGACACCGGTCAAGTGAAGGGACAAAAATAACAACAGTCCATGAAGTTGTTACCGTCACTCGAGGTGATAGGAGTCAACAAGGAATGGTACGTAAACTTCACTCACATTAGCATACTTGATATTCATACACGTCCTAAGCTTCAAATTGTTGAATAGTTTACTAAAGTGTACTTTACAAAGCCGCTCCTAAAATTCACATGCCTGGCTTTAGATTAATCAAAGTATCGGATAGTTTCGTATATAGTAGAGTACACAGAGCATGTTTCACGAGTTTTACGATAGTGGTCATGAAGTCTTTTAAGTCGTTAGCCTAATCTTCTTTTAGTGTCTCTCCATTACTGGAAGTTGACTGTCAGTCTCCTGCGTGTCTTGTCCTGTGCCAGTTGAAGCCTTTACTCGACAAACATACAACTCGCTTCGGGTGCAGTATAATAACGCATTTAGGGTGTTGCTGGGGCTGCCTCGCTTCTGCAGTGCATCAAGAATGTTTGCAGAGGCGCGGGTGGATTGCTTTTTCGCCACTATGCGAAAGCGGTGCGCTTCTTTGGTGCGCCGGGTGCGGGGCAGCTCCAGCAACATCTTACGGATGATAGTCGAAAGAATGGAGTGCCCCTATTAACGACACTGCTCCGACATCTCCGCAGGGCTTTGTACCTGATAGTTTTTATTTAACTACTTTTTCCTTATTTTTACTAATTCTCTAACATAGATCTTAGGAAACTATTGTTACTAACTCACTAATCAATCAATGGACTGTATTTGTCTGATTAATAAAAATTATTATTATTATTATTAATATCTATTTCTTTACTGACATGTCATAAGTGTACATTATGTTACCTATGTGATTAAATGATTTTTTACTTTACTTTACTAAAAAAACTAAAATAAAATACAATTTCAATCTGAAATATATTATGTTTCAGAAAGGAGAAGCCCTCGGCGAGCCCCCTAATATGTTTGGAAGGAGATTAAACAGAATAAACTCTCTTTCTGTCAAAACTGTTGTTCTTCTGTCAGGTAAAGTGTTTGACATTGGTTTGTGTTTGTATTTATTCATAAGTTCTAAAACAACGTGTATGCATAAAATTATACAAGAAAATATGACATCACAAGCGTACGTGTGTAAAACACATACATACACATCAATTATATAAGAACAAAAAAAAACAATAACTAAAACTAAATAGAAACTTAAACCACATCAAAGCTAAGCTGTTCTGGAATAAGTATGGGTTTAATAAAACTATACATTTTATTTGACGCCTTCAAATACTTTACCAAAGTAGTTGCATACGTTAGATTTATCTCCGGATTTATGTACTGGTATTACATTTGCTGTTGTCTATATATAGGGAAAGATACTCAATGATAAAGATTTATTGTAAACAATTATTGTTACTGGCAGTGAGAGAACATCATAACACGATATTGCGAAGTGTGAGGAATTTCTCGGCCGGGTCTTTTATTTGGACTTAACGATTTTAGAATGTTATTTGTTTCCGTCACTGGTACTTCACTTGCTTACAGTATCAATAAATTAAAATCGATATATCATTTATATTTACTATGTTTTCAGATGGTAATGAAGGGGACTATGGCAGTATGTATGATATTGCGTCGGACATGGAAAATGAATTGCCTGCTGTGGTTAAAGGTAAAAGTTCCAACTATTATGGTTTATCTATGTTTAGTAAATGTCGTGAATATGTGTGTGATGGTGAATGTGGTAAATCACAGAACAGATTTTTTTTTTGCTTATGTAACTTTAATGACGCTGTGGTTTATGATGTTTTCCTTTGAATAATTGTAATGTAGAGGGAGGGTAAAACTTGCTGAGTTTCTTGCCCGTTCTTCACAGAATAAGTCCTCCTGGTAGTTTTGCGAACGGATGGCGTAGTCTAGCTCTTTCGCGAATTTCGTAAACGTTTTTGATATTCAAAAGCATGCCCTAAGACGCATCTAAACTGAATAGACGTATTTTGATTGATTGAGTAATATTATGCAGTTTGTTGCAAATCTTATGGGTTGTGGGCTCCTTTTTCCACTTCGTGGATCATCTTTCTTTCTGGCAATTAACTGATTACTGAACTGAGGTTAAAATAATTAAACATAAATTAACTTTTTGTTTTTGTTAAAGGCGTAAGAGATACAGCAAAGAAACTTAACGACGAACAATCAAAGAAACTACTTGACGAATTGGATGAATTGTGCGAGTATATTAACAATCTATCAAATATAGCGAAAAGCTCGGATTACGTGAGTTTAAGCTTGTCTATTTTTATTACCTACTTCACCATATTGACTTTCATATAGTTAACTTGCGCAACTATTCTAATGCTCAAATACTTTACCTTTACGACCTTAATGTAACCTTTACTTAAAAGGACCTCTTGAGGATGTTGGTTATATGTTTTTTTAAATATAGATAATTTTACATTTAAACTCGTTTCTATTTCAACCTTACTTCACTACTTTCAACAAGGTATCCGTGTGCCCTTTTTTTGCAAAGGCCTCTTCCAAATCCCACCATTCCTCTCTGCGCTGTGCCACACTCTGCCCTGAACCACTTGCCGTTTCTTTAAGTTGGTCTATCCACCTTCTAAGTTGGAGTCCTCTTTTTCGTTTTCTGTTCATAGTATTTCAGCAATTTGTTCATAAAAATTATGAAATGTTTTAGGATAAAGACAAATTGGAATCGGCAAATGAAATAGCTAAAAAGTTAGCTGATATTTCCGCACAGATGTATCTTTCACTAGACCCCAGGAGCAAGAGGCGGTCTCAGTTTATAAATGTAAGTTATATGCGCCTCTTTTTTATATAGCAACTATCGTAAATTCTAATTTTTAACTAAAAAACTAATTGACGTGCAATATAAATATTTGAAAAACGAAGCAAGAGTCCATACTTCTTTACATTAGATAATAGATGATAGAACGCATTTAAGTGGCGTGTAATGTCTATGACGTATTAAAATGGTTACTTGTATGTTGCAGCGCCCTCTTTAGCGCATGTGCATTGCGTCGTTACGTAGTATATTTTGGCGCAATTTATACATTTAATTTTACTAAATTTCGTTCAAGATTTATGTTTGTACATATAATATGATCAAAAGTAGTAAATTAAGTATTTATAGATTTTATTATTTATGATACTATATCCTACATACTAAAAAAATTTTCTTCTAAATATGTTAAACAATATTTCACAACTTTTAAATCAAAACTAAACTTATGACTTTCCAGAGCTCGCGCAACAGCTTTATAGCTGACGAACAAACAGAAGCAAATCTTAGAAGGATGTCACTCAGAACAGTTGTTGATAGTACTCACGAAGTTCTTGATAGCTGTTACTCTGATTTGGACCAGGTAATAATATAAATTTCATTTATGGGTATGGCCAAGTCGGGCTTTTAATTTTTCATAATTTATAAAAATGTATTAACTTTTAGGAATACGCCGCTACAAGTGGAGAACCTTTGATATATTCAACTTTGGAAAAGAGTGTAAATCACAAATTGGGAAAATTAAATGCTGCAATTGCATCCCTCATAATTGCCCACTCAGGTATTTTCGTTCTGTAATTAGTCCTTTTTAATATATTGTCACTATATTTATTTATTATTCTAATAAATAAATAAATATAGTGATTAACTAACTTAATATACACATTTCTTACAAATTCATGTAAAATTTGTAAGAAAAAATTTTTTGTAAATTCATGAAACACGCGGGTACGATCTTATAACGATAATAATAAGTGAATGAAGAACTATAATTATTTTATAATTGCAATTTGCAGACCCCAAAGAGGTTAATTATTCAACAGCTGTAACGTGTATGAGCACTATCAAGGAATTAGTGCCAGAATTAGTACAAGGTATGTTATACTAGTAATCACATACACATTAAATAACGGATTTGTAATAAATTTTGGTTTTATTGCAGATGTAAAAGCTTTAAATAGTTTGAAGGAAGATGGTGAAGCTAGATTAGCTCTAACTGATGAAATAAAGAGATTGATTGATAGAACAGCTGCTCTTTGCAGACTTAACGGTACAGATGATCCACAGGTAATGTGATTAAGATTGGATAATATTTTTAGTCACAACCAGAACGTCACACCTTATTACGATTTCATGTATTTTATAGAAACTACAAGAAGCTGGTAACGCCTATGGAGAAGTGTCAAGAAACTTAATCTATAAATTTAATCGTGGAAATAAGATGAACTTAGTTGCTGATAAAGAAAATGAGGTATGATTTAACGTTCTTTATTAATTTATCCGCGTCCGTATTTCCAGATAATTATTACAACATGACGCTCTTCAAGTTAAGAGTACACATATAACTTAGCCTGTATCTTATCATCCATCATAAAAACAAGCGTTTTTTATTTAAAAATATATATTTAATGATATTTCTATGGGTCGTGAAAACACATAATTTAAATAATATTTATCCTGATGATGAAGCTACAAAAGTTAGACTTTAGGTTAATCGCAATGTAGGTAAATTAAACCATTATTTTTTGGATTACTCAAAAGAAATTATTTTCTTATTACTCAGCATACGCGGTTACTACAAGATAAATCCTAATTAAAAATTTATAAACCCTTTTCAACAGATAATGGACCTTGCTCAGGATGTCGGCGAAAGTGCCTCAAAACTACTGATTGAAATCAGTGAGTTAAATAGTATAATTACTGAAGATCCACGCTCTGAAGAACTTGACACTGCTGGGGTAAAGTGCGCCGATGCTGCGAGAGAACTATACGAGTGTGCGAAGGTATTTAAGATTTCCTTTTCTAGCACATGTTTACGTGTGATTCCATTTGTTTATTTAGATGTCTTAGAATCTGACTACTCGGATCTCAGAGTTGTTGCAATTTTTTTTACTCCTAAGAATTAGCCAACATTGCCTTGACCTAAAACGTAGATATATTCCTTGGAAGTTTAATCTTGAGGCAATTTTTTGTTATTGTAAACAACATATATTTATACTTTTCAGCTAACTGCACCTTCGATTCATGAGCCTCACTGTCAAAGTGCATTAACAGGGGCCTGCGAAAATCTGACTTCATCAGTACAGCACTTGTCTCAAATCTATAAACCTATAGTTGATGATCCCGGCCGACACTATTATGGCAAAAGGCTGGCTAATGAAGTAACTGATCTAAACAAGGCTTTAGAAAGATTGATGAATGCGTATGCTAATTTAAATGGTAAGAGTTGGAAATTATTTTGTTCTGATTCAATTGAAAATAGTATGTTTCTAATATAGCGGCATATGAGTATTTGTTCAATTTATCAAATTTACTTGAATTTGTGTCAAAGCTTTAATGAAATGCCGAGTTAATCCGTATTGACGGAATTATTTCAAATATTGGATTTCAATAGCGAATGCTATACCGATCTCGATGTTTTTGTATGCAAATCGATGTAGTTCTCTCAATATACAAAACAAAACTAATTGTTAAGATTGATATCTCTGTCGGCATTGCTATTGGAAGTTACAAAGCCCCATTCTTAAACATTCCTGTAAAGATGCCTAGTAGTATAACCGGTATAACGTGAAAAAAGATTTATACAACCAAGAAATTTTTTATGGAAGATAAATATTAAGCGATATTATTACAGAAAATGAAAACGATAATTCTGATGGAAGTTCTAATGAAAAGGCACAAAAACTTAAATTTACGCTATCACGAGCTTGTAAAGCTTTAGGAGATATGGAAGATCAGCTGTTAAATGATACTGACTTTGATGTACCAACCGATTACAATGTATGTATGAATGCAAAATGCTATAATAAAAAAAACATAGTTAACTGAAATTGTAACCAAATAAAGTGTAAATCAACAAGGTAGTTAAAATATGACGTTTATCAACCATTGGAAAGACATTCTAAAATTAAGTATTCAAACTTGTTTCTTGATTAATACTGTGACCTAAAAAATCCAATCAGTTGTAGAGAAATAATTTAATGTTTTGCCTTCAAACTCAATTAATATAAAATTATAAATAAGGACAGCAAATATGTCTCCCTTGGTCCCACTGTAACGTTTCACATATTTAAGTTTATGATTCGATAGTTACATATTAGCTAGATATAAGCACAGCTCCAATCTTCTTTCAGAATCCACAAAAGGCCGATATACAAAAGCTTGAATCAAAATTAAGTCAAAACATATCAAAATTAAATGCTGCAATTGCGACATTGCTCCAAGCAACGTCATCAGGTATTTTCAGTCTCAATTTTTTGGTTTAATTAAATTTGAAATTATCGTTTTATATACCATTTCAATGTTACAGAATCACCCGACTATGGAAAGATAAATGATGCAATCAATACTATTTCACAAATTACTCCAGAAATCATACAAGGTAAAAATATATTTTCTAATACGTTGTAACAATACTTGTTACTTGAAAAATAGTGACGTTACCCTCTCTCTCTCTCTCTCCCTCTTGCCCTCAGTATTTCTGTATCAGTAGTTTTTTTTCTAACGGACAATTTATTTCAGATTCAAAGACACTTGAAGAACGCTTACATGAATTAGGAGGAGGCGATGAAACCAGCAAACAAAAACTGTTAGAAAACCTTAAAGACATACTCCACGCTACTAAAGATGTTTGCGCTAGTGCAGAAGATGATAACAAAACAGTAGGCCTATTAATTTAATTAGTATTTTTATAATCAACCAAAGTTTAATTGTGCAGTATGGATGTGGTTTTAGATTTTATTTTGTTATACAATAGAATTATGAGTACAACATTATTGCCAAATGATCAAATCTTTAGGCAAATGTATCAAATTTTAAAAGTTAAAAGACGAGATACTACAAGAATCTAGTTTTGTAGGTATAGGTATTTGATAATTTATAGAAATAAATCATTGAAGTTTTGTGAAAAATGGGCGTTAATGTTTTTTTATATTTCATTTAGGATCTTAATGCTGCTGCATCAAAACTTGCGAAAGCTACGAAGAAACTTCAATGGACGTGGAATCCCCTTAGAAACGTCAATAAGGAGCATGTGGTAAGTTAAATTTATCTATTTTCTCGTACTATTAAACTGTATATGTATGAAGAGATGTACGATACACAAAAACCGAAATAAAACTTTTGTAATGTGATTATGAATGTATGAATTATTAAAGGATTTTATAATAAAACAAAAAACAATAACTAGCCTTAAAATATAATAACTAAAATGTTTTATTTAAAAAGGAGTCCAGAATCTTGCCCGTTAGACAAGATTCCAAAGCTGGCAGCCTTCCCCTTAATCAATTATTAATTTATCCTAATAACCACCTTTGACCTGAATTAAAATTATTTACTCACTTATCAATAAAATGTATTTAATATTAAGGTTGATTGTTCTCTCAACTTCATAATTAGGTCATGGAGCAAGCCAAGGAAGTTGGTAACAAGACATCAGCACTTTTAATGGACACAAGTGAGTTAGTGACGTCCATCGGTAATGACCCACGCGCTGATGACCTGGAAGCAGCTGGAGTTAGATGCGCTGATGCTGCTAAGGATTTGATTACTTGTGCTGAGGTAATATATTAAGCTTAATTATCTACTAAAATATTTTATTATTTATAATTAAATAAGTTTTAATAATATTTTATGTTTCTATCTTATCTTTATTATCAGGGTATCACAGAGTGTATTTAAATAATGTTTGGAAAGCATCGCGACTGATCTTACTTTAACTTACAGCTTCTATATTTTTTTATTCCAACTTATTTTACAATAGATAACTGCATATATTATATAGTATTTTAAATTTACACCATCAGTTGACAACACCTACCATTGAGAACATCACCAGTCAATCTGCTTTGAAGGCATCATGTGGTATCTTGGAGTCAGCTCTTCAAAGTCTAAATGATACTTACAAACCAATAGTGTCAGAACCAGAACGATATTATTACGGAAATACTCTCGCCGCAAGAAATGAGGATCTCGTGAAGGCTTTAGATAAGCTGAAGGACCTTTGTGCTAGAAATGGTATGAAAGTTTTAAATTAACAAATGACAAAAAAAAACTGGATATAATCATAACAGTTATTTTTGTTTTTTAATTTTTTTTTATTGAAAATAGTCGTTATAAAACCTTTAATTAACTTAATTAATTGTTCGGGAGTTATGCGCGAACATGCAATTTTACTTTAAAATTTCAATCAACAGCAAACATAGCTGCTGTTTCGTTGCTATAACAATACATCAATATAAATGAAGAGATTTTTGAAGTATTATGGTTTAATTAAAATGATATTTAATTTACAGTTATGGTGAATAACGAAACATTGCCGGAATCGGAAAAAGAACAGAAACTCAAGTTTGTGAAGTCTTTATCACGTTTTAGTGACGCTTTGAAAGATGCAGACTTAAAATTGAACAATCCTTCTATTACAAATGATGTAAGAGTTTTTCTTCGTCATTTAATGCAAATTATTAAGGCATATTACAAAACGTATTAATTTTTTATATTGAATATATTTTTTCAGAACGTGAAAAGTGAAGCAAATCGTGATAATCTTCAAAAAGAGTTATCAAAGAAAATAGCAAAGTTGAATGCTGCAATTGCTCAGTTATTAAATTCGATATCAGGTAGTAAATAAATCTCAACTATAATCTTTTTGTTTAAACAAATTATAAAATATAATGCTTTTACAGGACTTCCTGATTACGAAAAAACTAATTCTGCAATTGAAACAATCGCTGAACTCACACCCGAGATTATCAGGGGTAAGTGGTCACTAAACAAAACACTATTTAAATAAATGTTCTAAGTACATTAATTACCCACGACGATATACGCTACGAACACATTACATATATAAGATAAAATAAAGTTTGCGTAATAAGTGTAATAAGATGTAAAGAAGACAATCGAACCATTGTTTAGTACATTCATGTCGCGTAGAACCTTCGAATAATTCAAGCAAACGAAACAAATAATTCTTTAAACAAACACGCATACAATTTGAACTGAGAGAAAATCTTGATATTAATGTAGACTTGTTTACTTATCCTTGACGAGGCATTCATTGAAAATGTTAATAGTAATCCACTTGCGCTACATATGGATGTTGGCCTCAGATTGCATCAGTGTAAAAATGTTCTCGAAACATTACATGTGTCGAGTTTATATTATTATACCTTATTTTAATTATCTTCTTTATGTGATAATTATAAATGACCTAATGTTTGTTAATTTATATGAAAATTGAATATTTAAATTTATAACATTTTAGATGGTCGAACCCTTGAGGCCCACGTCGATGGTAACGAACAGAAAGAGTTACGACAGAACTTGCAACACATTCTTGATGCAACCCACGATATATGTACTCACACCGCGGGGCATGACAATGCGGTATGTTTTTTTTATAGAACAAACGGGCTGGAGACTCACCTGAAGTTAAGAGACACCGCTCATGGACATACCGTGCTTTAAAGAATTTGTACGCTCTTTTTTTAAAGGTCCCTAAAATTGTGTTTGAATGTTTTTTAAAGAAACTCGTCGAATAAGATTGAAATTTTGTTTTGTCTATCGCAATGCATAGCTATAATCAGATATCTCATTTTTTTCAGGGTATAAGCGATGCGGTAGCAAAGTTTGCGCAGTCGTCAGGAAAATTAAATTTCGTTTTTAACCGCCACTCAAAACCCAAAAAAGACGACCAGGTAAATACGTATACATTTGAATGTTACTTATTTGTGTACTTTCTCTTTATCTTTCGTCAAGATACTTTCGATATTTAAATAAGATGTAAAAAATAATTATTTATTATTTCCAGACAGTAGACTTGGCTAAGGACGTGGGAGACAAGACGTCGGTGTTATTGTACAAGACTCGTGGATTGATTGGGGTAGATGATGAGTTAAAACCAGGATATCTAAAACTAAACGAAGCTATTATGGCTTGTAATTACGCGGCGAAAGAGCTTGAATCTTGTGCTCAGGTATGACAAATCGATTCTACGTACTAACAAGTATTAATTAATAAATTAATAATCAGTTTTATGAGAAAGAAAACTATTAAAATTATATATAGATTGAACCGAAGACATTTTATGAATGAAAATATTTGTATCCATAATATCGTATAAATTCAATTATTCCCAGATAAATCACATGACTAAGACTTCCAAAACTTCATCTCGCGTATTTGTTATATTGCAAAAACTTGCAATGTATTATGAAAATTTCTGAAATGGATTTGTTTTTATTTATCTTAAAGAACGATATTTTTTAAGTTACTTTACAGCGAATTTTTTTGTCAACAAATATTTTACAAGTATTTATATTAAGTAGGATTGCATTAAAATCCTTATATATTCAGCTTACAGCGCCATACCTCTATGAGTCGTCTTGTCAAGAGGCTTTGGCAGATGCTTCGAAAAATCTAGCGAATAAATTACAAAGTTTAGCTTTAGCATATAAACCATTATTAGAAGATCCGAGTCAAATCAACAATCGAGAGATACTTGTTAATAAAACTATGGGAGTCATGGAGGCTTTGGATAAATTAAAAGCTCATGCCGCCTCACATCGTAAGTACTAATTTAATAATTAAATGTAATATATCGAACATTATAAATATTCATTCGACGACTCATTGGTCTAGTCACTAGTGGTTAGTACCCCTGACTGCGAATCCATGGGTCCCGGGTTCGATCCCCGACTGAGACGAACATCGATGTGATGAACATTTGATGTTATGCTTAGGTCTTGGGTGTTTAAATATGTATTTATATGTCTATCTATCTTAATATGTATGTATATCCGTTGCCTAGTACCCATAACACAAGCTTCACTAGCTTAGCATGGGACTCGGTCAATCGGTGTGAATTGTTATAAAAAAAACAAATCTTACATAAATAGAAATTGTTTTATCAGAAGTTTGTGACGTCGTTCGTAAGTCTACTATGGAGGACGAACCAAAACGTATGTTCAAGGCTAGTTTAACAGAGAGTAAAAAAGCTTTGTCGGAAGCGCTCCAGCAGTTAGAAAGAGACAGCGAACATGGAATAAAACAATTTGAACGGGTACGGTTTAACTTCCTACTTCAGTTGTTTAGTATAAACTAAGTAGTAAAAGAAAAAATCAAGCCTTGAGGTATTTTTTTTAGGTTGGATCCGAGTCAAATACGTCGCCTAGAGCGTTTTTGTCACAAAATGTAGCACAACTCAATGGAGCCATCGTATCGCTACTACATGCTACTACAGGTATCAATTCTTTAATTGCTTTTGTTTTTTTATGAAAAAAAGTGGCGCTACAACCTTTAGTTATTTGTTTTGTAAGGCAATAAGGTGATCAAACTGCCTTATATGTTTTCCTTACACATAAATAATCCTAAGATTTCATGAATGATAGTCGCACTCTGAAGCAACTACACCATCACTGCTCATTTGTTTTATTGATTGTTCAACATATTTTAATTATTTTAAAAGCTTAAAGACAAGTTCAAGACATGACATACAAATAAATAACAAAAATATTCTTTGTTCAGATTCACCAGACTACGACGCTGCCACGTTTGCTCTTCTTTCAATTTCTGACATTATCCCAAAAATCGTAAAAGGTATTCTTATCGTATTTAATTTTATGTTCTTGCAACACAATATACTTATATTTGATTTAATTTAAGCTGGAGAGTGTATTGACGGTGAAAACCCAAAAGCAAATATGATTGAAAAAATGAAACCAATGATAACGACTGTTCAAGAGATATGCAAAAGTGCTGAAGAGGAACGGTTTAAGGTAATTACTAAGTCAATAATCAACTTTGTAGGTGTTTCGGCTTAAAATTCCAAGTATTTTTGTGTAGTTAACGAATAAATACAAAAATAACATTTGGCACCAAAATTAAACCTTTTGAAGTTCGCTACATAAATTCATATAGTTGTCATGGAAATACGAATTACTGTTTAAAAACCTAAAGGTGGGAACTGACCAACGTTACGAGGTGTAATGTAACACGTTACACAGCGAGCATACGTGCAGTCAGTACGGCGTGTTACGGGGAAACCAGTAACGAGCCACTCGTTGCTCGCTTTGAGTGCTCCACCCGGCTGTCGGTTTTTTGGCGAATCCTTTGACTGTTACGCGGTTCAGTAATTACGCGTCGCACGTCGCGAGTGATCATGATTATGATTTTTCTATAAATTGTGTCTTTTTTAAGTACTTTTGGTCCAATTAAATTCAACAGTTCTTCAAAATCGAGACCTGCGTACAAAGTTTTTATACTGTCCAGTAATCATTTGGTTTTTAATATTGCAATCAATAACAAACCACCTCATACGCCTGTGTTTTTAAATAAGTTTTATGTCCAGTAACATTTTTTCTTCTTCTTAATTTGGATGAAACAATAATTAAATAGAATGAAAGATATCAACATTGTCACTATCACATCTCGTGAACACTGGCGGCGAAAGTGGAGCACAGAGTTTTGACGAGCATGTTACGCCGATTTTAGAACACAGCGTAACATGCTCGATGCGTAACACGCTCGATGCGAATGCTACATTACACCTCGTAACTTTGGTCAGTTCCCACCTTAAAGATGCGATGACTCAGCTTATTTTTAAATTTAGAACATTATTCTCTTTTAGGACCTTAACAATAGCACGATGCAGTTTGCTGACCAGTCGGAAGCAATATACAGTGAATGTAGTCCTAAATCAAATGAAAGAAAGAAAGATCGGGTATGTACTTCAATTTTATTAACATAAGACTTGGACTCTAAATATATACTTAGAATAATTTCCTCTTATTCTAAGACCATTTACATTCTGTACAGCTGGTGATTTCGTTGAATAAACGTCAGAACTGTTCAATAATTGACTATAGATTTGAGGACTCAAATCAAAAAGTAAAATACGACTTTGTCAGCTAGTGCTACCATAACAAACTTAACATTACAATGTGTACTGACAATAGTAAGATGTACATTTTGCCAACATTTTACAATTTATTATTTTTATAACAACTTTTACAACAGCTTTACGCTTGCAAAAATATTTCTAATAACCAAAATATAATTTGCATGTTATAATTGCTTGACTATCTTTAATCATCAATATTATTCAACGAGATTTTCCTACAAAGCAAAGACAATAAAATTGAATTTTCTATAGAACCTTTTCTGTATCTTGCAACGTCTCTCAATTAACATGAACATTACATAACAAAGTGCTCCATTATATTAATTATAATTATTATTGATTTATAGATATTAGACCTTTCAAAGGGTGCGTGTAAGGACGCCTCGGTATACCTTACAAAAGTGTATCAGCTAGCCCAAAAGGTTGGTGTTGAAGAGGCTACAGATCTCGATGTCTGTGGAGCGAAGATAGTTGACACAGCGCAGGTGTTCCTGACTGCTGCACAAGTAAGTTGAACCCACCTACTAAACGTAGTCAGATTCAAGACTTAAATAAGCTCATCAAGCGTCGGATTAGAACTTAGAAGGGCCTTAACAAAACCGACATTAATTTTAGTACGTTGAATCTTACTGTACCGTTAAAATGTAGTGAGTATACAAACAATAATAAAACGTTAAGTATTGTTGAACTTTACCGAAGCAATATTCATTTTATTTATTTTTTACAAAAAAGTTAAAATATACATATATAACATCTATTACACTGTACACATATGTGAGCAATGATAGAAAATCCTTGTTACATATAATTAGGTAACAGCACCAACAATGGAGGAGCCACAGTGTCAGAATGCACTAATTTTATTCACGGACACATTTTCAAAGAAAATCGACGACTTGGACAACATGTGGTCACCTCTTACTGGACCCCACAATAAGGATTTGGCTGACCTAATGAAAAATGACTCTAATAAGCTCCAGAAAACTCTGAACGAGTTGAGAAATATTTGTACGTCTGATAGTGGTATGTTTTTTGGAAACTTTATATAAATTAATTGAACTTGCTGTGGTTAAGGTTTTTGTTATATTACATAGTAGCAAACTATTCAAACTATCAAGGGAAACGATAGGAGAACACCAGTCATGTGGACCACCATGCTTTTTTGGTGGTTATGCAATTAAATTGTAGCTTATGTGAAACTTTGGTACTTTCAACACAGCGCCATCTGTTAGAATTGTGACTATCAAATAATAAACAAATATTTTGCAATAAAATAATATTGCGGGTATAAATTGAGATGTAAGCTATCCTATCTTTTAAGTTAGATCAAACTGCACACGGTGTGCAAATTTGATTGAACTCGGTTTGGTAGTTTAGGAGTCCATAGCGGACAAACAACGTGACACGTAATTTATATACATTAAGATTTTTTTAAATAAATTTTATTTATTCAATAATATTAACACAATGAAATGACGACGAAAATATCTATCCATACGGAACGATCCGTGCTTAGCCTTCGTGAATACTAATTTAGTTAAGTATCGTAAATATTTAAAAGCTTAAGAAATACAATAAATGAATAATAATTTATTCTAACTAAACCTAATTATGTAATTATGTAAGTACAAAACTTGTATTACCACTTCACATTAATATACTCTGTAGCCGCGATATCGAAGTTAAAAAGAACGTCACGGAAGTTACATGATTTATTCTATTTTACAAAGCGCGCCATCTGTCTATGGATTCCAAATTTGAATTTCGAATATATACAATGTCTATTGATGGTGCGGTGAAGTTGGTTTTCCGGTTTTTGGCGGCATTTTTTTTGAACAGTTTGAATTTTATAGGTTTTTGTTGTTTTGATTTTTTAATAACATTAATTAAATTATAAAATTTACAAAAATTGTAATATCAAGCATTTTCTCTACAGGCGATGAAGATAAAGAACAACTACAAACGAAAGTTTTGGAGGCAAAGGATAAATTAAAGGCAATGGAAAAACTTGCCTCCAAAGAGAGATTGAGGGAATTGCCTGAGCCGCCACTATTGGAATTTGTTTCTATTATGACTAAGGTAGTCTCGATTTACTTTTGCTTTGATAATTAACAATATATTAGACAACAAGTTATGGTATATGGTATTTTTAATACATTTTAATCTGTCGGGCGTATTATATAGAGCTTTGAGTTATTTCATAATTACGATAACATAAGAACTTTAAATTTACTATTACGAAGACTGAAAGAATTGGAATGAATGTTTCGAAATTTTTCTATAACTAAAGACGTTTTTAGAAAGCTGAAATGTGATTTGACCGTTTCAAATAAGACATACATATTGGAAAATTATAGAAATCTACGGTTTTTCTATCTGATCACCTAACTCGTAACGTTACTGTTACTATGTTTATATTTTGAAACGAAAAATAATTTGTATTTTTGTAAAATTTTTGAATTCGTATAAAACATGTTTATAGTAATATATTTTTGTATTTTATTAAAGGACCAGGGATGTATTGAAAAAACCACAATCGAACCAACGAAGTTGTTGCTGTGCGAAAAATTATCACAATTAAATCAATCCATCGCTCTATTGGTTCAAGCTATGTCAGGTGAGATTAATTTTCATTAAAGTATAAATATCAGCTTTATTTATAATGTCTTCGATAGATTTTACTACACGTGCGACACATTTTTAGTTAATAGCCCAGTATATAGATATCATCAGTGGTGGTTTAATCGTGACTCAACTAAGGACGTGCGTTCGAATCACATCTAAAACTGTCTCATTTGGTCAAGACACATGAGAACACCGACCTGTCTTAGACCAAACCATTCACAGAAATTTATGAGAGTTATAATAGTGTTTTTAGCTGGAGCTAGAGCTTTTACGACTCTAAACTAATATGTATTTAAAAAATATCTGAGTATCAATTTCAGGCCGTGGTGAAATTGATTACAAAGTCCAAGAAGAACTCGTGCAAAATATATCGCAAACGGCACCGGAGACTATAAAATGTAAGTTATTTAATTAAATAATTTTTAATTAGATTTAATTCTAAAGGGAAGAACTTAAATAAAGTTTATTTATATTTTTGGTGAATGTCGTGATTAAAAAATCAGTTTAGTAGAATAGTATTTTTCTTATTCTACATATATTTCACAGATATTCTATCGACGCATAAATATTTAGAAGATGACGTGAAGGAAGAAATGATTGCCGAAGCGAAAGCTCTGTGCGAGGCTACTCAAGGAGTTCTTAGCAATTTAGACAATGACAATACTGAGGTATGGAAATAATTAATACGTGATTTTCATGATGATAAAAAACTTATGTTCTTGTTTTGAAAAAGAACTTTTCTAGAATTCTACATAAAACTTAATATGTGTCACTCTTTATCTAAAATGCACTTTGTATATTTCTTTCAAATAGTGTTTCGACTGTGATGAAAAAAGACAGATTTATTTTTATTCGGATCATACTTTAGTTGAAAGAATGCAATTAGCCTGTTTTTTTATGAATTAAGGTGTTAAAATAAAGTATCTTCAATAAGCATATTTACTGTATCTAATAATATACATACATAAAATTAGTTCACAAGTTTTATGACTAAGTTAAAGGGAGCTCCGTATTCTAGAATGCCAAACAAAACTTAAATCTAGTTTATTATTATTAACTTAATTTCAAGAGCTTTTTTCTGTATGAAGTTTGAAATTGTGACTTGAGATACGACGTTACGACGATACGAGTACGACGTTACGTACGTTGTAACACAATCCTAAGCTCAAGAGATGTATGTACTAAAGTATGGTAGCTGTTTACATACAAACATATTATAAAAATCGTATTTCTGTTTTTTTTTAATGTCACAAACGGGCTGTACGAATTGGTACGCTCTTTTCTTGAAGGACCTCTTCTATGTTTGTAATGAATATACTCAAAACTACTGCACTGATTTCAAAAATTATCTCTTTGCTAATGTAGTTCCAAACTATTCAAAAAATAAAGTCTATCTTGCCAGTATTAATAAATATAGTTAAATATTTATCCTTCATATACTGAATTATTTTTAGGAGTTATCAGACGCTTTGTCGAAGTATGCGTATTCCTCTGGAAAGCTGTATTTCATATTCAGCCCTTACAAGAAAGCGGAGAGCAAGAAGGAAGCTGAGGTAAGGTTCACAAAACCTTTCATATAGAAAAGTATTATTTACTGGTTTGTTTAACCAATATAATGAGGGAATAGTCTGTATGTAGACAAGGGTTGGCCTAGTGGTCGCCTCTCAATCGTGCGTTCGAATCACGGCTATGCACCAATGGACTCGTACAGTGAAGTAAAACATCGTGAGCCATGCCTTCGACACAAACACGTCCACGGCGTGTGTCAGCACAGAAGGCTGATCATCCATGCCTATTAGGAAAAACAAATGATCACGAAACAGATAGGGGCCGTTCAAGTATTAAGTAAGCACTATAGAGGGGGTGTTTGATTTTATTATTTGGTGATTACGTCAACAGTAATAATTTACTTTTTTACACATATTGCCTATGCTTGAAAATGAAATGCATTTTCAAAGATTCCTACAAAAGATTAATACGTTTATGTACTATTATTTTTGAGAGCTTTGCTTTCTTTTGCTGACAAGAGGAGGGGAGGGGGATAAATTGCAGTAAATCTGCTTACGTAATAATTGAACGGTCCCGTACACAAATCGAAGGCTTTTAGCGCCACTGGTATTTTTCTATACATGCTATTGTTGAAATTGGACTGTATTAGAGAAAAAATCTAAGTAAAATTCTATTTAATAGATTAAATAAAGTAATAGAATATTATGTATGTATATATGGAGAAATACTTGTGTGTAGTTACATAAATGTATGAAATTGTCATCAGATCGTCCACACCGCCCGTTCAGCGTGTGAGCGAACTTCCTTAATGCTATCTCGCGTCTCTCGGCTTGCTCAAACCCTAGACGCTTCCGAAGCTGAACCATTGGATCGTAATGGAGTAGAACTGGCTGATGCTGCGCAAGCGCTACTTACTAATGCTCAGGTATAATTTAGAATATAAATATAAATTACAGTATTTAAAATATATTTAAATTGGTTATCAGCAATGTTTTTTAATTAATTATAAGAATTTTAATTTTTGACAATAATATGTTGTTATCGCTGCATATTTCCCGCAACAGTGTTTGGAATATAAAAAAGTCTACATTTACTTGATCACTGTATATTACATATATTAGGGTTTATTTAGTTATCATAAAGAATAACATTCACTTACACAAATTAATTAGTACAACAATAGGCAAGAAACAGAAGACTTGTTGTATTTTAAGAATTTAATTCGGTGATGTGAAGGTATTTTAAAATGTTTATGATACGCAAACATAATCGTTACTTTAAAGCTACGTTAAGTTCTTTTCACGGCATTAAAGAAATCTTTGCATATAATTAAGTACTTAATAATTGACTGGATTCATAACAATAAAATTATTTTAATCCAACTATATATATATTATCAAAGAAAGCAATAAACTAACTAAAAATTAGTTGAGGAACAATTAGTAGTGTACTATTTAAACGCTGGTATTTACTTACACATAATAATAATAAGCATTTATTTATCCACGTGTTATTTACATACATTATACAAAAATATACAATTTTCTTACTTAAAGATGGGGAACACTTCCCCTGTTCGGGAGAAGGCCTCCTCCAACCTTTTCCATCCTATTTAATTTTTTGCCGTCATCATCCAACGCTACCCATTCAATCTGTATCTCTTCACATATTATAATTAAATCTTTATTTTTCATGTAATAGTAGGCAACGGGCAAGAGGCTCATCTGAGGCAGATGGACACTCACATTGCCAGAAGGCTTGTAAGTGCCTTGCCGGAAATTTACCAGTTCTCTTATTTAGCTCAAGTCTAAATATATGATATTTTAAAATAAATAATCTATTATTATAGTTCCCGGTAAATAAGTTGTCAAAAGTCGTAAATGTGTAGAAGTTCTTAAACCCTCAGCTCATAATATAACCTTTCCCTACCACGCCAAACGCATTTAAGAACTATATGATTTTTTCTTATATGAACATGTTATGTAATTTTCTTTCAGTTAACATCCCCAAGTATTCGTTTTGAATGCTCGCAATCTATACTCGAAGACTCAGTGAACCACGTCAATGAACTCTCTGAAAAGCTCGGCAACGCCTGGTCTCCATTGGTTTCGTCTGATGAACAACTGGGTCAACAACTTGATAAAGATCTTAAGCACCTGCAGACTGATCTTTACAGACTCAAGGACATCATTCAAGGTAAGTTTAGATAAAGATGAAAGAGTATAGGGACCGGATTTAAATAGGAAAGACAAGTGATTAATCAAAGTTAAAATATATTTATCAATTTGGGTGACTGTTTAAGGCAAAAAGTTAGTTACTGTAAGTTTGCATTTACTTTATTCTCAAATCAAGGACTATGTACAAAAAGGAAGAACTAGCTATTAACTCTCCGCTACTCTTTTTAAGCGCCAACTAATTTTTTTTACAAAAAAATCCTTTTTACTTAGATTTGTACGAATATTTTGTCTTAAATTAGTGGGAGTTAAAGTGAAAAACAGGTTGAAGATGTTTCGTTATTTCTATACGTTAAGTCTACGTGATTATTTAATTAATCGAACTCTCGAGTGATTAACGAACATGGGTGACGTTCGCTTTGAAATTTTATTGGTCTACCTTTAAATGTATAATTACAAATAGTAAACAAAACTATCGGTTAGTATCTATCAGGGCATTTTGTAATTGATATTTTTGTTTATAGAAAGCAATCAATGGATACCACCAGCGGATATTGAGATTGATGATAATACGAATAAGAAAATAGATTCAGTAAGTTTATATATTATTACCTATAAAACATCCACTATCCAAAGTTCAAATATATACAATAATATAATATATCTTTTCATCACAGCGTATGCACAAGTTAACATTGAAAGAAGTGCAATAAGATTTTATTTTTATAATTAATTTTTACCTGTTTCAAGCCTCGAGGCTTTAATCTGGAAACGTTACTTCGTTTGTGATCTAAAATTATTGTATTTAGTTTTTTTAATAATATTACATACCAGGAATAAAATGTATACATTATTCGAGTCGACCGTCGGAGTCTTTAAATAAGATTATTGCGTATAATACGAGTATATGAGTTAACTGTTGTTTACCTATTAATTCAGCATTCTACTAGCTACTTTTATAAACACATGCATGCAAGTATACCTACTCATAAATTTACTCGTGCTTGATATGGAATTAAGACGAAAGTATATTATAAGTGGTATGATTGACAAAAAAGATAAAAAAAATTACAGGATACAAAACATGACAACGATTTATTGATAGAAGACACACCTCTCAAGGAATTAGCATCAAAGATTCTTAACTCCGCAAAGGTATTCTGTTTTTTTAATTTGTTGTAATAAAATGAACATCTGCGCAAAAATCTTAATCCATGTACCTATCAAATAATATTTATAATTGTCTTTTCTAACATTTTTATTTAAAAAGTCTATCTAAGAAAAAACAATTTTCCACATACCTATACCAAAGCCGTCGCAATAAATAAAGTGTAAAGCCCAGTCTTCTGATTTATACATAACTTACACATTCTAGAAAATATAATTGAATTATTTGTACTAATATTAGATTTAGGTGCTAGTAAATTGGCCGGTGTCATTAGATGTGTAGAAGTAGTTTTTAGTTATTTTCTATTAAAAGTATAAGCGTCTTCATCTTCATCACTGTTAGTGTTAGTTAGTTAGTTAGTAAGAAAGATCTTTGAACCTTCTAATTATGAAAACTCCTTCTCCAGAAGCCACCATATTGGCATTCCTCTAGTAATTCTGTATTTTACCATTTCGAAAAATATCTATATATTAATTAATTGTTCGTTTGTCTCGCTAAAACTCGAGTATTGCTGGACTGATTTGGCTAATTTTAATATATTGCTGGAAGTTCAGTGAAGGTTTAAATTGAGAAAGATATGTAATATAAATATAAAATAAAAAAGAACATAAACATAATATTAGGTTTTGCTATGAAATACAAAGATTATTTGTAAATGTCTTGTCTTGAACTTTTCTGTGTGTTCAATCGGATTCGGGAATCGTTTAGATTTACAAGTAGGTTTTATTTTATTTAAGACCTGTGTACACTACGTCAGTCGGGTCAGGTAGTATATCTATAATTTTCTTTAGAGTGAATTGGAAGACGGAAACCTCTCAGTAGAGAAGCATAGTGCATTGAAATGCTTCACCAATGAGTTGACTGCCGCCCTCTGTGCTTTGGACCTGGCAACTGCACGCTGTAAACGAGATCCTGTGGTAAGACTCCAAATGTTAAGACTTTTTTATAGATGCGCATCTGAAACACTATTTAGACATCTCACCTAAAACATGATGTCACGTGTATTTCACCGAAACCATTTTTCTTTTTTGTATATATATTACAGTGGGCAAATGTGCAGGAGGCTCATTTGATGTTAAGTGATACCACCGCCCATGGATACTCACATTGCCAGAAAGGTGGCAAGTGCGTTGCCGGCTTAAGAATTGGTACACTCAAAGGACTCTAAGTCGGATTGGGTCCGAGATAAGTACCTATCTGAAGTCGTGGTTCCACACTAAGTGGTAAAAACCGCCTTAAACAACACTACAGTTTTGAATACGACGGACGTTGAAGGTGATACGGATGGTATTTCATTATTCCGCCTTGACGTCCGATGATGAATATCAACTGATATCGTTTATTTTTTTCGGAAACAGCCCAGGGCATTTTTGTGCGTCAAGTTACGAAGGTCAATATTTTTCTCTGTTTTCAGGACGCAAAGAAGCGCCAAGACTTGGAAAACGTGATACAGAATGTACAGCATCTCTGCCTTGTAGGACAAAGAGAAGCCGATGCGCAAACTAATATAATTGATTTAATGGTTTGTAATTGTTTTGGTTCCTTCCGATTTAAGCATGCTTTTGTGAGTGGTAAAAATATCTAAGGTCGTGTGAACGCCTATTGTCCATAAATGAACCCTCGCTTTCCTGGACACGCTCATGAAAAATGGGGCAAATAGGCAGGAGGCTCATCTGATGTTAAGTGATACCGCCTCCCATAGTCATTCACATTGCCAGAGAGCTCGCAAATGCGTTGCCGGCCTATTAATGATTGGTACGCTCTTGAAGGACCCTAACTCGAGTTGGTTCGGAAATATTTCAGTGGGCAGCTGGTTGTAATCATCAACTCTACTCTAAAGAAAATGGATGATAAAAAATTAAACACGCGTGTATGCATTAACAGAAGGTGTGGATAACGAAAGGATATTCAAATTACTGTAATCTTACAGTAATAACAGACGATCGAACTTGGTACGGGCCGGACGACGGCTTCGGTTCGTTCCATACCATATCCGTTCGACCGGTTGGTCGGAGGAACATAATTAATTATTATATAATATTATTTCGTGTTTGCTCGGTCTGATGGTTTGCGCGTCGAATTTGTTCCGCTCCGTACCAAATCCGCGAGTCTGTACGGACCGGACAAACGCGCGGCAGTCGAAAAAGGATCGAAACCTTCAATCAAATTTATGTTTTAGGTATTTGTCAAAGACGTGATGACAGCTGCCAATGACCTCTACCAATCGACCCAGTTGGTTCACCCTAATTGTTCTAAGAAAGCTCTAGTGGTAAGTTTTAATACATTGGGTAACTTTTACAAAACAAGCTTAGATAGTCCCAGGTAATTAATTAGAAGCAAGAAGTCAAAACAAAATTAATGTATTTACATAAACATAACACAACAACAAAAACTAATTTTGTTCAATATGTAAGAATAATTTGCTTTTTTTATGTATACGATATAATATATTATACATATACGCGTAGGAAAGCATATTTGCTGTAAGTAGACATATTGCAATTGTTCACCAGAGCAAAAACTTAATTAATTTCGGAAAAAATTAATAGTGTCGAACCTATCCATGATATTGTTACCATTTTTTGAAACATATATTTATTTAACTGCCAGTCACCATTTGCAATGTAAACTTTTTATCCAAAGTTACTATAAGTACGTGTTTGGCTAGTTACAGCATACAGTTTTTTAAATCACAAACCTTTAAAACGCTGTAACTAAGGAAGAAAAATGTACGCCGGAAATATTATCAATTTACAGGCGGTAAATATGCTGTATGCAGTAAATTTATGTATTTGGGTACTTTCAATTGCAATTCAAGATGTAAGATGAGTTTATAATTATGATTAGATCTAGAAATGCAGTGGGTCATTTGGTAATGTAATGTTTGGTTGTAATAACATGTTGTAAATGGTAAAAAAACTAAAACTGTAGGTTCCCTAAGCTTGCTGTAAGTAAACGAATGTAAAAATCACACGCCGCAGAAATGCTGTAAGTAGCGTTAAGTTTTTAAATGGGAAGAAGTAAGTATTTGTAAAGTAAAAAATGCAGATTTTCTTTTGCTTAAGTACAAATTGTCTAAAATGACTGGATTTTTGGTCTACATACAGCATTTAATCTTACTAAAAATATAAGTACGGGCGTTTTCAACCGCGTATGTAATTTTTTTTTCATCGTAGAGACACAGGACCCGGGACATTCGATGCGGTTTTTTTCTGATTCTAATGGCAGTAAAAGTCACTTTAGGTATTTTGTCTACTTACAGCAAATATGCTTTCCTACGTCGATATACGCGTCTTCTAGCTAAGAGTGAATTTGGAATAAACACTTCCGAAGATAACTAAAAACTACCCTAACTTTGCTTTACTATGACCCTGCATTCTCTTAATTCCGTCAGCTCTTCACGCCCTTGCATCAAATAAGCATGTCGCATGTTGGCAAGCATTGACTTCGCATTTCTAGGGAACCTCTTAATGGTTGAAACAGAACTTGACTACTAATAAGTGATATAAAGTGACTTGAGTACTCTGTGAGTTCCAATAACGATATCATAGACAATAGAGATATTATTCAACTTTTTAAATCATATTTATAATTAAATAAATCTATAAAATATTATCGCGGCACGCTGTTGACCCTTAAATATTTATGTATACCATGGTTTTAATGTAAATACCCTGGTTTCAGAATATAAGAGACGCGTGCGACGATATAATAGGAAAAGCCGAAAATTTGTCAAACACTCCAGACGTTCCAGAAGATTCAATTTTACACGACATGTTGGTTACCGAACAATTCGCTCAGGTAATATTGTTATGACGTTTTAATTTTTTAATTTACTAACTAAAGTATTGAAAAAAATTGCATCAAATTAATTTTTAATTATTTCAACATAAAGTCTTATTTTTTCTAATTGTTGAATTATGTACTAAATCGTCAACTTCTTTTAAATGAAAATATATTAGATTTTAATAAATAATAATACTTATAATAAGTAGCTTTTTCGCCTTTACATAGCTGCTTGCGAAGCTCATCTTGTAGTGATTATAAATAAACTTTTTTTTTTTTTTAATCGCTTTTAAGCAATCAAAACTAAGGATTTATTATTCTACCTTTAGTAATTTATGTTTATTTAATAGGAATGCGATGCTAATGTGAAAACTATCCAGGATTCAGTTGAAACAATAACTGACAATAACTCAAGGAATTTGCTTCATGAAAAACTTCGCGCTCTGATCGAAAAGTGTGATCTGTTAATGTGAGTTTAGATATTTTATAACTGTTATATTGTATTTATGTATGTAATATTTACAGATAAGTTTTTTAAACTAGTGTAAGCTCGTTACTGAAGTCGTCGGTTCAAACAGGAACGTGGAAAATGGATTTTTCTTTATAGATGCGTAATAGTGCAAGCGCTCTCGCATTGAAAGTGTCCTTGGTCGGCGGTATCACTTAACATCAGATGAGCCTCCTGTCCGCTTGCCCCGGTTGTATAAAAAAAATAAACTTGCATTGTAAAGCAAAACTACGTAAAGAAACCAGCAGGTAAAGTTTAAGGATGATGAAGAGTCAGACATAGAAGGCAAATCACCTACTTGTAATGTGTAACCTAAAAATAATGACTACAATACGCATCGACCGATCTAATTCATGCCGATTGGAGGTTTCTCACATCTCACTCACTCCACTGGCTGGGACCCAAAATGTGTCTTGGCCGAAACGTGAAACTTCCAGCGCTCCTCGTGTCTCATCCCACCACTTGCTGGGTTTCAGTTGCGGCAGATCCTCCTCCACGCTACCTATATCGAAGCAGGTTTCTGATCCCAAGGTGTGCGTTCACTGTCCGATGGTGGCCCATGCGCTTAAGGGATACCCACTATTTTTTTTTATAATACATATGTCATATATATATAAATGATGATATCTCTTCCAATATCCAATTTTTATTAAGGTTCGCCGCAAAAGGCAGTGTTTCATCAGCAGCTGGATTGGCGGTAGAGGAGGACTTACAGAATCTGACAGATGCCGAAAAGAAAATTGAATTGTTGCTGACAGCTAATGACATGAGCGAATCCACGGACAAGGTATGTTAATTTATTGTATCCTGTATTATCATGTCGACTGTTACTTAATCGATTAATTTAAATTCGTAAAAATAAAATAAACATTGATTTTAACTGTCGCAATGTTGGTACATTGAGAACACTCGAAGTTTGTAAATAATCTAACAAACTCTTATTTATATAGGATCAAAGTTTTATTTAAAAACGATTTTTGTTCAGGTTTATTAACTATAGTTATGTTTTACTTGTATTATTGATTAATGATGAGTTAGATGATGAGTTGTCGCAACCGGCATCAGCGCCTGCATGACTGTTCGGAGATCGCTTCGATAGAGCGATTATTTAGGTTTTCTGATTGTTTTGTTTATGCATGTTTAAAATAAATAATTATTTTAGGATAAACCCATAAATATGGAAGCAATTAAAACAGCGCAAAAACCACTCACTAGCGCAGTGATAGCGAAACAAGATGATTTACCGCAAGCACTTACTCAGTATGCTATGAGGATGTTGGCTGCAACACCCAAGGATCCAGCCAGTCAACTCAAGTATGTATATAATTATTGTATTGAAAACTTTAATAAATGTTATTTTTATTGAATATTTTAATAATTATATTTAGAAGAAATGGAATGGTATGCGGCTGAAAAAATGTTTCTTTCTAATATAATGAAAACATAAGATTTTTGTATTGAACTTAAAACTGGGTCCATTTCAAATATTAGAAACAAAAATGATTTACATTATATTACCAAATGTGCTGGCAAATGTGCTGGCAAATCCGGTACAGCCCGCTAGTTGAAACGTGTATGTTTAATTATTAATTATGACATGTATTTTTTATATTTTCTTCCTCGGTTCATGGACTCTCACAATGGAAAATATTCTTTCAATACGAAGAAGTAATTGAAATGAGCGCGTGTCTCAAAAAGAATCGTCAGGTTTATAACATTAGCACCTATAGTTTTTTATTACAAAAAAATGGTGCTAGGCAATTTTTTGTTATAAAATGTAAGACTTCTAAGACAATGTTATATTCAGATTAAACGAACACTTGAAGAAGCTATTAAGCTTACTAAAGAAACGGAACCTAGCCAGTGGCAGACGAGTAGCGACGTGGCAAGATGCCGATGGTGATGACGTCACAGATATCACCAAGCAAATCGTGGAAGTAAGTCTTGTATCCCTTAATTTGACCAGACTAAATGATGATAAAAAACCAGCTTTAAAAATGAGGTTGTCAGTTTATTATATTGATGTGCTGTTATTTTTATATAGCATAATTTGGTATTGTCCACAATGTCCAAATGTTTGCGGAAAAGTTATTATCTTTAGTCTTTATTTATTTAAAGGGGTTTGCTAGTCCGTAATACAGTAAAATCTTTCATCTATACAAGATAAAACTTATGTCACATCCTTTATGAGGCAAACATAGGATGCATTGAAAGTGCTTAATGCCTATTACTAACTAATACTAATACCTCAGAAATATCTTACTATAACAGTGACAATAATAACACGCTTATTGTGTGTTCGTTGTGGTTTATGAAATTCTCCTTTGAATGATTGTAATGTAGAGGGGAGGGTAAAACTTGCTGAGTTTCTTGCTCGTTCTTCTTAGAACAAGGCCTCCTGGTAGTTTTACGAACGGATGGCGTAATCTTGCGCTTTCGCGAATTTTGTAAACGTTTTTGACGCGAATTTTGAAAATGTAAAATATCTTAATTAAAAGGCTATTATAATAATTATTATTATTTAGGATAAAAACAAGAAAACGAATACTTAAAACCTAAACCTACATAGTAGCTTCTCGAGTCGATAGTTAGGTATAATATACAAATCTCGATTCTCGACACGCAGTAAATAACCTCAAAGTGGCGACCCTTCCCCCTCCACCGCGTTCAAAGCGTCACTGTTCTCGCTTATCGTTATGAATTTTTTGATCTTTTAGCTTTGCAGTAGTATAATTTAATAGATTTAAAAATACGACGCAAGTAATAGTAATAAAAGTCGTTAATTCTGTTAAACTACGTCGCATACGATTGCGAAGAAACTCCATATTTATAAAAAATATTAGTCATTATATTAATCATTCATTTTGTTTCAGGAAATTCACGAATACATACCGAAAGATAAGGGAGCTACAGATGGAAATGATCTTCAAGCTTTGATGACATTTAAAGGTAGTGAAATTGACGGTGATATCAAGTGAGTTTCACATTTATACTATTAAAATAATAATTTTAAAAAACTTGGAATGTTTTTATGATTAAAAATGTTATAATTAACACTATCTGAACAATCATAAAAAATTACTTATTTATAATATCGGTTTTACGCTTGAATGTTCGTAACGTCGTTTGATGTTATAATGAATGTTGGTTTACGTCACAAAAATTTGAGCACAAAGCTTTACTAACATAGATTGTAGGCTGAAATTAATACTAACACTAAGAACACATAAGTATAAGGTGTTTTAATATTGTACGAGCCAAGGATGTACATTTACGCTCCGAGATAGCCAGACACTAGCATATAATCATAGCATTAAACCTTTTTTTTTATACGTGACTGTTAAATGTAAAAGAGAGCCCCTTGACCCAGGAACCGTACAAATATTATTCTAACTCTAACATATTATATGCACTTGAATTTATTGCTTTGTCGCCACAACGTTAAAACGGTGCGTCGGGTGCGAGTTTCAACAACATAGATATTTCCAATAGAATGAACTTCTCTATTTGCGATACTGCTGCAACATAACCACTAAAGTTTTGAACTTTACATTTATTGATTTACAAAAAAAATTACTTTAATGGTCTGTTTTCGCTAATAAATAAAAAGTTATTTTACTTCGTGGATAATGAACATTAAATGATATTTTGTATATTCGAAAAATCAACTAAAGATTTTCGATTAATTTATGTTATTTCCGCAGTGAATTAAATTCGAAACTGAGTCAACAAACACAAAAGCTAAGCTTTATGATAGGAACAGTCATCCTAAATAGTGATAAGCCTGAAGGAATAACGCGGGCCGTTCGCAGTACTGGCGAAGCGGTCGCTGAGATATCAGCTCTTTCCAAAGCTATCAAAAATAAGGTACGGCATTTGTCTATAACTTTACGAAATTCTAATAATATAAATACTTTATTCATACAAATTCTAATGATAATTATATTTCAAAGAAAGTTATTATTCGGCTTTCAATTTTTTTTTTTACCCCGCCAATTTTTTGCTACTGCCGAGAATTGTTAGCCTGGCTTTAGCATGACTTTTATCCGTGAGGTCGTAGGTTCGATGTCCCAGTTGTACACCAATGTACTTCAGTCTATGTGCGCTTTAAAACTCGTACGGTGAAGGAAACTATGACCCAAAAATCAGTCACTCAGAATGCTGATCACCTACTGGCCTATTAGAAAAAGGAAATGATCACGAGACTGTATACAGAAATCTGAGGCCCAGCCTTAAAAGGCTGAAACGCCATTGGATAAAGTTTTTAGACCTTTTTTAATTAGATATTTCTTTGTAAAAATATGAAATTTTTAGCTGTTTACGTTGGCGTAAAATTGAAATTAAAATGTCATCGATTTCATTCGTTCTAGGATGTCATCCAAGGAAAAAAAATGGAGAAAGCGACATATTATTTGACAGCTGCGATGTATAATCTACTCGAAACGTCAGAATCTGTCAGTGAGGTAAGCAAATAAGTATAAGTTAGTTTTTTCAAAAAGCCTTGCTGTAATAAAGTCAGTGTTATAATTAAATCTTATCAAAGAAATATATTTGATTTCTTACGCTTTTATCAAGGTGGGACTTGACCAAAGTTACGAGGTGTAATGTAGCATTCGCATCGAGCGGTGTTACGCATCGAGGCATGTTACGCTGTGTTCTAAAATCGGCGTAACATGCTCGTCAAAACTCTGTGCTCCGCTTTCGCCGCCAGTCACGAGATGGCCAACAGCGAGTACGTGTTGATATCTTTCAATCTATTTAATTATTGTTTCATCCAAATTAAGAAGAAGAAGAAGAAAAAATGTTACTGGACATCAAACTTATTTAAAAACTGTGTTTTGAACGTATGAGTTGGTTTGTTATTGATGGCAATATTAAAAAACCGAATGATTACTAGACAGTTTAAAACTTTTGTACGCATGTCTCGATTTTGAAGAACTGTTGAATTTAATTGGACCAAAAGTACTTAAAAAGACATAATTTATATAAAATCATAATCATGATCACTCGCGACGTGCGACGCGTACTGACTGAACCGCGTAACAGTCAAAGGATTCGCTGAAAAACCGACCTCCAGGGGAGCACCTCAAAGCGAGCAACGAGCGGCTCGTTGCTCGCTTTGCTGGTTTCCCCGTAACAACGACGTACTGACTGCACGAATGCTCGCTGTGTAACGTGTTACATTACACCTCGTAACTTTGGTCAGTTCCCACCTTTAAAACAAATACACTTTTCACACATTTCTGTATGTATTTTGTATCGATAGTTAATATTTAAATCTATATAAATAAAAATCCCTCACGATGTTTGTAGTTGAACTCTTCAGAAACAACGATTTTCTTAAATGAAAAGAAATTGTATATAATTAAGATAGTTATTAGAATAAGCGAAGTGTTGGACTAGTGACTTCAGCGTGTGACTCTCATCTCTAAGATCGTAGGTTCGATCCCCAGCTTTGCACCAATGGACTTTCTTTCTATGTGCGCATTCGCTCGAACGGTGAAGGAAAAATTGTGAGGAAACCAACACCCAAAACGTCGACGGCGTGTCAGCCACAGGAGGCTGATTACTTGCCTACTAGAATGACAAGTGATCATGAAACATATACAGAAATCTTGAGGCCCAGACATAAAAAAATTGTAGTGCAACTGATTTATTTTATTAGAATAAGCTGCAAAGTATATTTTATGACGCTAGATGATTAAACTATTCCTAACCATAGTATATCTTTTCATTCGAATTTTTTATACAAAAATAATTTCAGATTCATTTTTTAAACCATCAAAAGTATAACAACCTAACTTAGGTTAGGCTTTTGATAGGTCCCAACACTCTAGTTTAAGAATTATTTAGGCTATATGTAAATAAATTTCTCAGGAGTTCGAAAAACCAGAATCCCGAAGGAAACTGCTCGATGCCTGTCGAACTCTGACTGAAGCGTTGAATAAACTTGTAAGTATATAATGGGGCAATAGTTATGTTTCTATCGCAAACATAACTATTGTTGTTGGATTTATATTAGTTTGCGCTGGTCTTAGTTTAAAGCATGACCACGATTATTACTCCAAAAACTTGCCGTTACTTATTGCAATGTAGTTTTTTTAAACAAAATTTAAAAAAAAACATGGATAGAGGAAGAGTCTTACTAAGAGGCCCTCAAAAATATTACTTGGCTTCGCTCTAGAATATGTCTAAGGTCAAAATACGTACAAAGCTATACTCGCTAAACATGTAATTAAATTTTGATTATCATAAATAAATCGTAATAGGCTCAAGTATCGTCCCGTGCTGACAAAACGAAGCGCGATGGTGAAGAGTTCCAACGCAATATTCAGCTCCAGCAGGTTCTACTTAGTCCGAATCTGCCCACATGTGCACTCGGCCTAGAGGGTACTCTAGACGCCTTACAGGCTCAAGGAGAGATTATACGTGAGTGTATATCGCTGTTAATGTTTAGTAAATACCATAAATGGTTTTATTTAATATTTCTATAAGTTTATTTATTTATTAGTAATATAAAATCTAATTAAATTGTAAATTTTCTAAAAAAAAATATGTAATACTATTGATGAGATATAAGAGTTTCACACATGAATTTACCGAAAAATTTTAAAATTTATTATTATTGTGTTTGTACATTCAGTAACTTTTAAATTTTTCAACTATTACACGATATAAAGGTAGATTTTTTTATCGGTTTTTTGAAATAATAAAAGAAAATATCCACGTGTATAAGTCTAAAATAAATGATATTAATAAACAACAGACAAGCTGGATAGCGAAGAAACGATGTCCCAGTCTGAGTGTGGCACTACATTGCGGTACGTCGCAGCGGCTGCCTGCGCAAGCGCTCAATACGCTTCACATTCCGCCTATCTGGTAAGGAAATCTTTGGTACTCTTTTTATTATACGCCTAGATGACTTAGAAAAATAATTAAATAAAAAACTAATATTTTCTAAAACTAAAATGTCGAAATTTACGACTGCTAATTTCGTTTCAAAATGTCGTAAATTTTATTTTTATTTACATTTTTTAATCACAGCTAGCGATTTCGGAAGAGAACCAAGATGCGGCGAAGAAAGGACTCATAGACCAAACTAGACTGAACCAAATTTCTGAATACGTTGATGAAGTCTGCTCGAAAATAATTTCTGGAGATAAAGAACAGGTTTGTTCAATCATTCCAAGTGTAATAATGAAGCTAAATCATCTTAATTACTGCTTATTACCTAAGAGTGCGCTTCTCATATTAACTTCCTTAATGACTTCATACCGCTCGATTCTCGGTCTATTATTACCCATTAACCTCTTCACCATTTTCTTTGACCTCATGCCATCAATTGTACTTAACACTACTATTCTATTAATTGTTACTGTGAGTTCTTAAAATATAGAATATTATTTTAAAAGTACGTGTAAGTGAATGTCATGAAAGTGAAGGGGAATATGTCAGGACAGTAGCAAGTGGAGCTTAGTGGTTTCTGCCTACCCCTTCGGGGGAAAGGGCATGTGATATAAATAAATAAAATAATTTTGAGACAGTGCTAGACTATGAAGTGCTATAAATGCAATGCTGAGAGTGCTGGTGATTGATTAAACCCTTGTGTTTATCTAAAAAACCGAATCTAAATGTATGGTTGTTTTACGGGTTTGATTATTTTTCTAGGCGAAATCATTGGAACCGGTTCTAAGTAAACACATACAAATATTATCTGAATTTGTTGACGACTGTACTATGAAAATGAATGAGGAAGAAAGTGCAAAAGTTAAAGAAGACTATACTGTCATTAATTCAGCTATGGATCAACTCAAACATGGAATACAAGCCTCCCCCTATAGGGTAAGTTTGGATTATAATAATTTTCGTAAAACGTATACTAGCCATTTTCCACCCATAGTCACAAACTGGGTCGTATACAACTAACCTTGTTCACAACAGAGATTTTATATTATGGGTGTTTATTTACAATAATACAGTATGAAAAATAAATTGTTATTGGGACTTATATGTATAAAAAAAGCGTAACAGAGTAAATCTTGTTAGTAATCGAAAATAAATAGGCTTCTTAAATTAATCCCCGTTTTTTTTATATTTATATGCAGATTTCATCTCTGTCCACTATATATTATATATGTATATATATTATATATGTATTCCCTATATATTTTCAGGATGATATAGTAATTTCTAGAAGTTTGAAACTACTGGATGCTATAAATCGTTTGAAGTTAACAATGAAGCGGTCGCCTACGCCTCGGTATAATGGATCGACAGCAGAAAAACACAACCTTGGCATAGTTATGGAAAACGCTAAGTATGATATGTTAACTTGCTTAAATAACTAAGATTTAAATTAAAGTCCACACACTGTTATTGTAAAGTACTTTAGTTTGATTGCCTGAGTAAAGGAAGTATAAATAAATTCTGTTTCGAAGGACCAAAACATATGATGTATTTTGGGTGATTCTTGCATCATTTTTTCTTTTAGAAAGTCTGATGTTATTACCACGTTTCTAGTTACTCAAAATCTAATTCATTGACATACATACATCGTAGTAGGGTCTTTTTTTTTGGACTTTTTTAATATTTTCTATTATTATTTCTTTTCATTTTAAATAAACTCCGATAGAAACATTGCCCTTTTAGTAAGATTTTGGCTGAGTTAACTTTAATAAATATTCCCCCTTTGACTTACAGAAACCTCTTAAATGACACATCCCGTCTGGTGAGTCAAGTGACGTCATCAGAGGAAGAAGTACTCACGTGGGTGATGTACGGAGCTATCAGTAAACAAGTTATCAAATCATACGAGGCCTTACTCACTTGCATAAGGTAACATAATAAAACTAAGTAGTATGAAAATGTGTTTTTAGAATTTGCAAACTAGCGTTTTTTTGTTTACGTTTGTGAAGGAAAACTTCGTAAGCGTGTGTCAGGCACAGAAAACCTGAGATTCAGATTTGAATAAATTCTTAAATGTTGTAGCGCTACTGAGTACCGATTACATATTTATTATATGACATTAAAGATCATTTTGCGATTTACTTCCTTTAATAAACAATTTCTGTTATAAAGAAATTGATCAAATATTCAGTTCGACGTCGTTACAATGATTGATTCAGTACTTAAGTCAGTACTCAAAACTGTCACATTTCTTTCAAATGTCAAAATTAAACTAGCCCCACTACTAAAATTTGTTTAATAGTTTTTAATTGGTTTGATAGTTCCTGAGATTACAAAATTCACAAAGCTTTAAAACAGTATAAAGATATTTTAAATTTAATTTTTTCTTTTTATTGGGCAAATAATATGTAATAAATTAAAACGAATGGCCTGGAACTAACATAGAATTAATCTTACAGAAATAAAGGAAGTGAGATGAAGGTGCTCCAAGCTACAGAAATATCGAATGACGACCAAGAACCACCGAAAAGTCGTCTTCAGACACAGTTAGTATACCTTAATTCTTGTTAATTAGGGGAATTTCGTAAATAGGAGACTTGCGGACTCGACAAACGTAGTCATGTACACACTACACATGTCTTATTTTTTTTTAAAAATCATTGTAAATTTAAACCATTCTCGAATCCACTTGAACACGCAAAAAACTTAATCAACATGGGTCCAGCCGTTTAAGAGTTTAATTAAAATTCAAGACACAGAAGATCTATATAAAGATATATGAAAATATTTTAAAAATATGATACAACTAGCAGACCGGCCAAGCGTTGCTGTGGCTAAAGTTTTTGTTATATTACATAGTAGCAAACTATTCAAGGGAAACGGTAGGAGAACACCAGTCATGGGGACCACCATGCTTTTTTGGTGGTTATGCCATTAAATTGTAGCTTATGTGAAACGTTGGTACTTTAAACACAGCGCCATCTGTTAGAATTGTGACTATCAAATAATAAACAAATATTTTGCAATAAAATAATATTGCGGGTATAAATTGAGATGTAAGCTATCCTATCTTTTATGTTGGATCAAACTACACACGGTGTGCAAATTTGATTGATATCGGTTCGGTAGTTTAAGAGTCCATAGCGGACAAACAACGTGACACGTAATTTATATATATTAAGATTTTGTTTGTATTTCGGTTGTGGTATACTTGACAATTTCGAATTCCCTATTAGTGATAACCATACCACTCGGTTTCTATATTCAAATTACCAGTCGTAATTGTGACAACTGTAAATAATATTAGGTTAGTATAAATGTGGAATCAAAGTTAGTTTCAAGAGCTGTCATTTCTTATGAAGTTTCACATATTTGACAGCGCTTAAGACGCGTGACTTAGTAACTCCCGTACGTCAAAATTCAATACGTTTTTGAATCATCGGAGTCATACTTAGCGCTGCCACGACTCTCACCCATAATACGTAACTGTTTTTGAAAGAGTTCTTAAATGCGTTCTTTAGAAGCATCTACAACGTAGCTATTATTATGTATGAAAGACTTTAATTAAAAATCTCGTAACAACTTCTGTTAAAAAATATCTTCTAGAATCGACTTGATCAACAAATGGCTCCGAAACCCAGCGTGCAAACAAGATGTCAAGAACGAAGCTATACGCGCAGCTGACAATATTATTGACATGGGTGAAAAGGTATACATGTATTTTCGATAATAATCTTTCTTATATTCTATATTTTTTATAAGCATTTTTAAAGGCGGAATTTTGTTTAGGATATATGTATAATTCAGAGCAGTATTGCCCTAGTGGCTTCAGCGTGCGACTCTCCTCCCTGAGGTCGAAGGTTCTATTCCCAACTGTGCATCAATGGACTTTCTGTCTATGTGCGCATTTAACATTCGCTCAAGCAGTAAAGGAAAACATCGTGAGGAAACCGGCTTGCCTTAGACCCAAAAAATCGACGGCGTGTTTCAGGCACAGGAGGCTGATCACCTACTTGCCTATTAGATTGACAAATGCTCATGAAACAGGTACAGAAATCTGAGTACATAAATTTTTATATTTTTAAACACAGTATTTATTATTTAACAGATATGTGAGGATCTAAAAGATCCGGAGAAAGAAGAGATGCTGCACGTTGTCGTAGAGTCAAAAGAACTTCTTAAAGAGTGTACTGTGAAATATCAAAGTGCGAAAGCGAGGTTTGTATTAATAAATTGCCTTTTAAAATAATTGAATACAAGAAAAATCCGCAAAATTTGGACGATAATAATTGTATTACTTCTGTTCATATACTCGTATGAGTTCTATAACACATTTCGATATGTTTCGCTTTTTTATTTTTTTACAGCTGGGAATCAAATCTTAGTCCTATATTAAGTTAAATCTATAAGCATTATAAGCATGTAAGGCAAGATTTCGACGAATCTTAGCGCGCTTTTCAGTAAATTCCTTAACCATGTAGATTCTCTAAAAACTAATTCTTAAAAAAATTACCGATTAAATGTACTATAATTGTCTAAATATAATATTGTAACATGCACTTTAGAAAATGATTTTTATATGATGTGGTGTACTTTCATAAATAAATGTAAATATCGTAATCTCCATTTAAAGAGACGAAAGGGTAATTTAGTTAACACGGTGCAATTTGACTGACTTAGTTTATGAATTGACTGATCCATGCCCTTCAATTTTCAATCTTCTTATATGGAGCAGAATCGTGGACCATATCCCGAGGAAAGGCAAAGGTACTGAATGTGGACCACTATACGCACCCAGCTCCATATCATACCGTTTATCAAATATATGACGACAATACATCATTTCTCACTTTCTTTACACAATACGTAGGGCCGACGAAAACCACGAGGCAAAAGATCGCGTGAACTTTCGCCAGCGAGGTGAATTAATCAAGTCATAGACTGTCCTAGTCATAATCGTCCTCAAAATTATACACCGTTGTAAAAGAAGCGCAGGACCGAAATTAGTGGAAGGAAATTATTCGCGCCAAATCTTACTATACAACTGACCACAATACTCAGACATTAGTTAGCGACCCAGAGATAGTTTTATCAATTATATGAATCGCTTCGTTCTTGTGTTATATGCGCTTATATGATGATAATAAGTTTTATTAAGTATATTTCATAGTTTTTTTTTATAATAATAATAATTTTAATTTTAAAGCCTTCTGCTGGAACGACTGAGAGATCTTAAGGGGATGTTAGAACGAGGCGTAGTAACGAGAGTCGTAGAGGAATTCCTTGAAGAACAACCCTTAGAAGATATCGAGAATATACGTAAAGAAACAGGTATGTACTGATTTTTAATAAAAAAATATTGTGTATAATAAATATATATTTTCTACAGATTTTCTCATTTCATTTCTCGTTTCAAAGTCTACGATTATTTTTAAACCAACTCTTTATTTACTCTAATTTTTTTTTTAAATTTGAACCTTTTCTACGCGATACATAATTTAATTGTTTCAGCTATTATTTCTTTACACATAAAGAATATATTTATCTGACACTAATTAGTCTACGTCTTTTTAGACATATTTTCTTAGCTCTAAGGCCTAATGCTTCTATAACTAAAAAACGCGTTTTGAGGGCTATAAAGGGATTGTTTACTATTATCAGATGTGAAACGGCGTGACCTCCTACTAGACAAGAAGATAGCAGAACTTCTCGCTCAACTTGGCCGCGTTTCACGAACTGCTCAATTTGTGTCGGACACCACCACTGCACCTATCAGACACGACATTATAAACACCAGCAAACAGGTATAATATGGCTTATTTATTTTCAGTATTTAAATAAAAACATCTCGTAGTCTTACTCTTTCGAATTTTTCTTTTTGATGATAGCAGCATAAAAGATACAACAAGACAGTAGACTTTCGTCTGCCTCGCTTCCTCGCAGTCGGTATCAACCCTGTCCTGTGGTTTTGGTGCATCAAGGGTTGGATAAATGATGCAATACACTTGTCAAGATGACTGGTTGTGCCGGACGTATCGCACAATGTGTCCAACCAACGCCCCCCATTGAGGAACCAAAAAAAAAAGGGGATTCCCCCCTCATGGCTACGTACCGTTGACATATATTTAATGTAAAAAATATAATGATCTAGTACAATTTAAACCTTGCTTCTACGCGATACATAATTTAATTGTTTGCATGCTATTATGGATTCTTTAGTGATACACACTAAAGAAAAACTATAATCAGACACTAAGAAAACAGTCTATTGTTTTTTAGACATATGTGGTTAGACTCTAAGGCCAATATACGTTTTATAACTGAAAAAAACCGCTTAAGTTTTGATGCAAGCTATAAAGGGAACATCTGTTTACCTTAATATAATAAGATGTGAATCGGCTGTGATCTCTCCTTTGATTAGACAAGTTTCTTAAATAAAATTATTATTAAGGTATACTAATCGCTCAAGTTGTATGGAAACCTTGCATATTAATAATTGCATTTAAGAAATATGTCGCAAGTTCATCACTAACTCTCAATTTGCGTCCAGTGACGACACCATTTGTTGTCCACTGCATTTCCTATTAGACGGATGACATTATAATAACTTATTGCACACCAGCAAACAGGTATAATGTGGCTTCCATATACATATATTAACAGTTTTTAAAGTAAAATTATTCAAGGTTAAAACATCGCTTTTTTAATCAGACCGAGACTTCAATATGTAGATATTGAATTGTCATATCTGCCCAACGGACATGAACGCGATTCAACATTTAATGGGTCAATGTCGTTTAACAACATGGCGCTTACTTTATGTGTAACTAGAACCTTATTTTTATTGCATATTATTAGTTTTCACTTACATTATTTTTTCAAGTCAAAGTCAAAATCGTTTATTCACATAGGTAACACAATGTACACTTATGAACGTCAAAAAATACATACATACTAAACGCTTCTAATTTTTATATTAACTGCCAGTTCTCAAAACAAGAGCGTAGAACGGAAGAGAAGAACTGGCAATAAACTCTCCGCCACTCTTTTTAATCGCCATGTTTTTTGTTTTATGCACAATACTTGTAAGGAGCTACAACCATTACACCATGTGTGTGTGTTTAAGTATTCTCATTGTACTGTTGTTCAGTTTTGCAATTAAAAGTTTAAATAAAATAAAATCAACAACAAATTCTGTAAAATAATTATAAACTATCTACTCTAACAGGTAGAACTTCTCGCTCCATCACTTGTGAAAGCTGCGCAAGATTCGGTTAAAAATCAAGATGACGTAAGTATTTCTAATTATTATTTGTTCTTAAATTTACTTTGCAATTAAGATTCAAACAAATGAATCAGTTGTTCTCTGCATCATTAGTTATATTCAGTTAGAAGTTTGCATACGTAATATCTATTATTATTTATTAATTATTGCGAGTAACGTGTTTGTTTTGGTTGTTCGATAGATAGATAGATAGATCTGAGAATTTTGTTTTTCTATAGCAAGCGATAGAGAACTACAGGGACATGGTAATGAAATACGCTGAATCCCTTACGCGGGTTCGGGAGTTATGTGACCGCGCGGTGAATCCCATGGACTTTGCGCAAGCAGCGGGTAAGTTAAATATAAATTAATATAAAATTACATTATTAATAATGAAAGATTAAATCTGTGTGGCCAACGACTATAAAAACTGCGCGCTTCCCAACAAAATTAATAATGAATATTCTTTTTATGAACGTACGAATGAGCCTTATGAAATCATATAAGTTTTTGTAAAATACGAAAAATAATCATCAATAAAAAATCCTTTTTTATAATAAACACTGTATTGCAGGTTAACTTAAATATACTTATAATCTTACAATAGAACAAACACAATTTAAAAATAGAAGATCTGTATTCTTTAGATTTTTATTTCGTAGTATACCTTTCGTAAATAAAAATTATGATGGTATATTAAAGGCCGTCGTATACGAACCGCGTACAATATGTGCGAATTATTGCGAGTAACTATTTTAAGTTGGATGCCACAAAAGATTCATGTCTATTATTGAAAAAATATCGTAACAGACTGAAATGAAATATAACGTGTTTGTTTTTTATTTTATTTACCTTTCCATGACATTTCAGTTGAAACAATGGCTCGCATCAAAGAAGCTTCTAAAAATGATCCGATTAAAGCAGAATTTGCATCATCTATTATAACTAGGTAAGTAACATTACCTATTTTCCTACCAGAAATAAATTTAAAAATGTAATAATTATGATTATTTATAGAGAGACTTGAAGAGCTGTGGGCTAGATGTTTTTGTTAATTTACAAAATTTTGTAATATTTATTATCGTATGTGGGATAATTTCCAAACCATGTACGATAGTAAATTACTATCATACTTAGATTGCACCATATTTTTCAATGTATGAGTATATAAATCTGGTCATAATCCTGGTGGATACGATAATTTGGATCCATAACTTCTATAGTGTCCTATAGGTGTCGTAGATGCTATACGATAATTTTATGAATCTGATACGATACCTTACTGCAGGTTAACATTGCTACACGAATGATTCCGTTTAGTGTCAAATACGGTCACGGTAAAAAAATTTATACACAGGTATCGTACTTATATTATGTTAGTTAGAAGTCAGTCAACAATCATTGAATAATAGAATTGAGGAAATATTTATAAAACAATCACAAAAAATTGATACAATCCTACAACAAATGAGCACCATTTTGGGGCTCTTGACTACACTAGTTAACAAATTACCACAAAAATGAATAAACTCAAAATTGCTACTTGGAACATAGATGGTCTAACGCCTAAGAAAAATGAAGCTGAAATCCTGCTAAAAATGCATAATCTGGATGCCTTGCTTATTTCTGAGGCGCACCTTACATCCAACAGCCAAATACATGTACAAAACTATAATGTGTATTCAACAAATCATCCCGATGGCACTGCACATGGAGGCACAGCTATTATAATTAGAACCTCCATTGAACACTATGAACTTCCACAATTTTGATCGGAATCCATTCAAGCCACCTCAATCAATATCCAGGATGAAAATGGGAATTTCTATATCTCCTCGGTTTATTGTCCTCCAAAGCACGCTATAACTGAGGAACACTTCACCACATATATTAACAGTCTGGGTCCACGCTTCATAGCAGGTGGAGATTGGAATTCAAAGCATCTGCACTGGGGGTCGAGATTGATTACCACGCGTGGTAGAGAACTTAAAAAATGCGTTGATAAAAACCACTTAACAACAATCTCCACCCCCGAGCCTACTCACTGGCCAAGTGACCCTGGAAGATTGCCTGATGTCCTGGACTTCTTTTTAATGAAGGGTCTCTCACGACTCTTTTATCACATTGATGGCTTTCTCGATGGTTCTTCAGCTCACATCCCGGTGATATTAACTGTTAATACCAATATTCTGGAGTGCCAACGGAAACCAAAACTGTATAACAGGAGAACAAATTGGCAAATGTTTCGTGACCTCGTAGAGGACGCCCTACAATTACGGATTTCACTAAAGAGTAAGGAGGAAATAGATAGTGCAGTCTTGGCATTTACGAGAGTGGTGCAGGATGCATGCTGGAGGAGTTCTGAGGGAGTGGCTCAGAAAAAAACCAGACAGCTCTCTGTACCCCACGAAATTCAGGACATGATCCTGGAGAAGAGAAGATTACGTAGAGTGTGGCACAATAGTCGTCATCCCGATGACAAAACAGCACTAAACATCTACGCTAAACACCTTAAACAGGCTATAAAAGAAAATCTAGATGCTACTATTGAGGAAAACCTGATGTCATTAACAGCTACAACAGACACCGACTACTCTCTCTGGAAGGCATGCAAAAATCTGAATCAACCCGCAAACCCTAAACCACCTATAAGGCTAGCTAGAAACAAGTGGGCTAGGTCTAAACTAGAAAAAGCAAATGCTTTTGCTTACCATCTGGCTAAAGTATTTGTTCCAAATGAAGCCACTCCTGGGTCGGATGAGGCAGAAATAGATGACATTCTCCAGCAGGATTTCCAATTGCATTTGCCCTTGAAGATAGTAACAACAAGGGAGGTACAAAGAACCATACAACAAATGGAGAATAGGAAGGCACCAGGTTTTGACCTCATTGACAAAAAGGTTCTCTCCGAATTACCTCATAAGGCTATAACTTACTTGACGACCCTATTCAACCGGATTATAAGTGTTGGATACTTTCCAGCGCTATGGAAGGTCTCTCAGGTGATTATGGTCCATAAGCCCGGGAAATCGCCACATGACGTCTCATCTTACCGACCTATAAGTCTTCTCCCGATCGTCTCTAAAGTACTGGAGAAGGTACTACTACGACGGCTCTCGCAAGCTATGCATGAAAATTCTATAATTCCAGATCACCATTTCGGGTTTAGAGCACAACACGGCACTATCGAACAAACTCACAGGGTGTGTAAATTCATAAGCAATAGTCTTGAGCTAAAAGAGTACTGCTCCTCAGCTTTTCTGGACGTTCAACAAGCATTCGATCGGGTATGGCACAAGGGGCTCTTATGCAAGATCAAGTCACTTCTGCCTCATACTTTCTATGGAATCCTAGAGTCTTATATCACCGATAGAATATTCCAAGTGAAAGAGATGGATTGTACATCAGGTTTTCATGATATACTTGCAGGGGTACCTCAAGGCTCTGTACTTGGCCCAGTGCTGTACACCATATTTACCTCAGATCTACCGCGTACCTCTGAAGTCAACATTGCAACCTAGGCAGACGATACGGCAATCCTAGCTTCGAGTAAACAACCCGAAGAAGCCACGTTAAAGCTGCAGCGAAGCCTAAATGAAATAAGCAACTGGTTCGATAGGTGGAGAATTAGGGTGAACACTAGCAAATCAGTACAAGTGACATTCACACTGCGAAGAAAGACATCCCCCCTGTAAACCTAGGAGGAAAGGAACTGCCTCAGAGTGACACAGTTAAATATCTTGGACTGCACTTGGATCGTAGATTGACATGGCAAAAACACATCGAAACAAAACGGCGTGAGATCAACATTAAATATAAGAGGCTGTACTGGTTACTGGGTAGAAACTCGAAATTGTCCATCGACAACAAACTCCTTATCTACAATTCAGTTATAAAACCCGTGTGGACCTACGGGATACAATTGTGGGGAGCTACATGTGACTCTAACAAAACTAAAATTCAAAGAACACAAAACTACATCCTTAAACAAATAAGCAACGCGCCTTGGTTCATAAGAAACGCCGAAGTACATGAACACCTGGGCATACCTACAGTCAAGGAGGAAATAAAAGTATACGCTCAGAAGTACAAGACTAGGCTGGAAAATCATCCTAACCATCTAGCTGTTCAACTCACCCTAGCGGAGTATATAAACCGACTCAAAAGACGAAGAACCCTGGAGCTCAGCAGCATTGACTGAGCTAATATTATTATGGTAGATATTCCTAATGAGGAATATCTCCACCCGCAAATCATCCTACAACTCATCTGCATAGTCAGAAGACTGATTGCACGATGTGCTCTATAAAAAAAAAATATTATGTTAAATATTATGCGATTTCAAAATTAATTAATTATCTTAATGTTGTGCCTTAAGCGGTGTCAACCGGTGCCCCATCACTGCCACTTGGCGGTGGACCACAAGCTATTCGCATATACCTCTCATTATATAATCTATACGTATGTTATCCTATTTCTGTCCCTCTGGAATAAAGGTATTTTTTTAATAATGAGAATATTATTATGGCAATGCTCAGGCTAGGTAACCGCGTCGTGGAGGCAGGTATGTCAAGCGCCAACGTACAGAAGGACCTTGAGCTTCAGCAAACTCTGGCCAGCATCAAGAAGAGTATCAAAGACGCCCATCACACCAAGACCGATCTTGCTGCTGAGGTGATATATCCTTTGTTTCTTCTTTAAAACTTTCCGTGTTATTATTTACGCGTACTTCTTTAAAATAAATCTTCCTCTTAATCTCTAACTGACCACCATTAAGATGACTCATAATGTTGTTAATATTATATTTAATTCATCTATAAACTTAGAAATATAATATTGAAGTTGACGTATTTTACTACAAATCGTTACCTGTGACGTCAGTTCTTTTCCTGTGACTTCATTTGTGTGATCTATCGCGATTTTAGTGCTTATTTGTACGTACTCGGCGAATACGTACCGCGTACGCGTCGTATACATTGTACACTCTTAATAACGTTATTTGTTACAACATAATCTCTCTATAACGTATAAATGTGTTACATTTATTTGGTTTAACCCAATACCCACACATCTATTTTTCCCTCCCTATAACGAAACCTTGCCATAACGAATAAAAATGCTCGGTCCCTTGAAATTTGTTATAAAGAGTTTACACTGTATATCTCGCTGTATCATGTGACGTCATTTGATTAACGCGTGTAACGATATTGTTCTTAACAACGTCAAGGTCCTATAACTATTCGCTTTCTAGAGAAATTTAATCCATTACTAATATAGGTCAACGCCAAATTTGACTTTGACTTTAATCGATGAGGCGAAAAAAAATATGACCTGAAAAAGTTTGCTTATGTAGTTTGGAGACCGATTGAAAGACTTTAACTTAACTTTATCAAACTTTATACTAAAAAAGGTTATTTTCGATTTTGTGCAAAATAAAATTAAGCATTTATATTCTTCAAAAGAAGTCTTAAATATTTTTTCAAAAGTTTGCATTCGTTGCGCGCTGTTTTTTTGATAACACAATACAACCGCATTATAAGTAGTTTGCAGGATCTTGAGACAATGAGTCTTTCTAAGTCACTATTAAAACAATTAAAAAATCATTTTATAAATTTGTTCCGACACTCGAAGTGTCGAGTCTATATCTATACGAGGTCAGATAAATCATACATTTCCTTTTTATAGATTATTCGTAAGACTGGGGAAGTGGAGTCTGCTCTCGGCGGAGAAACAATTTTCCAGAAGGAGCCAGAGGCCGATCAACCAATCTTTGTAAGACTCTTCAATTAATGCATTAATTCATTAAACGTGAAAACACAAATATATTTTTAAAAATTTGTCAAATACAATTTGAATAAGGCTATTTTTTTATGTAATGTCTTTTTTAGGCGGCAGCTCACGGGTTGCACGCGGCTGTACGCGATTGGTCAGCTCGAGATAACGAAGTGGTTGCTGTGGCCAAACGCGTCGCAGTACTTATGGCCAGGCTGGCTCACCATATGTATAATGGTAAGATAAAACTTGAACAACAAGTTATAATATATGTGGTTTCAGTGATGACAGATCTACAATAAATAGCTTGATGGTTAATATAAAAATAATAAAACTTAAAAAAATATAATTATTATGAATAAATGATGCGCGTAGTAAATAGCAATTAGTTCGTTTATTCTCTTTTCGCCATGTTACTAAGCGGATACGACCTCTCGACACCGAGAAATCAGTAGACGGAAATAAAAACAATACAATATCAGTGTAATTAATAAGCAATATCTAGTGACCCATATGTTTGTTTAATGTAGATCGCAAAGCTGAGCTGATAGCGACGTCAAAGGAGATCGTGGCTAAATCCCACGAAGTGGCGGCTCTCGCCCGGAAACTGGCCATGGAGTGTAGTGATTTGAGGATTAGAAACGTATGTATTTTAACCTCCTTTTAATTCTGTACATAGTATATACCCAAAACAAGTTCAAAATATGCCCTATATTTATCTATTGAAAAATGTTAATATTATGAAATAGGTACAATAATATAGAACCCCACCCGAAATAGTAATACAGTACAAAATCTCGACACAACGGGTGTTGTCACAAATCATAGTAAAACTAACGCTGGCCATAGACGGACCGCATTTTGCAGTCGATACCGACTGCTCTAAGCGGTCGCCGCACGGCGAACTGCAGTTTCCATACTAAATTCATATCCGCCATACACGGACCGCACGACAAGTTTCTGAGCGGTCGGAGCAGTCGCTCTGCGGTCGAGTTTCGCCGTGCGGTCGACTGCTTAGAGCTGCCGGACCCACCATACACGGACCGCTACAAGCGGTTGCTGCCGACCGCACGCCACTGCCTCAAATAAAATAAAATACTAACTAATTCATCAAATGAAACCACGGACATTCTAAAGTAGTTGAAAAACTTTTTAGTGTCTTCTTTCAGCTGGTGATACAAAGTATGAAATATTCCATGCTGTTCTCTTGATTGTAGTATTGGACGCACCCACATACTACGGTGTCTTATACGCCTACGCTTGCGTAATAGTCGTACAAGTAGCAGTGTTTCTTCATCGAAATCCATCTTGTAAATGAACTCGCATCAGTATTATTTTGCGGTCGAACACAACTGCTCCAAGCAGTCGTAGCCGACTGCATTATGCGGTCGTGTTGCAGTCGTGTACGACTTCAACGCGACCGCTCTAGAGCAGTCGGTCTCGACTGCAACATGCGGTCCGTCTATGGCCAGCGTAAGGAACAAAGTCAACAAACGAAAATACGTTTCCGAGTCTTAGTTGGTAATGCTAGGTCCCAGATGTAGTCTTAGTTGGTAATGCTAGGTACCGGTAATGTAGGTATTAATTTGAAAAAAAAATAAGCTTAAGCGTGATTTGTTACAATTATTATTTATTTAAATTGTGATAAATAAATACAATAGTTATTTGAGTTTCATATGTTTATAAATGTGTATTTTCTTTTGTTATTTTGACGTTTAATTACTTTTTCTAGAACTTACTACAAGTATGTCAAAGAATACCTCTAATCAGTGGACAACTAAAAATGTTGACGACCGTCAAAGGATCCACTTTGGGAAAGCAAGGTATGGTTATTTCACTAGGATTTTTTTCAGAAGAATATAAATGTTTTATTTATCTCAGTAACAAGTGTTCAGTCTAATTCTAAGTTGCGCTAACCTAAGATGAATTAAAAGGTCTATGTTTACAAAAAAAAATGTTTTTTTTTTCAAATTATATTATATTATTATTATTATTTTTTTGGATATAATTAATTACGATTACAAATAGTGTCAGAGTTTAATGCTAGTTTCTCTCAAACGTCGGCCTTGATTAGAAAACTGGCAGTTTATATACCGTGTATAAGATTGAATTATTCTGTAAAATAAATAAATATAAAATTAATAGTATACTTAAATCAATAAAAAATATTATTTTATTTTACTTATTATTGATAATACAGGAAAGAGCGATAATTCAGAGGTTCGCTAGATGTAATTTGCAATTCGTTCTTACATCTTTTCTATTTCATGAACTTCGATACTCGGGTTCTAAAATTACTTGCCTTTAGCGCATATCATGTTGATTCATTATAAATTTGTGGTTTATTGTAGGTTCGGAGGAGGATAAAGAAGCCATGAACATGCTCGTTGGCAATGCACAGAATCTTATGACCAGTGTAAGTATTACATTTGATTCCGACATTTTACTTAACAAACGAGGTAAACATTTTCATATAAAGTCTTATAAAACGCTGTGTTACACTAGAAATATCATTTGCATACACACAATAAAATCCACAATGCATTTTGAAGACTTTCTACTGGACATTATGAATATATTTCTAAAAAAAAAATTAATGTAGATTTTATTTAGACTTTCATATAATAGCATAATTAATCTCCAAAGTTCATAAATTTATTATTATTACAATAAATCATGCCTTTAAGGACACAATACTCGTACCAACATTTCTTAAAAGCTTAGATTAAAAAATATTATGGAATCGTATTGCGCGTACTATTAAAAAAATATTTAAGCGCACACTAACTTTTAATTAAAAATCAGAGACATAACATAAGTTTGGAATTATATTTATAGATACAAGAGATAGTGAAGGTGGCTGAGAGCGCATCAGTGAAGATAATGTCCCAACGTGGACGGAGAATTCGATGGGTCAGACGAAACTACTACTGAAGCTCGCCGTAGTTCAAGATGTCATAATAAAATCGTCGTAAATAGTTATGATTTGCGGATGAAGATAATGATAGGTTTAATGTTAATGCTGTTGTATATTTTTGATAAATAAATGAAATATATAAATGTATCAGTTTTAGATATTAAGAGAGATTTTTATTACATTCCACATACATTATGCGTATTTTACATAAGGCCATAATTTAGGCCATTTTCGTGTACAAATTCCTTCACACTAATACTTTTTTTCTGAACTAGAATTATTTCGCCATATGAATTCGTAAATCTAGTCTTATTAAAAGTAAAATGCATTTTACTTTTAACATCGTAATAATGCCCAATGGCTCATACTTTAAAGAAAAAGGTTGTCAGTAAAATAATAATTATAGAAAATATTTGTATTTTGTATAATATAAGAGTAATTATAACTATAAGCTTTACTTTTGTATCTCGTATCAAATGTCACGAATACTTTAAATCGCAAAATTGTGAAATAAATTATATTTTATAAATAATTTTTTTTTATTTCTACACTAGTTAAGTTCGGTGGCTGTTGTTATAGATATGTTCAGATATATGTTAAATGGAAAGCTTTTTTTGAAGCTGGTTAACAACAGCCTTGCGATTTTGTAACCCTTTTAGAACTCTCCCGTTACACACCCTTACAACAAAACCGCTGTGAGAGTCGTAAATTAGTTTTTCTTTTAAAATATGGCTTATACTAAGATAAATTACTGAGGCTCACCTAACAAACCCTGGGTTGTAAGGTTTCATAACTAATTACACTTCATACAGGTCAAACAAGAATTATCAAAACTGGTGTGGAAAAAACTGAAGGGCTCATATTGGCTTCAAGTATGCGATGATTGTTCACATTTTGTTGACGCTTATAATTATTATGTTATATCGATATATAATATATATATATATATATTGTAATTATACTTAACTTAACTAATGTTAGGTTATGGTATCTTAATAACAATAAATATTAATATCAGTTACTATTAGAGATAATATCTTATGTTAATTGGCACGTTTGATTTTTTTATAAACAATTACATCACAATTTAGATAACCTTAGTATCATTAATTAACAAACTTTCGATTCAACATAGTTTATGATAACAAATACGAAAACAAGATAAAAATGAGGTGATCATATCGCCATACGTTTAATCAGCAACCTTCCGGTAGCCTGTCTACTAGCGAAGATAATAAACTTGGTATTATTAAAAAAAACAAAATATCAGTGTAAAAGTTAACATTAAGTAAATTTTCTATGTCATACAAAATATTTTTGAAGTGAAACTTCTTTAGGCGCATGAGGGTAAAATTTTTACGGATGAAACGCAATACATCAATGCTGCACATTTTCGTGTTAGCGTCACGAAAATGTGCAGCGTTTTTGTCGAAGAAAAGGGAGAGAGTGAGAAGGGTGAATTACCATATAGAATCTATTTTTTTTTTTTTTTTTTTGTAATAGGAGGCAAAGGCAGGAGGCTAGGCCCCACTTGATGTTAAGTGATACCGCCTTCATGACACTACATGCCGATGAAGTGCTTTTATATTTACGCTTTTTAAATAATTTGTTGAAATACTCATGTGGGCAGCTGTTCCACATAGTGGTGGTCGCGGCAAAAACGGCCTTAGAAAACGCTCTGTTGTGGAACGACGGACGTCGAGGTGATACGGATGGTATTTAGTAAAATTAAAATTTCGTAAAGAGAATTTATGAAATATAAGTATTTTATATTTACGCTAAATAATTTATTGAAATCTCAAAGTGACGAATTGTAAATTAAAGCTTCCTTTCAAAGTGGGAGAAAAGACTTTAGAGCCCTTAATTATTGCGGTGAGCCTGCCCATGGCTCTAAAAAAATCCCACCACTTGAACCTTTGATCCAAACCATCTGCTTCCTTGATCAGATACCTTTGGTCACTTGGTGCAGACATCCCGCACTTTTTTATATATTTTACTACTTTTGTGTTAGGGTATAACTGTTGGGCGAGAGGATCCGTAGGGTTTTTAAGTTCTTAGTTCTCCTTATGTATGTATGCAGCTTCCTAATACATACACTAGAAATTTATTACGTTTAAATTTAAAAACACATCTCACAGGTCCAGCCTGCAAGCAGTACAGCATTGTAGTTTAAAAGGCTGATCCTTGTCTATGTTTTGGGTCATGACATAATATTTTCCTTCAACAAGCAAACAAAGACAAATAAGCCAACAGCCAGGATTTAGACTCAAGATATCAGGTTCATACGTTCAGGTTCAACTTGATGTTCATAAATATGCACCTACCAATTTGTCGCAAAACGTCCTTTTAGGTAAACGAGTGCGCTCGCAGTTACACTAAGGCCCATAAAGTGTATGTACGAGTATGAGATTAGCTCTAAGGTATCACGTATCGCGGTCGGATCCCCTTTGGAAACAGTGCCATACTGTGAAACTTCCGATACGATTAACAATCTGACATCAATCAAGCTTTGTATCCAATTACACTATAGTTATTTTAATATGTAAGAAGGAGCACATTGCTAATGTATTACAATGGTGCCATTCAAAAGCTCTATTAGTCGGTATTGGGGGTTGAGGGTAAACCGGCGCAGTTCTACTCGGCACTATGGTTCTTGTATTCCTGTTATCTCCTCGTGTGGACGCGTGTTCATGCCTTAGGGAATTGTTCATGGTGACATAATTAAATGACACGATGCGCTGATAAACAATCAACTACTGATACAGACGAGGAAAATTAATGCTAATTACTTTTAATGATCATAGCTATCTGACCCCGTCTAATAAATTGTATTTACGACACATTTAATCTGGTGAAATTATTAATATATAATTCTTTATTTCCCTTAAACTCGTAATAACTTAATTATTGAACACACAAAATGAATAGGAATTTTGTATCGATAAACAGCGCGTAGATAAAGAATATGTTATCGTCTTTAAAGTAAAACTACTTTTAATTAGAAACTTGAACTTTGATACATTACTTAACGAAAACATGAAACGAATAAAATCATTTCATATAGCATATTTTTTTAATGTAACATCATTTATATTTTTTTAAACAATGCAGTGAAGTTTTTAAGTTATTTTCGTCTTTTAGAAATTAGCTATTAGTGGTTGCTAATATAGAGCTGAAGTACGAATTATATAGCTTTTTTGAATAAAAACATTATATCCTATTTACTATCTGAATATTGAATATTCTTTTTATAAAATGTCCTACATTTGTATTTTCTCATAATAAAGATCATTAATGATTTAAACATTAAATAAACGTTACATTAACACATTTTATACAAGAGCTCGTAGCTCGCAGTAGAGTTTAAGGTTAGGACTTGTTGAGTGATGAAAATGCTTATTTGTAACTTTAAATTAACTATTCTTTATAACAAGGAGTCCTTTTATATAAATAAATTCAAATATCTACCACAAAGTTTTGCGGAAGTCTCAGGCCCCTACAGAAAGTAGGTACTTACTATAAGAATTTTGATATTCATAATCGGGAATTTTTCGACTTTAGATTCTAACTAGTTTATATATACAATACTTTATGTGTGTCATGTGTCTATTATTTATCTAATAATCCTAATCACGTTACGAAAGTTAAAAAAAAAGCTTATTAAGAAAAGATAGGTGCTCCCAAGCTAGGCGTATTAAGGGAATTCGACCGTGGCTTGATTAATGCTAAGAAGAAATAAGTTACAAAACACATAATACCTAAAAGGCTATTTATTGAAATAAACATGAATAGTCTAATCGCAAGTTATATTCATAAGTCTTAACAATGAGCTTAGCTTAACTTAGATGAAAAAGTGAAGTCGAAATTCAGCGTCAATCCATAATTTGAAAATTGAAGATTATCTGTGAATCATTGATGCAGCACCATGTCCATCCATCATATCTCTCGCAATTGTTTGTCATCCTTGCGTGATACAAATCCTTAATCAGTTCACAGCTTTTCCGTTCTGTTTCTGAGAGCTGTAAATCTTAATAGTAAATGGCTCTTCAAATTTTATGGCTGATTCGTAGACCAAGTGAACACAATAGGCAATGAGAATACCTGCGGGCTTAGCGTAAAACAAAGCGTAGCCCAAGAACGTTAGGGTGGACCCTCGGTACATGGGATTATTGCAGATGTTGAAGGGGAACTCTGTCACTCTCTCTTTCATCAGAATACCAAAATAATCACCACAATACGTCCCAACGATGCCCAGCTGATACGTCGATGTCACAACCAGGACTTGACCCACGATTATAAGCACAATCGCAATTGCTTTCGTCAAATAATTCTGCAGGAACTCCGACGTGGCTTGGTTATTCATAGCTTCTATGAAATAATGACTTCTAATCAGACAAAGACTGAAGATTGTAGTTCCTAGTATGTAGCATCCGTTCCGCGGATTTTTCGTTATTTTAGTTAAGAAATGTGTATAGTATTCCAGCCGAGACACGACATTCCAATAGACAGGATTGAATAACACAAAAAATAAAGACAGCTTTAGAGTCGAATCACAGAAAGCAATTGAGGACAACATACCCATTGCTGCTTGGTAGATTTTAGAGCACATTTCACAATTGAATAAAAGTAGGCCCATACAAACACTGAGGTATATGTATGTACTTAATATATTTAAAGTTTGCATATTGCTGTACTATATTGCCACTGTATTCTTAAATTTTTAAGTATTATAAAATATATACAGTTGTTTAGTTACAGCAGGCTCGTAAACAGACTGACGAATAATAAAGTTTGCAATATGTTTTATATAAGTAGATCAGACAGTAACTACTCGATTAGCGTCATAAAGCGTGCTCACCAGTCAAATCTAGTATGTCGCAGATTTTAATTAATTAATAAAAAAATATTACTTGTATACTTGTACCACAAAGTTTCAGAACCCATTTGCGTAAGTAATTGGGTTTATTAAGGACCAATATATATATATATATAAGAGTCATGAAACCTTTTACTGTAAAGGATGACGGATGAACGTTCAAAATTCATAAATAAAAAAATTTAAGCTGTTTAAAAAACGGTTTTAGGTATAATATTTATACACATTCAATAAATTCGGCCCTAAAAATTTTTATAATTGTTACGCAGGAACATTGAATTTTTAAGGATTTCGGTGAGGAGGTACGGTGAAGATATCATGCGGATAGGATACCCAAAAAGTCGACAGCGTGTGTCAGGCACAGAAGGAATGTTACATTACAAAATATTTGTTTTTTGTAATGGGCTTGATCACTAAACAGATACAGAAATCAGAGGCCCAGACCTGAGAGGTAGTAAACCCCCCTGGATATTTTATAATGAAACAATAATTAGGATACAATAATTGACCCAAAATAAAGTAGTATAGGGGGCCTTACCATGAGCTCTTATTGCGAGCCTATTGCCTACTTACAACTGAGATGCATCGCTTATTCATACCTACCATGACGTCACAAAAATCAGCCCATTTATGTTTCCACGTGACCTTAGCGATAATCAAATTTAGTTCATTAAATTTGTATGAAAATTCGTAACATGACCTCGCATTTGAGTGCTTTGCCTTTTCACTCTAACAGAATAAGCGATTCTAAAAACTTACTTTTTGTTCAACTTACAGAACATATTAAATTCAATATTTTAATTAAAACTTGTACTTAAAGTAAAAATAATAGGATGTACTATGTCTAATATAGTAATAAGTATAATTCTATATTTCGGATATAAAGAGTTTTATTTTGGGTTAACTTAGAGTTTAGGAAGTGTGATTATCAAGAAATTATTAAAACATCGACGGAGATAAGAAACAAGACGAAGATTCCCGTTCTACCGACTTTGAAGATGTCGAGTTTATAATATAGATAGTAAAACAAAACAATCAAGCATTATTCCTTAAAATATCATATACTTTTTTTATAACCAGGTTCCGCCCGCGTTTGTTTTGTGTGTACCAAAGTCTCTTGGGACTTCTTCAACGATTATTCCGTGTATTAAAATATAACATATTGAATTAAACACTTTCTTTAGTTATCTGTATTATAAGTAAACCTACAAATGTAGTCGCCGTCCGGTTCTTCATTTTACAATAAAAATAATGCTAAATCATAAGTATTTATTATAATTAAACTTCTCTTTATTAAGTTCATGAATTGTATTATGATTTGTGGTGTCTTTAAATTAACATAGGTATTGACATATTTTTCAAATTTATAATATGTAAATAATAAGCCATTTTAAAATATTCTAATAACAGTGTTTATTTAGTTACGATGGTGCCATCAAGATAGAAGATGTCTTCAGGCAATGTTCAATTGGGTATAAACATATATTCATTCATTGGGGTTGTTCTTAGCCAACATGTATCAGTTATTATCACAATTCAGCGAGTTTGTAAAGTTTAAACTGTAAAGAAAATATAATTATTTATATTTATACAGTAAATTTGTACAATTAAAAGGATTTTATTATTAATTAAAGACCCTTTAATTACCCTTTTGCAAAGGGTTTTATATCAAGAATTCACTTCGATATAGGTATTTATTTTTGGAAAACAAATTTGTGAACAATACTTACCCCATCATATTTATAAGTTAAACAATTTGTAAAAGTATAATTATAAAACTGAAATTTTGTAAACACCAAAATATTGAATAATGTAAGCTCCTATCAAAATTTAACAGAACTATGCCACGTTTAAAATATATCAAAATAATAATATTTTTTTTATTGACATAACTTTTAGACATTTAATAAAACAATTTTTACCGGATTGAAGTTTTTTTACAATTATTTTACCGTGACCACGCACGCACGCTGTAAAGCACGCGAAACGTCGGTTGAATTTAAAATAATGTAAAATAATAATTATTTTGGATTATCGGATTGAAGTTATGTATTTACAATAATTGTAAAAAAATTGTTTTATTAAATAATTATATAAAAAACAGTGACATGTCGATCACGTGATTAAATAATACATATTGTTACGAGCTAGGGGATCGGATAGAAACGCCGTAAATCTCTTCAAGGGTTTATTTTCAATTAAATCTACGAGGAATTTGTTAACACTATAAACTTGAAATTACGCACAAAAATTCACTAAATACACACACAAAATACTGTCACTAATTACTCTAATATCACGCACTTCACACAGTACTTGTATTCACTTTTCTTCACTATATTCGCACTTTGTCACTCCGGTGTTTATCGCTTGGTATCGCATTCAAAACTGAACTAATCGATCGCGTTTCGGCTCGCTTATATATCCCTGGGAGCGATGTTCGAGAACTCTCTAGGCGGCGGCTAACTGAGTAGCGATCGCACAATTCTAGAACGTGCGTACTAGCTATCTCTTTCGCACATTGCTCCGTCCTTGTCGTACGGCGTTCTAGAGTGCTCGGTCTAGCTTCGAGAAGGTTCCGATCTTCCCTCTCTCTCGCGTATCGTTCCGTCCTTGTCCCACACCTAGAAAATCGTTCTAGAACATTCCTTCATCAAAGGGGTATAACCAGGCCTGAAAACGCCTGAAAACGGGTTTCCTGAAAAGTGTTCCATTCGACTACACGTGCTCTGAAACGGCCTGAAAAAATGTTTCAGGCTCCTGAAAACTAGGGTAACATTATGTAAATTACGATTTTCTAATATGTGATTGACCCTCCCCTGAAACGGTCAGAAATCACATTTCAGCCTGCTGAAAAGTTCTCTAAGTAGTGGAAAAATCTAAAAACATTGTAGTCGACCCGTCTTCGTAACACTACCCCCTCCTTAGACATGCTCGTCCCGAGCATCATTACTTCCTTTATAGGAGCCAATCGATTTATGTGAATGACTTTCGGTTTGCTTCTTAAACCACTCATTTTCTTTATCCGGTAAGTAACGTCATTAATCTTCGTGATTATCGTGTATGGACCATCCCAGTCAGCTTGAAGCTTTGGTGATTTGCCTTTGCGTTTTGTTGGGTTATGGAGCCATACTTGCGAGCCTTCTTTAAATTCTATGTGATTCGTCTTTCTGTCATACCTAATCTTCGTAGTCTCACTTATTTTGCTTTGTGATGCTCGTACGTGTTCATGGATTTCATGCAGTTTATTACGCAAATCCGCAGCATATTCTGTAACACTCTCCGGGGTGTCAGGTGGTCGTCCCGTTACAATGTCTGCTGGTAATCTAAGTTGTCTCCCAAACATGGCTAAAGCAGGTGTAACATTCGTGGTTTCATGAACCGCAGACCGGTATGACATTAAAAATAATGGAATATACTTGTCCCAGTCTTTTTGATGGCTGTCCACCAGTTTTGCCAAGTGCCTTTCCAAGGTTTGATTAAAGCGTTCCACCATTCCATCTGACTGTGGGTGATATGGAGTAGTCCGCGTCTTATGAATTCCCATTAGTCGGCATACTTCTTGAAACAATAAAGACTCAAAATTTCTTCCCTGATCACTGTGAATCTCCAAGGGTACTCCAAATCTAGAGAATACGTCATTTACAAGTATCTCAGCTACTGTAACTGCCTCTTGATTGGGAATAGCGAACACTTCGGGCCACTTCGTAAAGTAATCTGGTCCAGCTATGTCAACGGCTATCCTCTCCCATGGAGCTCCGACATTGTATTGCTTCATACCAGCTCTAGTTCTTGTCTGTGGGCCTTTGACTGCTGCACAAGCCTTACATTTCCGAATCCAGTCTTCAACATCTTCACGGCAATGTATCCAATAAAATCTCTCTTTAATTTTCAGAAGAGTCCTTTTTACTCCTAAGTGTCCGCCTGATGAGCCATCATGAAACATTTCCAAGATATCGCGAACCTTGGATCTTGGCACCACTAACTGTAGATGAGATGCATCCCCTCGAGTGTTTTCCCATTTGCGACATAACACTCCATTATGAAGAACTAAGCTATCCCATTGAGCCCAGTAACTCTTGGTCGTGGTGCTAGTAGATGCAACATCATTCCACCGCGGCTTGCTAGCTGAAGATTTAATCCAGTCCAGAATTGGTTTAATGTCAGAATCTTGTTGTTGCTCTTCCTGAATTAATTTCCCGCACCAATCTGGACTAATGGTGTCTGTCCTTAGTATCCTTACATGGGCTACCTCTCTACCTTCGTGTCTTGTACAATGTTTGCAATCCTCCTCACATGGCCTTCGAGACAATGCATCTGCGTTCCCGTGGGCTCTGCCCTTGCGATGTTCAGTAGCAAAGTCATACTCTTGCAGTTGTTCGATCCATCGAGCCACTTGTCCTTCTGGATTCTTGAACTGAAGTAGCCATTTTAATGCAGCATGATCTGTCCTAAGACGGAACTTGCGACCTAGCAAGTATTTACTGAAGTGCTGCAGCGTCTTCACAACAGCCAGTAGTTCCCTCCGAGTGACACAGTAGTTCCGTTCTGGTTTCGACAATGACTTGCTGAAGTAGGCTATTACTTGCTCGTGCTCACCTTTTACTTGTGATAGTACACCTCCAATGCCAATTCCACTGGCATCTGTATCTACCACATATTCACCATCTTGATCCGGGTAGCCTAGTATTGGAGTCTCACACAGT